CTTCCAGAATCGACCTCCATAATGAGTGCAACACTCGCACACTCACCTCCAGAGCCAGCGGGTTTTCATCGTTACACAAAATATTATTAACAGTAGAAGAGTCATATCTAGTGTCATTAACCTGTAGCAATTCACTACAATCGTCACTGTCAATACATTCAAAAATATAATTGTTCCGTGGACTACCATTTTTTCTAAAAACCGCGCTCCTTGTCGCCGTAGGCCTGTTAGCTACATTTTTATTTAAACACATTCTTTTTAAATGCCCCTTTTCACCACACACATTACACGACAAATGACGGTAACCACATGCTTCGGCGTCGTGTGACCTCGCGCCACAAACGCCACATCTTGAGCTGCCACCGCCACCGGCGCTGCCATAGGCGATGCCATCAGCGCTGCGACCGGTGCGCGTGCTGCCTCTCCGACGGGACTCCGTATAAAGTAATGACTCCGTTTTGGTCACCGGTACCGATTCACCAGCAGATACAATACGCTGCGCACTCTCCACAGCGCGCGCTAGATCTACCGCTCGGGTCAGTTTGAGCTGATTCGGGTCTTCTCTAAACAACTTCTCACGGACCGAAGCTGAGTCAATACCCAGTACAAAACGGTCCGTTAAGCACATTTCTAGTGACGACCCAAAATAACATTCCGACGCTAAACCACGAAGACGAGCGACAAACTCAGTTATTGACTCTTGAGGTTCCTTTGCAGCTGCATAAAATTTCTGCCTTTCTGCGTATACGCATTTCCTGGGATCGAAATGACCATTAAGCGTAGAAATAATAACATTATAATCCGTTGACTCAGGCGCATCTGGATGCAATAAATCGCGTGTCAGACGATAGGAGTCCTGAGACATGCCATTTAATAAAATTGCTCGTCTTTTCGTTCCATGTGGATCGGTAATTTCATTAATTTCATTTGCCACGAAGAAGTTATTTAGCTGCGCTACGTGTACAATCCATTCGTCTGTTTTGCAATCGAAGACGGACACACTGCCGAATATAGACATTTTGACGCGTGAATTTAACTTTTAATTAATCAATTATTAACAAAAATAAACTCGTCGCCACTGTAATGTCCTTCACTATTTGAGGGATTCGGGAGCAGATATTAAAACGCGTTGAATAGTACAACCGCCATTTATTGACTGATTCATTAGACGAGGGTACATGCCGAAAACATTATAACCTTCTACCGACAAGAACAATACATATATTACAGTGTGCATTAAGAATAAATAAATAAATAAATAAGCACGAGCCTGAATCAACTGCACCCATCGACTTACCGCACACTTGCACAGGTCGTCACTCCATCTAGTTGAGGGTTGTCTATTAACCTAACTACGATTGCCAATACGAGGCTGTCACGTGATCAAAGTATCACGTAAAGAAAAATATAAATTTAAGAACGAAGCAGAATTACTTTAAGCAGACCAATCCGCTGTTAAAATGTACCATTTCTATATATATACACATATGTTTTACTTCTTTTGTCATTTACAATATTTTCCATAGTGAATAAATCCATAAATCTTAAATTCTCTGTCGAATATCGAATTGTGTAATGATGCCATTGTATTTTTTTACGTGCTTTATCTGGTGTTCTGTTTTCTAGTTAGAAACAACGGTATCTCGTTACATTTGCGCGAAAGAGACGTTCCATATAGACGGTTTTATGTTGTTTATAAAGAAAAAGAAAACTACAACAGAATATTTACTAAGGAGTCCATGTAACTCAAGGCCTTCCGGATCTGAATTGTGTATTTGCAATGAAATTGTAATAGTCCACCTATCTGCACAGTCGCAAATAGTTTTCAACTTCGCGATTTTAAAATAAAACCCATCGCATAAATTGCATAGCCAGGATGTATACACACATGCTGTTACACCAGTTTATAAACATAGCTGCTCTAATGCATGTTCCATTTGCGTTTCGCCATGAACCAATTTCCCTTAAATAGCAAGTGCTATGCGATTTAAGTCTGTCACGTTTCAATCGCAGTTAGTCCCACATATTTCGTTTAAACTAACCTACCTTATCTCCCTTATATGTTTACTATGGTTATGTAATATCTTCAGTCTCGTCCACGATCTCTGCATTTGATGAAGCTTATAGAATTTGACTAGAGGAAGTTGCTTACTGAAAGGTATACAATGATAAAGATAAAATTATTTCCTTGTTATCGCTATAATAATCATAAGTTTATTCAAATGTTTCAATGTGATTTGAGATAGCTAAAGATACTATTCTACGTGACAGCTGCCAAAATCGTCCGACACAATTATGTTATATACAAATACGAGGCAGTTATGACAGTGGCGCACCGAAACTGAAGCACTCAAATTACGCCAATTGGTGTGATTAGATTGCAATGCTATCAATTTCCGTATCGTACGTTCTATAATATCATCTGTATATAATGTAAAGCGGAACATTTTTTAAATACGCACAGAGAGGACATGCGTCATATTTATTAAAACATCATCATCATCATGGTCGAACACCATCTTTCGTGCACTGGTGACGAAATTGAAACTTTTTTTTTATGTTAGAAAGTGGCAAACAAGCTGTCCGTTCAACTGATGTTAAGTGATAACGGCCTGCCCATGGACATTGCAACTCCCGTAGGGTTGCAGATGCGTTGCCACCTCTTAATAAAGTGGGCTCTCCAGACTGAACGCAGAAGTGCAACACTTCTACTTCACGACACGTCTTCTGTGAGGTCGTGGTACTAACCCGGACCTGCCCATTCGTACAACAGCGAACGCTGTTGCGTGGCCCTACCACCGTGATCTTTGATCGTTGCACGCAAAACACCCGAATAAAAGAAACGAGGGAACACGTTCCTAACACTAATCCACTGCTCGTACAGTGTTATCGACTATTAATTTACGTAACACAGACTGTGAACAATGACCTTGATGTAATAATACTTAGCGATCGCAAGCGGCATCAAACCGTGACGGTGTAATCAAAATTACTGCCAGTTTAACTATGTTGTGGGTTTACGGATGTGTGTGTCTATCCAAGTCTGGACTTGTTAAATTGAACGTCGACAAAGCCACGGCTCTATCATAATAATAATAGTTACTTTGTTCAGTTTGATTTAAAAATGACTGCCATGGATCATAGAGGCTGAATCCTGAACCACGACCTTAAACCTTTATCCAAATACTACAATACTAACAAAAAGTTATTGCAAACATTATCATAGTTCATTATAGCTTAAAAATGAAAATAATTCCTTGAGGGTTTTCTACTGTATTGGCGATTTTGTATAAGTCGTCGATTTGCCATCTGCGATGGCCGATTCTTAGACCAGAGTCTGATCCCAAAGATTTTTCTTTTCGACACTTTCATTTGTATTATGTATTTTAGAGCTGAGTAAAATAACATAACACTGTGCCTGAGGTTCAACAGATATATCAGGAGCTTGTTGGTGTGTTATGTTTATGCAGGTATATTGATATTCTTTTATATTATTTTCCACCGTGTTGTATCGTTTTTTATTTGAGGTTGAAGACAACGTGAGTATTAAATTTTGACAGAATTAGAAACACTATTTGTTTATACACAAATTGCCTATTACCACCTCGATACGTCTAAACGTATTTTAAAAGATTGAATAAATTAAAATTCTAAATATATTTATTCAAATAGACGATTGCGCGTTTTTATGAGACGTCGAAATTTTACATAAAATTTAATACATAAGTTCGTAAGTAAGCTACCACCGGTTCGAATAGCAGTTTTCTGTTGAGAAGAAAGTGGCAAGAAACTTAACAGTTCTCTGATTTGAAAAGACAAGTTTACAATATAACATGGTACAGGTATAAAAGTCTTATTTTAGTCTATTGTGGTAGGATTACGCAACATTGTTCACTGTTGCACGAATGCCGTCCGGGTAACTACCACGATCTCACAGAATACCGGCGTAAAGTAAGAGTGTTGCACTCCCGCGTTTCGTCTGGTGAGTGAGGTAGCCCGGGCTCACTTTATGTAAAGGTGGCAACGCATTTGCAGCCCTACGGGTGTTGCAAATGTCCATGGGCGGCGAATATCACTTAGCATCAGGTGAACCGCCAGCTCGTATGACACTTCCTCCCATTAAAAAAAAATCAACAGTATTAACTCCACACATTGGCGTCGTCAAGATTTTCTTTGTTAAAGTTCAAATAAAACTTGTGAACGGACGCAAGATACCTACGAAGCGTTCACAGAATTGCCCAATCTCGGTAAAAGTCTATTTTAGTCACAAGTTAAATCCTACTGCGGGCGGACGACATGGCGTAGTACTAGTTTAAGGAATGTTAATATTTACACAGTTCCTTTTTTTCCAGTAAGAATAATTTTTTGATTACTCTTTTAGATTTCGTGTTTGACTTACGTCGCCTGATTACGGCTAGTTAGAAAAAAGTATGTAACTATGTTTTATTACATATGCATTGGACCTTTCTTTACGCTAAGGTCTTCAGTATTGTAATGTAATGTTCAAATTTGTTGACGAACAAATTTGAACATTACATTACAATAAAATTTGTTGACGAACAAATTTGAACAATACATCAAATTTGCAACAAACGACCAAAATGCATTCTTCCAAAATATTGATCATAAAAGAGTACCCATTACGAATGTAGGAATGCTTAGACGTATAGATAGATTTGATTAAAACAAAAGACCGTGTAAAGGGTAAATCACGAATCTTCAGCATCCTTCTGGGCGTGTGAGTTTATCTGCTTGACAAACTGGTCAATGTTTCACAGGCACTCGAATTATGCCAATTGGTGTAATTAGATTGAATTTCTGTAGACTGCTGTAGTCTTTCCTTATCATTCGTTCTATATCATCCGTCACATTCACTTATGTATGCCGTACAATGTAAAGCGGAGCGCAACAAATTTTAAACTCAGCGCAGTGTGGACATGCGTCATCTTTATTGAAACATCGTTGATATACCTACGCTAAAGCAATCCCTCCGCTCGCAGGTTCCGCCGTGGTGAGCGTGTGCATGCGACAGTTCGACGACGCGATCAGCATCACAGTCGCCATCATGATAGTGGTGACCGTCGCCTTCGTTCAGGAGTACCGCTCGGAGAAGTCGCTCGAGGAGCTGAACAAACTGGTGCCGCCCTCGTGCAACTGGTAAAACCTTTAACATTTTATCCCATTTTATTCCATTCGATCCTCCAATGCGTTACGTTTGGGCACGTTTTTTAAAGGTGCCCAAATTCGCACAGGAGGTTCAGATTCGATAGTATAATCGTTTATGGAAATAAAAACAAATTTTTTTTTCAAGAAAATTGCCATTCTAATCCATAAAAACAGAACTTTTGACAATGCGGTAGTCATTCATAAATGCATCGTATACTTTTGAAACGAACTTGTGTGCGTGTTAGTTATGAATGATCGCGCGTAAAATAAATTAGTTGCCTATAAATCACCCATTTTTTGATATAAGTTCAAATGAATGTAATTAATTAATTACGAGTGATTTTAAATATTTATCATTTTTGCATAACATTATTTATGTCTAGAATTTAATAAAGAATGGATACACTCAGAAAAGCCTCCCTGTATAAATATGTAACACATTGGAATCTAACTGTGGTAGGACCACGCAACAGTATTCGGTGTTGCACTAATGGGCAGGTCCGTCCTTGTTGGTACCATGACCTGACAGAAGATTGCGTGTATTGGAAGTGTTACACTTCTGCGTTTCGTCTGGTGTGTCGGGTAGCCGGGGCCCACTTTATTGAAAGGTGGCAAAGCATATGCAAAGCTACAAGTGTTGCAAATGTCCGTGGGCGGCGGTTATCACTTAACATCAGGTGAACCGCCAGCTCTTTTTCACATAAAAAAAAGTGTAAAGATAACTTCCAAACTTGACGTACACGATGATATGTAGATTGTTATTGTTTAAAGAAATAGAAGAATTCCGTTATTAAAATAATTTATATATTTCTTTTTGTTTATCACCACGTTTACCTTCCTTCTCTAGCTAGTGTCTGTCCACTGATATCCGTCTCTGTGCCCGAAGAAAAAGTTCAATATGCACTGAATGTATTTTTTCCTGTCTACTATACTTTTTTTATGAGAAATGTCAGCCCTGGTTCAGAATTCCAATCACAATAAAAGTTTTAAGTTATGATTTGCACCTATTCTACTGTGAAGAAAAGCTTTAAGATATGTTAAGTCTACCAATCCTGAGTTAGCGTGGTGCACTATGCTCTAATACCGTCAGCACTGAAGAGGCATTTCCAACAGAGGGACGTATGTAGGTTGTTACTTGTATATTGTGTCTCGTTTGAAATGAATTCCGATATACAATTAATGGTTATATTGTACTTACAACGTGTGAAGGAAAGCGGTCGACTTGATGTCTAATTTATACGCTTTCACCACGGCCCGTCGCAGTCACTGTTTTTCAACTGTTTCATATTGTTCCTGATTGTACCTGATCGTGAGGCAGGCATTGGTTTCCTGTTTGACTCATGAACGATGGTCAAAGTGGTGGTCTCGTAATAATGCAACCCCCAAATCTAATAATAGCTGCTATCGGTGCTTTTGGTATTTATTTATTTATTTATTTATTTATTTATTCATAGGATTACCTACACATACAACATAAGATACAGCATCTACAATCTAAAAATAAAATGCTAAGAATCTACGTAACTGTTCTTACAATTAGAGGTAATCACATCATGCTTTAACAAAGATAAGAGGATAATAAAAAGTGCAATGGATAATAAAAAAAAATCTTAAAAAACAAATTAAGCTAACAACATTTAATTTTTTTTTATATAATAGCAAATTGACATAAGTTCTGACAATTTTGTGCATAAACAAATAATTTTAGGGTTGCGTTAACGTTTTTAATTTAGTTCAATAGCTTGTGAGACTGTCGAAATGTATGTCTAGATCAGGTGTTTGTTTTGCTTTTTCATTGTAAAGACGGGATATGCGGACCACAGGAGAATCACGTTCCAAATTTGTCCTGCACAGTTTTTTTATTAAATAGGTCACATGGTGTTCGTGGTATCTTGCGAGGAACATTATATTGAAATTTGCTCAACAACGGAGGACAATCTATGTTATTATTCATAAGCTTGTGTAGGAATAATAAGTCTAAGTGAGCTCGGCGTGTCGATAGCATTTCGAGATTGAAATGTTTTAATTTGTCACAGTACGTTTTCAGAGATCTTGGAGCCTGAAAACGGTACGTTCAAACGTGAACTAGTTTTTTTGTACCCTTTCAATGCGGTTTGTATGGATCTTTGAAGTTGGGTACCAAACTGTGCTACAGTACTCAAGTTTACTTCTCACATAACAGTTGTAAAGCAAGATAGCGGTTGTTGTTTTCTTAAAATCTTTTGAACATCTCAAAATAAAGCCTAAGGATTTGTTAGCTTCGGTTATGATTTGATTGATATGAAAATTAAATCGCAGTTCGCTATCCATTATAATACCGAGATCACGTATAATAGTTACTTCATCTAATTTCTTACCCGCAATGAAGTATTCAGATTGAAGTTTCTTTCGTTTTCTAGTAAATTTAATATGATAACATTTAGAAGTATTTATAAACATTTGATTTGTCATGCACCACTCGTCAATGCTATGTAGGTCATCTTGAAGACGATTGGTGTCTGTTAGATTTGTTACAGTCTTCAACAGCTTCAGATCATCGGCAAATAGGTAGCTTTACAGTATTTTATTTTGCTGGTGATGTCATTGATAAAGACATTGAAAAGCAGGGGTCCCAAAATAGAGCCTTGAGGTATGCCTGAGTACGCAGTGAAAGAAAAAGACTGCATACCATTAACAACGACTTGCAATGGCCGGTTTGTGAGGTACGATGTACACCAAGAGAGAAGGTTACTCCTTATTCCGAAGTCATGCAGTTTGTTTATAAGTATTTTATGATTTACTTTGTCGAACGCTTTTGAGAAATCGGTATAAATTACATCCGCTTGAATGTTCTTATCAACCGCTTCCTTTAGATCCGAAGTGAATAGCGTGAGATTGGTGTTTGTCGATCTTTTTGACATAAATCCATGCTGATTAGGTGATATGTACGTTTTTATGTGATTGTACATAATAGAATGCACCATTGACTCAAATAATTTGGACATTGTTGACAAGATAGCTATTGGCCTATAGTTGGTTATAAGATCTTTCTTTCCGTTTTTGAACAGTGGTACTATTCTTGTTTTTTTCCATCATTCTGGAAATATGCCTGTCCTCATAGATTGATTAAATATAATAGTTAATGGAACAGCCAAGACGTCTGCACAGTTAACTATAAAATGCGGGTGTATATCATCAGGACCTATGCCTTTTGAGCATCAAGCATAGCATCAAGATTTTTCAGTTTCTTTTTAACGTCTTGTGTCATAAATTCGATGTCACTTATTATGTCGTGGGTCTCAATGTCTGTTAATGGGTTATACATACAATTATTTTTTTTTGTGTTGTCCTTTACATATTCAGTATTTGTAAAGTTGGTTGCAAACATATCTGGAATTTGGTTGGAATTGATAGATACAACATTGTTCAGATTCATAACTTGTGGAAAGGATGAATTGTTTCTATGGAGGTTTTTCACATATGTCCAGAATTTTTTAGGGCTTTTCGTAATTTCATTTTCTATTGAAAAAATGTATTTATTATAACACTCCTTTATTAATCTCTTGCAGTCATTTCTCAAGTATTCGAATTCTATTTTATCTAGTGGATTTTTGTACTTCTTTACTCTTTGATGATACTTGCTTTTTGTTTAAGTAAATGTATTAGATGTGATGAAAACCATACTATAATAATAATAATAATAAAATATCTTTATTCACATAGACGCTTGCGCGTTCTTATGAAGCGTCAAAATTTTACAAGAAATGAACACGTTCGTAAGTTACCACCGGTTCGGAAAGCAGTTTCTGTTGAGAAGAAACCGGCAAGAAACTCAACAGTTGCTCTTTTTAAAAAAAATCAGTTTACAATATAATAGTACATGTACAATAGTCTTGTTTTATCCTACGTGAGTATCAACAGTATTAACCCCACACATTGGCGTCGTCAAGATATTCAGCAATAGAATAATAGGCTTTAGCCATAAGTTTACTTTTAATTTTTCGTTTAAATTCATCAAGTGGCAGACTTAATATCGACTGTGGGATTTTATTATACATGCGCACATCTTGCCCCATGAACGACCTGTTTACTTTTTGTAAACGAAACAATGGCGTAGTTAGTTTGTCCTTATTTCTAGTATTTAGTTTATGTCTGTCACTATTCTTTAGATAACTATTAATATTATTTTTAACATACAAAATATTACAATAAATATATTGAGACGCAACAGTGAGTATATTAATCTCTTTAAAAAGGTCTCTGAGTGTATTCCGAATACTGGGTATGACATCTTGGACGATGATGTAAAGGGAACAAATTTCTTAATAATTTTGTATAATATATCGTAGAATTTAGTTACCATTTCATTTACATTGTTGCAGTCGCTCAATTCATCGATCCATGATATTGCTCCTAAATTTTCCTTGATTGCCTTGTAGTCGCCTTTATAAAAGTTATGTCTAGGTGAAGGTGGTATTTTTGTGTATGTTGTTGTTACTTTTAAAGTGACTTCTAGGGCAGGATGAAACTTGTCGATATCTCTAACGGGGTGCCGACATTCAGTAACCTCTAAAATGTTTTTATTGCACAGTACTAAGTCGAGTATTATGTCTTGGGTGTTTTTGATGCAGTTAAATTGTTTTAGATCATTTATCACTAAAAAGTCCACGAATTTGCAGGAAAGTTCATGATTTCCATAGCCTTAGATATTTCAACGGGTCATCATAATTTCTTGGTCAGAGTTTCATTTAATAATCAGAGTTTCATTTAATAATCAATACTTGTTTAAAAATATTCTATACGAGGAATATACTTCCCCTATTAATGATTTTAAAAACAGTTTTCTCTCGTATACGTTCAAGTGTATAGAAGTGTTTTTGCCGATAGGGCGATCATGTGTGTCCTAGATTAACCGTATAAACGTATGCCTGTCGTACTTCGATATAAATCATTGATAAAACGACGTGATGGTTGTTTGGGAATCGATTATTTTCATTGACTAATGCTGCAGTGAGCCGTGATAGCTCAGTGTCCGGGCGCTCGCCTTTAATTCAATATACTCGAGCAACCTGAGTTCGATCCCCGGTGCCGGCACCAATGAAGTTTTTAACTTTAAGTGCTGAATTATCACGTGCTCCGCGGTGAAGGAAACATCGTGAGGAAACCTGCATATTTTCGAAATAATAATAAAAAAAAATATTTCGAAGATATGTGAAGTCCGCCAATCCGCAGTGGGGCCGCGTGGTGGACAATGCCCTGATACCCTCTGTATAGAGGAGGCCTTTGCCCAGCAGTGGGACATGTATAGGCTGTTACTTTACTTTACTTTACTTTAATGCTGCAGTTTCTATGAGTCATTAAAATAGTTTTGCGTTGACAGAGTTCCACAGTTTACTAAATTCTTCGCGGTAAAATCGCTTGTATGAAATGACTTTTAAGTATTAATCATTACAAAAACCTCCAGTTTGGAGGTTTTTGTAGTGATTAATTATATTTGGTACGGATTGTAAACTCCCACGTTCTAAACAATTTCTAAAGTCAAACTTAAATTTATGGGATAAATTCAAAATATTCTTAGAACCGTAATTAACTGTAACTTAATTATTGCCTTACAGGTTTTTAAAAGCTTTTATCATATTTAGGGTATATTTAGAAACTTATTTTTTTATGTAAGAAAGTTGCAAGCGAGCTGGCGGTTCCCCTGATGGTAAGTGATAACCGCTGCCAATGGTCATTGCAACACTAGTAGGATTGTATATGTGTAGCCACCTTTTAATAAAGTGGGCCTTATGATATGCTGGTAAATTTAATATTAATTAAAGACCGCATCACACGAACCGTACCACACGAACCGACGTCCGTAGTTTTAACAAGCGTACGTACATTTACAAACCTGTTTAGGTACAAAGTTTGGGCCTGTACACAATCCGGTGCCCGTTAACTTTTTAATTGACCCCTTGTACACCGGCTCGGTTTCGCTCCGCAAAATTAACTTCGGGGCAATGCAATCAGTTGAACCAATTAGCTTTACTCGGCGCAGGTGAGATTGATGTGGTCTGCTATTGGGTAGGCTACTGGAAATGATTTTTCTCTCTATCGTTTTCCTTTTGCTAAAAGTTTACGTTTTGGGTGTCGTCAAAAGTTTTGCACGCACGTGTCAGATTTGTTTCGTAGGCCAATTTTAAAACAACGGAATGTAATAACGATCAAGCAAGGGTTTCTGCTTTTCTGGATTCAATAGGCTAGGGTGATTACTTATATTGTTGTGATCATTTTGTTCGTTTGTCACCTTTCCTTTGAAGGTACAAATTTGTTAGAGAAAGAGAGCCGGTTTCAATATTCTATCTACATATAGATTCAGTTACTGGAAGCGGAGCTAATGTCAAACACCTATATACAAAAAGTATGACACTGCAGTATTAAGAACTTATTGGAAGCATTAACAATATAAGGTTATATCTAATAGGTAAATAGTTTCAGAAAAAGAGGTAAATAAGAATAGTGAATGGTGGAATGTTAGTTAAGATTTTCTATAATGAAGAATAGTAGTTGATTCGATAGTGGAAGATTTTACGTAGAGTATGTAAGTAAGAAGGAAAGACTTAAAAGGGCACTGATCTCCCATTTTAGGGGACCTAGAAATAAAAATATTAAAATTTGTAGAAAAATTAAAGGTTGTAGAAATAAAAAAAATGTCAAATACCTATCGCTAATATCCAAATCTGTAGATTTAATATTGAAACCGGCCGTAAATCGGCTTTTAAGCCCGATTCACACTGAAGAGTTTGGTACAGTAAACAAGCACAGTAAGTAAAGTAGTGTAAACCGTCAGTCAGTGCTGTAACGTTTTTTTTTTAGTGGGTGTCTAGATAATGATGGGAAGATTTAATAAAAGATTTATTAGCGGTTAAGAATTTGTATTTATCCCTTCAATTTAAAGTTACAATCCCTGGACTAGCTCAGATACAATATATTTTGTAATATAATAATAATAATAAGTTGGGCACCTTGTCTGTTAGGAACAGACTGTTGTAATAATCACAATTAAGTATCTCAGGGAGTCGTGAGTACATAGGACCTACACATTACTTTGTGCGACCATTAAAAGGTTAGATAATTAAATTAATTTAAGATTATGAAAGTTATGCAATTCAATTTAAAAAATAAAGTCCAATCAGGTAGTTACTTTAAATCTATGTCACCGCAGAGACACCTGCCCTGTGCGCACAGGTCAGCGTTGAGCTCAGAACCAGTAGAGAAAGTCAGGCCAAGTGTAGTGTGTACAGCCACACTGTTGGGGGGTATGTAGGAGACCTCCTGCCAACAAACACTACATTGTAGAACTAACAAAGGCAGGGATTTCAATCCACCTACAATTATAAGATGTGAAACACTTACCAACTGGAGGTAAAAAACAACATTCAATCGAGCAGCAGCTCAGACCAGCTTGCCAGCCACCTATGCCTTCAGCATCCACCTGTGATATTCGAAAAACCATACTTAGAAACACGAGACAATAAATTCTCAACCTACCTTCATGTGACATTTCTAAATACATTCACAATGCAAGACTTTTACAATTTTAGTAGGAAACCAGTGAAAATAACAGAGGATCTTACCACGAGGGATAACAAATCCAGCACAGTTTCCCAGACAGCAATCACAAATAATACGACCAGGAACGTGTTCTGATTTCAACCTCTAGCCATGCACTGCAAAAAAAAGCGAATTGATAAGAAAACGAAACGCGTAAACAAAACAACCACTGGCATGACCGAAACCAAGCAATTACTTACCAGTCGAAGATAATAGATTCACAAAAACTAATTTATCCAATGTCAATTCGAACCGGCGGCAATCTCAAATGACAAGTACCAACAAATGAACTCAACTTTTTGATTCGACCTTTCGAAAAGGCAAAGGTTCATATGACATGCAGCCTAGTCTTTAGAAAAACAACAATTTCGACAAAGTGATGACGTCACGTTACAGTGCTCACAGCCAAGACTCCGACCGTTTACACTACAGTTCTTGCTCACTGTACTTGTCTACTGTACTAAACGCTGGACCAATGTTAATCGAGCTTTCGATTGACGTTGCATTTCGCTCTGTGCCAGCTTGAGGGAGGGCAGTCTGGAGCACTTCCTCGCCCGCAACCTGGTGCCAGGTGACATAGTCCACCTGAACGTGGGCGATCGTGTGCCTGCCGACCTGCGCCTCTTCGACTCCACGGACCTGGCGATAGACGAGTCCTCCTTCACCGGCGAGACAGAGCCGGCCACCAAGAGCGTGCTGCCCAACAAGGCGGCCGCCGGCAGGGTGAATAAGGACAACGTCGCCTTCATGGGCACCCTGGTTCGCTGCGGGAACGCCAAGGTGAGCACAAGCGGTCGTGCCAATTGCTTAAATGTTAATAGAAGTAAGAAGGAATAATAGCGTTAATAATCTGTGTTTATTATATTCTTCGTTTGTAGTATATAATTTTAGTATTTTGTTTATAATATATGTAACTTGTAAGTATTAGTTATAGTTTTTCTTTTTTTTTGTATCTAATCTTCCCTGTACCACTCTAAGGTTGACTGGGAGATAATGAATGATCTTCTTAATGATCGGAATGGTCAATTCAAAAAGTATAACAATCCTTTTGGGAACTCAAATAACGTTTGAAAAGCCATTTCACAGCTGATTAGTTAACTTCCACGATGATCAGTGTTGCAGGAACCGGGCGTTAGTCCGCCTTTGTACTTTTGTGCATAAAAAATAAATAAATAAATAAATGTTACCAAATATGTTACCTTAATTATTTATTAGATATTAATCACCATACGTAATATAATAGCGTAGTTGTTATATTTATAAAATAAAACGTTCCCGACGTTTTATAGCACATTGTGATGTTGATTCAAAAGTACAATTGTTGGGAGCGTTTTAAATCATTCCGGTATTTTTATTAAGCCGTCAGTCGGTCTCTTTGTTTTCAACTGAAAAATGCTGCTTGTTTTGCATTGTTTTTCTAGACGCATACAATTGATTATTATTTACAAAAATGTACATCCCATTAAATGAATTTCTCTTCATTATCATATAAGTAACTAGTCCATGATTTAAAATCTTATGCTGATCTTATATTGAAATTTGAATTACCGTCGCTTCGTCTGTTGACTTCTAATAATGTGCGAATCGATTGTAGATTATCATTATACAGGGTAATTTAATAGACGACGGACATATGAACATAGCATATGCAGTATTTGATTCTAAATCTGAATCTGGTACGTACTCGGGACCACATGGTTTTTTCAAAGATTATTTTTAATTTATTCTAACATTATGGACACCCTATTAGAATCTCCTGCCTTACCGTCTCAATACAACAATCTATTCGCGAGCACTAAAACTGTTCGCTAAACGCATAATTACCAAACCGCTTATCAATAGGGTGACCACTCTTAACGGGATAAACAAACAATGTTTAAATTGATATTTTTCTGGTTATTTCTTGTCAAAATAAAATATTAATATTTTTTTGAATACGGGATGCTCAATGAACATTATGTCAAAGTATAAACTTCGTCTAAAAATCACCCTGCATAACCTCACTCGCAAGATGAAACGCAGAAGTATAACAATTCCACTTAACGCCAGTCTTCTGTGAGATCGCGGTACTTACACGGATGGACCATACCATTCGCGCAACAGCCGAAGCGGTCGCGTGGCCTCATCGTACAATTCCCAGTACGGTAATATAGAACGGATTACGTGTTACCGATTGTATATAACGTTTATAAGTATTTGGAGCAAGTCTCACACGAAACAAAATGGGTCACTAGTGGAACGGTGGATGTTCCAGGGCATTGTGGTCAGCACCGGCGAGCGATCGGAGTTCGGCGACATATTCCGCATGATGCAAGCCGAGGAGGCGCCGAAGACGCCCCTGCAGAAGTCGATGGACACTTTGGGGGCGCAGCTGTCGCTATACTCCTTCTGCATAATCGGCTTCATCATGGTGGCCGGCTGGCTGCAGGGCAAAGCGATCCAGGATATGTTCACAATCGGCGTCAGTCTGGCGGTGGCTGCTATTCCCGAAGGTATGTGCAGTATTTGTGGCTAGACCAGGGCCTTCTGTTTACAGCTCAATAAGGACACTCGCAATTTAGATTGAGGGCCTCCCGTGTTGAGGTCAATAAGTTCGTTGACACTTAACTCTCTATTAAGATGTGTCGCTAGATTGGTTGAAATGTAGTGCTGCACGTCCGTTGTAATGATTTTTGTTTATTATTCTGTTTTAACCGAATTACGTAAGGATGTACATAAATGTCTTAACAATATCGTAATACGTGTGCGATATTGATAGACTTTTGTATTTATTATTGTACAAAGGAAGTCTTTCAAGACACCCTGTTTTGTTTAGACGGAATCTATTTCTCTGAAATGTTAGTTTCATGTATCACTTCATGCATGAACATGCTGTTACGTATAGATATGCTGTATGCTTTACATTTTATATTGGAATTCCATTGGAATGTTAATGATTTCATTGTTGTTATTTCTCCACTGAAATTTATTTCTCCATGAATATAATTGGAAAAGAGAAAGAAACTACATGAATAGATAAAATACTTGCTGTTCAATAATTAAGTTCCTGACATATTAAATAAGTTCAGAGTGTTGTCGAAGACAGAGAGTAGACAGTATGTGATATTAAATACTTGCCAAACTATGGCTCTATTTTTTTCGGTCATTTTTTCATGTAAATACGTTTTCCAACTCATTCTCATCGGTGGCGTAGTTGCCAAGGTATTGCCGGGGTCGTGGGTTCGATTCCCACACGACACAACTATTTTCGTGACCCACAGAAAATTGTTTCGGGTCTGAGTGTTTGTCCACGTGAAATTCATATTTGTCTAAAGTCCTTACAACACAGGATAATGTTATCCTACAATAAGGGGCCAATGTTTTCGAAGCGAAGACTGCAACAGATCATGTGGGTCCCAGTGGTCATTTGGAATTATTACCCAACCCTCTCCACACAAATGTATGTGCCTCTGCCAGGTCTCCCGATCGTTGTGACGGTGACCTTGGCGCTGGGAGTCATGAGAATGGCTAAGCGCAACGCCATAGTGAAGAAGCTTCCCACCGTCGAGACCTTGGGTTGTGTCAACGTCATCTGCAGCGATAAGACTGGTACAGAGTTTAAGTTCTTATATTAGCTTGTCATCATCATCAGAATTAGAACATCTATTAACTACTTCATCATCAGCTACTTCATCATCACCAATGTTTTAGTTTATCTAAACTTTGTTAACAGCCTGATGCATATGTCGTTTTACATCAACCGACAGCAAGCGTTGTTTAATCTTAATTTTTACGGATTTTAACGTGTTTAACCGTAAAGTTTTCATTTACCTTTATTATTACATGATATTTGATAAAATCCATAGAGAGCAGTTTTAATTGCTGTGAAGTGTTCGTCTTTTATTCCTTTTTCTTAAGGAGATTTCTAAAATATTGTGAAAGGAGGCCAACAATGATGGTCGGATATACATGTTTAAAGTGAACTCGAAAGTAATGTGATAATGATGGTTTCTTACTTGGGTTAATGATGGTGATGGTTCTACACTGGAGAAAAATATGGCAACAAGGCAATTATTGATGAAAGAAAGGATAAAACATGTTCCCTTCTGTTATTATTCAATCGATGGGATCACAATGTTTGTCCATGTGAAACATGTGCACCTCAAGTGTTTATTTAAATGCCTTAGAAATTTATTTAAAATAAATTTTAGTATAAAAACTTATTTGCTAATTTATTGGTTTGTGGTGGTAGTGGCGCGGCGGGTCGTGGGTTCGAGTCCCACAGGGTACAAGCATTCAGCAGAACAAGCGTCCAGTCTTAAAAAACCTATCCAATACCATTAACAAAACGATAGAAATATTGTGCCGACCCCAATCAGGTGAGAAATGCAATAGTAATAAATACTTTTGTACCATGGTATATGTTTTCGCTTTCAGTTGAAAATAATTATGCCACTCACGGCCTGTTTAAATATTCTATCTACAGAACGATTTGGTTACCAGTATTTTTGACATTAGGTCCATAATACTTAGGTCGAAATTCTATCCCCAACCACATCTATCTGTAGATCTGATAGAATATCAAAACTGGCCGTTGATGTAACGCGCGGTTCGTTTGCCGATCTGTTCCCTAAACAAATAAATAGAGAACGTGTCCCTTACTCTTACTCTCAGGCACCCTTACTAAGAACGAGATGACGGTGACCACGCTGTCCACTTCGGGCGGACACATCGCGGAGGTGTCGGGCGCTGGGTACAACGCGCGCGGCGAGGTGCAGCTGCGCGCGTACAAGGGCCGCGATCTGCACGTGGCGCGGATGGGGGTGCACAGCATGCTCGAGGTGACCACGCTACTAGTAGCGGACGGGACTAATTGTGGGAGTGGGACAGGCGATTGTTTTTACTGTAGGAGAGCCACTTGGCGCGCATAGGCTTGCACAGCAAGGTCGAGGTGGGAGTGGGACAGGCGATTGCTTTTACCGTGGGAGGGCCACTCGGCGCGGATGGGCCTGCACAGCATGCTTGAGGTGACCACGCTACTATTAGCGGCCGAGACCTACGCGACTAGTTGTTACCACGCGTGTATGCATTTCATGTTGTCCACTGTGCGCTAATAAGTGACGCCAAAGAAAAAAGTAATGGGAAAAAAAAACAAACGAATGACTGTTTTAAAAACTCAAATGCACCAGCTAAATGAATTTATAAATTTGAATTTGGAATTCTCAACCAAAGTGGACATATGTCAGATCAAAGTGGTCAGTACGACAAAACGCTAATTTCATATTATGTAAGGACCTAATATTTATTTATTTATTTATCTATCACTAGTTGTGCCCGCGACTTCGTCCGCATGGAATTTAAAATACAAAAAATTCTAAAGTAAAAGTAGCCTAAGTTACTCCTTATTACATCAGCTATCTGTCAGTGAAAGTCCCGTCTAAATCGGTCCAGCCGTTTCAGAGATTAGCCGGAACAAACAGACACACAGACAGACAGAAATTGTAAAAAATGTTACTTTGGTATACAGCGTGTCTTTACCATCGCGACAATAAATGAACACACATATAGGGGATAACTTTTTAAAGTTGTATTAAAAATTTAAATTCTTTAAAAATCAATATTAACAGAGTTATTAAATTTTCCAAAACAAAGAATTTTAGAACACCCTTACCTATAAAAGCGTAACGTAAAGTTCATTTGTAAAGGTCACAAAGCATATGAATGGGTTGAATGAATTTAAAAGAGACAAAACATACTGTTAGAAGGAGAGGCTTGTAATACGACGCTGTGGCGCGAGTTGTATAGGATGTTACAAATTTTGTTTCTTTTTTACTTAATTAGTTTATTTGAAAAATATTTCTTTTTTTATTATGGATTTTGTTTAAAGTTAATATTTTTTTATTATTATTGGCAAGTGGCGTTAGACGTGTGTTCATTTATTGTCGCGATGGTAACGACACGCTGTATATACATCCATATGCACTGAGTAAAAAGCGGTTATTTTAATATTACAAATAGACACTCCAATTTTATTTATCTGTATAGATTAGCTCTTTAATACATGTTTCACTTCGTCAGGTGGGCGTGCTGTGCAACAACGCCGAGATCCGCGACGAAACGCTTTACGGGCAGCCGACGGAGGGGGCGCTGCTCGCCTGCGCCATGAAGAACGGCTCGCACAGCGCCCGCGAGCAGTACACGCGCCTGCACGAGATACCCTTCAGGTGGGCGGTTCTCGACTCTAATGCGCACGTATTAAGGTCGCGTTTCGGTAGTTAAGACGGGTGCACGGTGGTCGTTCAAGAGATGCCGTTTGGGTGGGCGGTAGTCAACTTTAATGCGCACGAGTTAAGGTCGCATATCGGAAATTTTGAGGGGCGCACGGTGGTCTTCCATGAGATACCGTTTAGGTAGGCGGTTCTTGACTCTAATGCGCACGAGTTAAGGTCGCATATCGGAAATTTTGAGGGGCGCACGGTGGTCTTCCATGAGATACCGTTTAGGTAGGCGGTTCTTGACTCTAATGCGCACGAGTTAAGGTCGCATATCGGAAATTTTGAGGGGCGCACGGTGGTCTTCCATGAGATACCGTTTAGGTAGGCGGTTCTTGACTCTAATGCGCACGAGTTAAGGTCGCATATCGGAAATTTTGAGGGGCGCACGGTGGTCTTCCATGAGATACCGTTTAGGTAGGCGGTTCTTGACTCTCTAATGCGCACGAGTTAAGGTCGCATATCGGAAATTTTGAGGAGCGCACGGTGGTCTTCCATGAGATACCGTTTAGGTAGGCGGTTCTTGACTCTAATGCGCACGAGTTAAGGTCGCATATCGGAAATTTTGAGGGGCGCACGGTGGTCTTCCATGAGATACCGTTTAGGTAGGCGGTTCTTGACTCTAATGCGCACGAGTTAAGGTCGCATATCGGAAATTTTGAGGGGCGCACGGTGGTCTTCCATGAGATACCGTTTAGGTAGGCGGTTCTTGACTCTAATGCGCACGAGTTAAGGTCGCATATCGGAAATTTTGAGGGGCGCACGGTGGTCTTCCATGAGATACCGTTTAGGTAGGCGGTTCTTGACTCTAATGCGCACGAGTTAAGGTCGCATATCGGAAATTTTGAGGAGCGCACGGTGGTCTTCCATGAGATACCGTTTAGGTAGGCGGTTCTTGACTCTAATGCGCACGAGTTAAGGTCGCATATCGGAAATTTTGATCGGCGCACGGTGGTCGTTCAAGAGATACCGTTTGGGCAGGTTCTCGACTCTAACGTGGACGAGTTAAGATCGGTTTTCGGATATTTAAAATCGCGCAACGTCTATTGCTTCGAAGCATAACAGCATTGCGCTACCACAACATTAACCAAGTCGTGTAATAAATAATAGTTATTAGAAAAATATGATACAAATATGTTATATTCGTTTGTTATTAAAAATTTTAATTATGAAATATGTTTAAAATATTTGATTTCATTTATTCTCTAACAGCTCCGAGACGAAAATGATGGTTGTGAAATGCGCTCCAAAGTATCCGGACGGTCAACTCAAAGAGGAGGTATTCGTCAAAGGCGCCATCGAGAAGGTTCTGCCGATATGCACCCACTACATCGACAGGTGAGCCAATTGGTTCGAAGGATTAGAGGAAACGTGGCAAACTATGCAATGTGCTGGGGAGATTCGGCGATTTTTGCTCTTGTTCCTGTATGCTCGAATAAATAGTATTTAATTATGGAAGTATTAATTTACCTTTGACTTTTTATTACTTTATAAAACGTTTTTCTGATAAATTAGTTACTATCAGAGCTCTTTATCATTTTAGCCCGGTGGATGAGGTAGCCGGGGCCCATTTTATTATAAGGTGGCAACTCATCAGCATTGCTACCGGTGTTGCAAATGTCAATCCGGCGTTTATCACTTAAGATCAGATGAACCGCCAGCTCGCTTGCTACTTTCTCCCATAAAACAAAATGTAATATTATGAACTTTAAAAATATAGCAAATGATTAATAAATCAGCAAGAATCAATATTCTAAAAGACAATTTGTTAATTACACCCCTGCTAACATTGCAAATGCTTTCAATAATTAATTTATATATGGAAACTGTAATAATGTTTCACAAATCCAGTGTAAAAAACATTGTTTTTGTCCAATTTTAAATGCTGAATTATCACGTGTTCAGCGGCGAAGGAAAACATCGCGAGGAAGCCTGCATATTTTCGAAAAGCTGCTTCGGATCCCTAAAAATAATAATTCAGTTATCTTAACGGCATAATTATTCTATATATATATATCTCGACTATACATATATTTCGACGACGCCAATGTGTGGAGTTAATACTGTTGATACTCACGTAGGGTAGAATAAGACTATTATACCGGTATTTTATATTTTAAACTGATATTTTTGAAAAAGAACAACTGTTGAGATTCTTGCCGGTCTCTTCTCATAAGAAACTGCTTTCCGAACCGGTGGTACGTTACGAACGAACTATTCATAAGAACGTGCAAGGGTCTATTTGAATAAAGATTTTTGATTGATTGATTGATTGATATAGAGCGTCTAATTTCTGTGTTGCTCTTCCTACACGTTGGCAAAAACCTTGTTTTTAGGTTTTGCGAACGGCGATTTAAGATCGAATTTAATAATTATTGCATAATAATCATTACACATCGTTGTATATTAATGTTATTGTTTTTGTACCACCAGCTCGGGTAACTACGCACCAATGACCAGGGACAAGCAGAACGACTTTCTCGCCGAGGCGTATAACATCGGCAGAATGGGTAAGTACGATTGTGAGAAGGTAGCCATGTTATGTTGCTAATGTGTATTTCAATAGTACATATTACTTGACACACATTTAGTCAGTGGTGGATCCGATTCCCGCACTGGACAGGTGTGACCCATAAATAATTCTTCGGGATCTGGAAGTTTTGTCTCATGGAGGGCTGATGGCATAGGCGGCCGGCTGTTACCAAACCTTGACAGTATCAATGAAATGATTCGCATGTAGTGCCGATACCACCTAGGTGGGCTCGAGAATGGCGAGAGAATGATGATATATTAGTCGGAGGACGGTCTTCGGTTTCTCGAGATAAACGATTTTCACTGACTGTGGTCAAGACGTTATTTTAATGTTCTGCGTTGTCTTCAATGATGCGTGGGCAAAGTCTTACCGGGGAGTGCGCAAGGATCTACTGTGGCGTTGACTAGGCCCTGATGTGAGGTGGGCAAGGTCCTACTGGGGTATGAGTAAAGTGTTGCTGGAGCGTGGACTAGGTCTTATTGTGGCATGGACTGGGTCCTACTGGGGCATGGGTAAGGTCTTACCGGGGCGTGGACTAGGTATCACTGGGGCGTGGGGCACTAAGGTCTTACTTGGGCGTGGACTAGGTCTCATTGTGGAATGGACTGGGGCATGGGTAAGGTCTTACCGGGGCGTGGACTAGGTATTATTGTGGCATGGACTGAGTCCTACTGGGGCATGGGTAAGGTCTTACTTGGGCGTGGACTAGGTCTCATTGTGGCATGGACTGGGTCCTGCTGGGGCATGGGTAAGGTCTTACTTGGGCGTGGACTAGGTCTCATTGTGGAATGGACTGGGTCCTACTGGGGCATGGGTAAGGTCTTACCGGGGCGTGGACTAGGTATTATTGTGGCATGGACTGAGTCCTACTGGGGCGTGGGTAAGGTCTTACTTGGGCGTGAACTAGGTCTCATTGTGGCATGGACTGGGTCCTGCTGGGGCATGGGTAAGGTCTTACCGGGGCGTGGACTAGGTATTATTGTGGCATGGACTGAGTCCTACTGGGGCATGGGTGGGCTAGGTCCTAGCGTGTGCTTTAATGCGTGTAGGTCCTAGCGTGTGCTTTAATGCGTGTGCGTGTTTGTGCGCGTGTGTGCGTGCGCAGGGCTGCGCATGATCGCGCTGTGCCGCGGGCCGAGCCTGGAGGCGCTGGCGTACACGGGCGTGTGCGGCGTGTGCGACCCGCCGCGGCCCACCGTGCGCGACGCCGTGGCCACGCTGCGCCGCGCCGGCGTCGACGTCAAGATGGTCACCGGCGACGCCAGGTCCACCGCGCTCGCCGTCGGTGGGTGCCTCGCTACCGGCTAATTGTGTAACCGACTACGCGGAGTAATATATCGTGGGTTGTACACCTGTCTTTTGCGCCAGAGGCTGTGGGTTCGATCCCCACTACTAGACAAATACTGTGGTTTTTCCAGTGTCACGGTATCTATATATTTATAATTATGTATTTATTTAAAAAAGAAAAGTATATTAAAAAAAGTATGTGAAAACTTGCGTTGGAGTGATTGTTTCTCGTTTGTTCAAATCTACTCTCATCCATCCCCCAGACACACCGTACATTTCGTAAGCGTAAGTGACGTGAAATATCAAGTATTTATAACGTTGTAATAATTTTGAGTGAAATGGCTGAACGCTAATGTTGGCAGCTTTTTTTCGACTTAATCGGAGTTTTGAAACCTCTAGTATAAAAAGCGGTATTCTTTCGTCGAACTCGGAGCATTAAAGAGAAAAACGTAAAGATGTAAAAACGTGAAAAAACATCCTTTATTTGGTGTAAAAAAATTAAAGCAACGTACAATGACAAAATGTATGTTACTTTAATTGTCAACCCTCCTTTTTTGAAGTCGGTTAAAAAGGGCGATTTCGCACACTCGAGTCCGTTATTAGGACGCGTCCACAGTATTCACCGATGATATACAGTTGCACTCAATGTAATTACTGCACCGTACAGCCCAGATGGTCGGCCTGGACGTGCTTCACTCGCAGTCCCTGTCGGGTGACCAGCTCGACGCGATGTCGGAGGACGAGCTCGACAGGACTATCGACACGGTGAGCCCGTTCATTTGAAACCACGGCGTCATCGATACCACGATTCCGATATGCGATATCTTTTTATTTATTTATTTATTTATTTCGGATCGCAAACAGAACATTTTCTATAGAAATAGGTTTAAAAAAATGTTACGTAAGTGAATATTCTAATATTAGCGAACACATCGTGGTTATAGTTTGAAAAAGGTTTCCGAATTCAGACATCTATCACTTCCGTGATAATAAGACGGCTCAACTCACGTTAAAACGGTGTATGTACCGACTACTTTCGGAACCATCGGAGTCCCTTCCCCTTCCCCTTCACTCCGATGGGTGAGTGTGATTAGTGTGACACCGGTTTAACGTGAGTTGAGCCGTCTTCTTATTATTTCAATTATATCTCACGAAATTCTTACTAATTTTATCTATTGAATCGCAAAATTTTATAATCCATTTAGAATATTTCGTTGTCGAGCATACGTTTCTGTATGTTTACGTGAACGTTTAGATTTTTTTTTTATATTAAAATTTTTAGTGCCCAATAGCGATGCTGTGAGAGAAACGCACTTTTTTTACATTAACAATATCTTTGTTGTTACGTCAACAGGTTAGCGTGTTCTACCGCGTGACACCAAAACACAAATTGTCGATTGTCAAGTCACTGCAGCGGCTTGGCAACATCGTTGGCATGACAGGTACGTCTATTTGAGCTACACGTAATCATATGATTTTCTTCTTTGACTTCATTTTATGCTAGTAATACGGGATGTTCAAACTTTACTGTGCATTGACCATGTCGGAAAATTAGATATTTAACATTTTAAAGTACTTACTTGGCCGGCTCAGCGACCCAAATAGGATCTTGGCCTCCGACACGAAAAGACGCCACTGCTCTCTGTTCTGGCCTGTTTCTTGTCAATTTTTTAAAGTCCTACGATCAGAATCTAGAGTTTTGACAAATCTGTTGCACGAACGGGCTGGTCGGTCTGGGGAGGTACCACGGCCTCACAGAAGAACGTTGAAGTGTTATACGTCTGCATTTAGTTGTCGAGTGAGGTAACCTGAGCCTGCATTGTTAAAAGGTAGCAACGGAGCAATCGGTGATGCAATTGTCCACGGGCGGCGGTCGTCCTCGGTTGCCAGCTCGCTCGCATAAAAACCATAGTATGATTAGTATGGCGAAGGTATAACCAGCGAAGAGCTTCATTGTTTTTTTTTTTATGTGAAAAGTTGCCAAACAAGCAGACGGTTCACCTGATGGTAAGTGAATACCGCCGCCCATGGACATCTGCCACACCCTAGGGTTACAGATGCGTTGACAAACTTTTGAAAATTGGGCTCCGGCCACCTCACTCACCAGACGAAACGCGAAAGTATTTGTCATACTCCCACTTTACGCCGGTCTTCTGTGAGGTCGCGGTACTTACCCGGACGGGCCTGCCCGTTCGTGCAACGGCCGAGGCTGCGGCGTGGCCCTGCCACCGTTGAAGGCCACCGTTGAATCGAACCCAAGGCCCACCCTCACCGAAGCGCTGTGCACAGGCGACGGCGTGAACGACGGCGTGGCCCTGAAGCGCGCCGACATCGGCATCGCGATGGGCAGGAACGGCACCGACGTCTGCAAGGAGGCGGCCGACATGATCCTCGTCGACGACGACTTCGCCACCATCATGTGAGCCGAGGCCGCGAACGCTGCTCGGATACTAGCTATGAACTCGAAATATAAAATCGAAAATTACCTATAAGATCGAAAACTAACTTTAAACTCGATAACTACCTATAAGATCGAAGACTACCTTTAAACTCGATAACTACCTATAAATTCGAAAACTGGCTATAAAATCGAAAACTGGCTGTAAACTCGAAAACTGGCTGTAAACTCGAAAACTGGCTATGAAAAACAACGAACCGAATTCAAGTATAAATTGTCTATTTGATTTTCATGAGCTCAGGCCCCGGCGGCGCTGATCGTAAACTAGCTATGAATAAACACATTCTTATCAACAAAAAAACAAAACCTACTGCTGAAGAGTCCGCTACACGCCTCTTGTATAAACTACCTTGCTTCATATAAATTTTTCAAATTTCAGTCTTACGCGTTAAACAGTAATAAATAGAAATTAAACTTAATTTTGACGAAAAAAGAAAAAAGTTATCGACTACTTTATCCACAAAAAATACGTTTGAACCATATCATCACTATAAATGAAACAAATTTTATCGATTTAACGCGCTTATTTTTAATTTTAATTCCAATTAGCTCACTCTGCATAGATCGGACACAAAATTAATAATTCAAAAACTGACGGTAGCCCGGGTTAACTGTGACAATCAGACGTCTAACACCTCAATCTGTCCCGTGACCATGAACGCTGTAAAGGGTTCGAAACGTCGGGAAATAAAATTAAAAATAAACGCGATAAATCCGTAAAATTTGTTTCATTTATTATGTGTAATCGCGTAAATACAATAAATTATCACATATAATCGCCGCAGACACCGGCGCTAAATGGCTAATAGTGATTTCGTCGTAGGATCCACTGATCGGTGTTGCATTTGTGCCACAGCGCGGCCATCGAGGAGGGCAAGTGCATCTTCTACAACATCCGCAACTTCGTGCGCTTCCAGCTGTCCACTTCGATCGCGGCGCTCTCGCTGATCGCGCTGGCCACGCTCATGGGCATCCCCAACCCGCTCAACGCCATGCAGATCCTGTGGATCAACATCATCATGGACGGTGAGCGACGCTCCAATCTCGACCTTATCCGAGCGACGTAAGGTCGGTAATCCGCTGCGACGATATACTGAGCGATTCATGACTCTATCATAGGGCGATACGGTTGACAATTGGTTGTGATAACTCCATGCGGATCCCGTGGATCAACATCATCATCATGGACGGTGAACGATATTCGAGTCTCGACCTTATCCCTGGGAACTAAAGTCGGCTATCCGCTGTGCCGGTATGATGAACGATTCATGACTCTATCATAGGACGATAAGGTTGACAATTGGTTGCGATATCTCCATGCGGATCCCGTGGATCAACATCATGTGGACGGTGAGCATCATCATGGACGGTGAGCTGCGACGACTGCTCATGAATCTCGATACCTTGGTTGTGATACTCCAGCGACCCGTAAACATCATCATGTCGGTAATCCGCTGCACGTAAGGTCGATACGATATACTGAGCGATTCATGACTCTATCACGATACTTGACAATTAGGCGATACCCGGGATCAACATGACGGTGAATCTCGACCTTATCCGGCGACGTGCGGTAATCCGCTCCCTGGCGATTCATCTCTATCATAGTGGATCAACATCATCATGGACGGTGAGCGACGCTCCAATCTCGACCTTATCCGAGCGACGTAAAGTCGGTAATCCGCTGCAACGATATACTGAGCGATTCACGACACTCTTAGGCGATACGGTTGACAATTGGTTGCCATAATTCCCTGCAAATCCTGTGGGATTAACACACGGTTGGTGAGCGATGCTCGAACTTCGACCTTATTTCCTAGACGTAAAATTCTATCCGCTACGATATATGAAACGACACTTTAGCTGGCTGAATTCCCTAAATCCTGCGAATGCTACGCTTATTTCCTAGACGTAAAATTCTATCTATTTTGTGGGAAAAGCGAACTACGCCTGTGGGAAATGAGGGGAGATAATCGGGTGCCATTGTATAGATCAATCGTAAACGTACAGTTCAACAAATGGCTGAAACGCTATACGATAGACTCACGAATCAATACTAAAACGAACCTCAAAGCTATTCCTTTGAAATAGAGTCGGTAATCTGCTGGCAAGATTTCTCTGAATTACAAACAAATGTGTCGGTCAATCTTCGCCCCTCCCTTCTTACGGGGGAAAACCCCGCCACCTTCCGCAATCGTAAAAACAATTTAGTCCCGCACGAATTACCGATGATCTACGAGCCTACAGCTTTTACGTGAGAAATTGAGTTGAGGGTCCACCACAGGCCCGCCGGCGCAGTCGCTGGGCGTGGAGCCAGTAGACCACGAGGTGCTGAGGAGACGGGCCAGGGACACCAGGAGGCGCATCATCTCGCGCGGCCTTCTCTTCTCGGTCCTCCTCTCCGCCGCCATCATCATCGCCGGCACCCTCTGGGTCTTCAACCGGGAGGTGGGCGTTTCTAATAATAACCATAATATTAATCAATTTATTTTATATATGCAATATATATCTATATGTTTATTTTTTATCTATAAACCCAACCAGACGAGAAAACAAATAAATCCTCAGTAACAATTATAGTATTTACATCTACATGTTTATTTTTATTTATTATATCTATTTAATGTATATAATGTACGAGATGCATATCTATATGTTTATTTTATTTATACACCCAACCAGACGAGAAAACAAATATCCCCAAAAAATAATAATAACAGAACGAAACTCTACTGAGACCGTCCTCGGCAACCTGACCTGACCTGACACTCTTCCAAAAATCCACTAAAATCAACTTACTTCTGATTTTACACCTAATTAAGTTTTTATAATTGTATCATTAAAAAGAAAGGAGATAAAAAGACCGCAGAGTTTCTTGCCGGCTCTTCTCTGCTCAAGTCTAGCTTACTGAACCGGTAATAGTTTTTTTGACGTCCAATAAAAGAAATTTTTCCTTTGACTTAGTCGTACACAACACACAGAAAAAAAATCACAAATATGACACAAAATGGCAACAGGATTTTTGGCGTATACTCGTAACCTTGACCATAAAAACCAGCAAAAGACCAGGCTGTGGCGACGGCGTATGGAAGTTGCAGTGAGGGATGAAAAAGTTACAAAATCTTAATGATAGAGAACTAATAAAGGATATAGCATGGAAGTTTGAAGCAGTATATTGTATTATATTATAGTATATATTAGTATTATAATATTCTTTTGAGAAAATAAACGTTTCTTTGAACCTAAGTTTGATGTATCTTAACTATGGGACAGATGTCCTATATTACAGGATGCCCACCACCTCAATTCAGGTAATATTTTGACCTATGCCCAGCGCTTGCATTTAACAGATTTCATTAACACTTGTGCTTTACCTTGACAGGTTGTCACTTTTAGCCAATGCGTTTATGACCGCAGCCACCTGAGACTGTAACTATCTTGTATCAACTGATGTTTTTGCTTTGAGTCCCGAGACTATTAAAGCTTCATCTGACGCAGAACCGGTGGGCTAGCCAGAGCCCATGGATTTGGGCTGACTGTAATACATACACTGGCTATACAGGCCGTTGCATTTTCACTTGTGCTTTGCCATGATAGTCACTTAAATCTTTTTCGATTGCGGTTCCAGATGTCCGACAACAAGATCACTCCACGCGACACCACGATGACATTCACCTGCTTCGTGCTGTTCGACATGTTCAACGCCCTCTCGTGCCGTTCGCAGACAAAGTCTGTGTTCCAAGTGGGCCTGTTCGCCAACAAGTGGGTTTTCGTAGTGATTTTGGAAAAGCATTTAAAAATTTCTCCATTAATATTACAGTTAATGTATTGGCACATTTTTTCATTCTTAATATAAAGAACTAGAGTAAAATATATGTGTCCCACGGCTGGCCAAAAGCTTCCTCTGTAACGAGGGTATAAGGCCCATAGTCCACAAAGCGACCCCACTGCGGATTGGCGGACTAAAGAAAAACTAGAATTGTATGTATGTTAAACAAATTTGAATAGTCTTATTACCATTTATTATTATTTACACTATACTGTGTAAAATTTTACTGAACTGGGTTTCAATCAATCGTTGACATTAATACTACTAAAATATGAGGGATACAGATGGTAAAAGATCTCTGCTGGTTACTAATGTAACATGCTCAATAAATTGAAAGACAAGTCAATGAATACTTATATGTATATGTAATAAGTTCAGCCTTATACTAAGGAAAACTGTGAATTTATTATCAAATATGTTCTACAAAACAAAAAAAAATATTGACATCCATGGATCTGATTCTAGAATGTTCCTGGTGGCAGTTACCTTGAGTCTGGTGGGACAAATGCTGGTGATATACTTCCCTCCGCTGCAGCGGGTGTTCCAAACAGAAGCGCTGACTGGCCATGGTAAGTTACTTGCTATTATCTGAACTTATTTTTACAATATACAGCGTGTCGTTACCATCGCGACAATAAATGAACACACGTCTAATGCGACTTGCCAATAATCATAAAAAAATATTAACGTTAAACAAAATCCATAATTAAAAAAAAATATTTTTCAAAGTAATTAATTAAGTAAAAAAGAAACAAAATATGTAACATCCTATACAACTCGCGCCACAGCGTCGTATTACAAGCCTCTCCTTCTAACAGTATGTTTTGTCTCTTTTAAATTCATTCAACCCATTCATATGCTTTGTAACCTTTACAAATGAACTTTACGTTACGCTTTTATAGGTAAGGGTGTTCTAAAATTCAGACTTTTGTAAAATTTAATAACTCTGTAAATATTGATGTTTAAAGAATTTAAATGTTTAATACGACTTTAAAAAGTTATCCCCTATATGTGTGTTCATTTATTGTCGCGATGGTAACGACACGCTGTATACATCTTTTCCCCCTAAAATTTATTTATTTTGCCTACATAAATGTGTTTGTTCAATAATATCATAAGTGGGTATACTCAAAATTTAATTGAAATTCTTATAGTCTCTGATGCCAAGGGGAAATAAACAATCTTATGTACAATAGTGTGTATAAAATTGAAGCAATATTGACGTGATCCATTTAGTAGTAGACGGTAAATGGTGTAACTTTGTTCAGTTAAATTTATGAGATTTTTTTTATGTGAGAAAGTGGCAACCGAGCTGGTGGTTCGCCTGATGTTCACCTAACCGCCGCAAAATAGAGATTTGCAACACCCGTAGGATTGCAAATGCGTTGATGATGATGATGAGAACTTGTTTATATTTATTTTTAAGTTATTTGTATTTCTTTTAAGTTATTTATATTATTCGGTGCTGATGCAGATCTCATATTCCTCGTGGGCCTGACGTCGATCGTGTTCTTCGTCAGCGAGCTTAAGAAGCTGGTTGAGCGCGCTCTCAAGAGGCGGGCCCACGGAAAGTTCTCGACGAAGGCCCACGACGCCTTGGATTTTGTATGACACGAGACGAACAGGAAGGAGCAGTGAGCGGCCAGAGCCGGCCCGCGACGGACGGCGGTCAATCTGACAGCTGTCAGTTGGATGACAGCTGTCAGTCGGTTGACAGATGTCAGTCGGTTGACAGCGGTCAGTTGGTTGTCAGCTGTCAGTTGGTTGACAGCGGTCAGCTGGTTGACAGCTATCAGATGGTTGACAGCTGCCGTCGCGGTAACGATTGTCAGTTCAGTAACAGCTGCTCGTGCGTGAGGGGAGACCGCCCGGACGCACCGCCGTTTTCGATTTACGACGGAAAAATGGATATTCCTATTCGTATTTAGTTTTCTTCGTCGTCTCTTCCACCGTCTCGTCCCCTCGTGTTTAGTGTAAGGTAGCCGCGTCGCCAGTATTGTCGTATTAAGCGCCCGTGTTAGTATTTATTGCTTTGTGGCACTCGCGGTGGGGCTGGTTTTAACTTGTTACCGTTTTAAATGACAATTCGGGTAGGGCCGTAGAGAAACGTATCACGATTGTCGCTAAGTTTTCCTCACATATGTATATTTTAATGAATGAAAATATTCTAAACAGTGATGTTTGCAGTTAACGAACTTTAATTGAGTTTTATTTAATCGATTTTGAAAGCAGCATTTTTCTAATGCTGCATCCGTTTTTTTTTGTAAATGGAAACTGGTAGAAATCCATCAAAGCTAAAAGGCTTTTGTGAGTACAGGCTGAAAATGTACAATGAGCCTAAAACTTAATCTAAGTGAAATTTTGTGAATTTTTTTACGCTTATCTATGTGTAGTAATTATTATTATTGTGGATATATTTTAGTGCCGGCTTCGTGGTTATTGCGGCCATTGTGTTAAGATTGTAATCAATGTTTCACTTGTAAAGTGACCTGTGTCACCAAAACATAATATACACAGACCATTTTATTGTGTAGGTAACTTTCAGTTAACTCATAAAATATGAGACAGTGTAAAAGGCTTTTACTGTTTTAGAATTTTTCTGTAAACATAACGTTCCATTTGGACGTCAATGTTTATATCAATGTAGGGACGGGTAGGAATTATTGTTCTACTCCCTAGTGGCATATCTTTAGAAGTAGGACTCACTCTACCATCAATACTATTGCATCATCTCCATTGTAATTGCTATATTCTAGCACCTCCAACCGGTTACTGGATATTTTCCCAAAAGTTTTAAACGATTTGGGAAGGATTGAGGTAAATGTGAATTTCTAAACGCATATATGATGTTGAATTTAAAGCTTTTTGTGTAATGTTCAACTGTCAAGTTGTTATTCTTTGTGTCTAAATTATTGAAAATGTAGCACCAGTGTGGTTAATATAAAAGTATGAAATATTCTATTGACATATCTGTATTGTATTCATGCACTTTTAAATGAGGAATTTTATTTTATTTTTTTCACTTGTGCTATTCTTTCGTCGACTATAATTCCTGTGCGTAGTTTTAATTTCAATACCAATGGTTCGAAGTAAGTGAAATTTAAAATTAAGTGTCTCTTATAATATAGTAAAGAATCTTTTAATAATCACCAGTTCTTCTAAATATAGTCATGTCACATATAAAACAAAATTCTGGCTCCAGTCGATGACTTGACTATTTTTGAAAGCTTTTATGGCCCAAAACATAACTTGCAATGCAATGTAATTTATAGGTTGCAACCACTGTTAAAGGCAGAAACGGTAGACTACTGACTGTTTTTTTAACATTGTAATCACAACATTTAGGGACTGTGACTCTAGAACCAATTTTAAAATATTATTGTCTTAAATATATTTAATCGTATAGTTGGATAGTCCACTACGAAAGAATTGCCGCTGATTACGAAGTATTTATTATTTATATAACTTTAAACGGGTAGAAATCCTCTATGTTTTCATTAAGACCTCCAAGACATTGTTGGAGTCCATGTCTAGTGTAATTAATGAATAGATATGGTTCTGAGTATATACTATAATAACTCAACGGGTAAGTTTTAAAATAATATATGATTTCAACCATTAGGTTCATTCTATATTGTAATGTTGTAGTTATTTTTAATTAACGTTTTAACGGAAACTATATCTCCGTAAGCGATTATGGTTCAACAAAGTATGTTTGATTGTTGATAGAATGGTGCTTGATATGTGAATGGGAACCATACAAACACTTCAGTAATGTATTACATTTGTATCTTTATGATTCTATTCAATATATTCAATGTATTATCAACGCGTGTATAATGTTTTATTGAATATTTATAGTGTTAAAAATTTTATTCGATTTCGATTTATGCTGTTGGCATTTTGGATTTTATAGCTGTGTGTTGTAGACTTAAACAAATTGGACGATTTCTTATATCTATGAGGGTGCTTGAAGGATTTAATTGAATACCTCGGCTTAAAGTTTTACAGACTTAAAATTACAGAAGGCTTGTCACAGCACGTAGATGTAGTAATATTAATATATACCACAATTAGTGAATACAGTCCATATAAAGTGTGCAATTGTATACACATACATTTATTTATATGTTTTGATATTCTTTGAACCTGATGCTAAGTGCTCAATACAAAAAGCTTTGCTTATGATTTTACTTATAATACTCGACGATAAATATAAGCATATAGACTTTTGGAAAGAGACAGTCGACTAATTTCCATTACGTAGTGTTATCTCTGTCACACACTAACGATATGACGTGCCAGTGTCGGCAGAGTGGTACAAGTGTGCGACAGAGATAATTCTCTACGAACCCGAGAGTAGCCAATTGACAAAATTCGATGTGCGATATTTATTGTCGACTAGCTGCTGCCCGCGACTACGTCCGCGTAGAATAGGCTGAAGGCGTAATATTCAGACAGAAAGACAGATATACATAAAAAATGTAGCCTATGTCTTATTCTGATTTATAAGCTATATTATTGTAAAGTTTCATTAAAATCCTTTCAGTAGTATTTGCGTGAAAGAGTAACAAACATCCATCCATATATACAAACTTTCGCCTTTATTATATTAGTAAGCATTACTGAAAACTTCTATGTCATCCCACTACGCTTTGTACAAACAGGTTTCGAGACTATCTGATGCCTCCACATCGGACGACATTTCAAAAAAGTGGTTATAGTTTTGTTTTATCAAATTATGACAATATTGCATACAATTACATACAAACACCTTGACGAGGTAGCCAATTAAGCGTACTAAGAGTTTGGGTTTCGCTACAAGCAAAACTATTTTCATTTACTTTGAAATTATTATCATGATTATGAATTATTTGAAATTATTGGGAAAATTATTATCAACTGAAATTATTATCTATGCTCGAATAGATCAATGTATACGTGATTGCTGAAATGCACTAATTTGAAGCATCTAGCTCTCTCGCTTGCACACATCGTGTCTTCAGCTTTTTGCATATCACCAACCTTGTGAAGGTGTATTTCTATAAATACTGGCATTGGATTGCCTTAACGATCCGCGGTATCAATTCCGCCGAATAAAATTCCGTGTATTTCTCTCTTTCGCGTTCGCTAGTTAGAAAGAGAGGTGAGATATTTATTGTGAGATAGTCTCGTCTAAAGATCTGAACGAAAATGAACCTTATTGCTATATCGTTAAGCTACATCTACTCAGTGTATCACTGTTGATTCTCGGTCACCTATTCGACGGAAAGGATACCGAACTTAGCTCTTAAGCCTTGATGTTTACACTAGCCTACGTTTGAAAATCGTAGATATCGACTCTCTGTAGTGTTTAAGAGTGGTTCTTTATTAAAATTTAGAGAGTATAAACAATTTAATGTCTTTGAAATACTATACAAAAATTATTATCTAAGTGATAGATCAAAATATCGGTAGTCTTTTATAATGCGGCTGTGAATGCAATCACTTTTTTTTATTTAAAGACATATTTGTAACGACAAGTCGGGATAGTTTTCATAAGCGATGAAGCAACTGATTTGTCACTATTCTTTTTCGACAATTTTACGGCTATATTGTCGCTTAAAAGGTCATTGACCTATATACGTCATAAGTTCACTTGTTTGGCGGTCTTAAAAAAGTGATTGGGTTTCCAATCGACGTTTTGTACTCTACAAAGAACTCTTGGAAACTTTCTTCATCTCTGTACTGTAATGTTACACATAGTTAAATACTGTTCTAATATTGCATACCATGTATTTATTGGTAAATTATTGCCGTTGGAAAGGGCACGTGATTCCAGAAATTAACTGTACTTGATGAAACACCATATGGAAGATGCATCATTCTTCATCTATAACGTTTTAAGTGCTTTTTTCAATGGCAATGCATCCACACAGTGCAATTTGAGACGCAATTAAAATGGTAAAATTAATTGTTGTTTAATTTATTACCCACTAATTTAATTCTCTTTTATAACATCGAGGCTAAATTGGCAAACCCGCTGTCTTCTGGTTTTCTTCACTATTCGTCACTTAATTCCAATCATTGAGGAAAATTTAAAAAAAAAATTATGAAATTAAAAATTTATATATGACTAAGAAGAAAATTTTAAATTTGTTTAAAGCTCAATTTGACTAGTTTATTTTAAAGACAAATTAATTGATTGGTTCCATTAAATCTAAAAATTTAATTAGAAGTTCGAAACCTAAAAAACGGATGATTTTATATGTTGATCACAGAATAGGTTTAAAAGAAACGAGAACATTGCAATAAACAATTTAATATTTATTTATAACATAGGCTTATGCATAGACAAAAGTATACAGATTTCTGGTTTCTGAAATTTATATCCCAATGTCGGAACGTTTGTAATACAAGTTTTTGTGAAAAGGAGCTTACGGTCAGATTATACATGACGAGGTTAAAGCAAACCTAGCAAAAGTTATGGTATGTCGACCACAATGTTGTACAACCTTGAGCTAGCAAGTCTGTACACGTGGAAACTCATGGTCACTTAAATACAATTTTATCTAGTTCTAAACTAAACAAAGCTTGTACTAGGTAACCGATAAACGTACTTAAATATAATTTTCTTTTGTAAATAATTATTTTCCATTTTCTTTAATTATATTAATTATATTCCATATTTTCCATTAGTTTTGTCGAACCCACAATATTTGTCATGAGACAGTTTGACTGTCTACTGCGCCAGTCGTGTGGACACTACTTAAGCGCGAACGTTTAAAATACTAAATATTACTAAAATAAACCTTGAGGTCACTTAAACGTAGTGGTTATATTTATTCTCTTTGCTTGAGGTAAAATAGAGATGCAGGTAATACTCAATGAAAAACCTGATACTGTTCTTTGAATGAGTATCTTTTTGACTCCAATCACGATTTATAAACATCGTTGATGTGTATTTCGAATTCGTATATTCTTAGAAATTTATCCTCTAATTTGGTTATTCCAAAATTTGTCACCGGTAAAACTTAAGTTATTTTAAAAACACATTTCGGTAACAGCCTAAAAATTTATGAGCTAAATGTCTACTTGGATGACGTATAGTTTGATGTAGGAAACATCTCCTTGCTTTAAAACTTGTTTTGTAAGAAACAAGTTCGTCTATACTTTGATTAAGTAACACCTACTCAATAGGTCGTTATTCTGTTCACAATTTATAAGCTTCTTATTAACATTAAAGAATTTTTGAGGTACAGTTCACGAAAAATATCACAAATTCTAAAACGTGAAGCGATATTTCAAGAATGTAAAATAACTCAAAATTATTTAAAAAAATCTTGTTTATTTATTTGTTTCTTTATTCATCAATCATCAAAGCTTCATTACAATGTAAGCAGAATGACAATGTAATCAATTTAAATACTAACAAAAAATACTATGGAAAAGCTACGCTTTTGTTAAATAAGACTTCCTATCACTACGGTGGAAAAGCTGGTTGTTGCATACATAATAATATATACATACAATATGAACGCATTAAAATATGACGGAGTTTCGGAACATTTCGGAACATTTTGCGAGCAAACCACGTAACTACTTTTTAATGTGGTAAGGTGGCAAACGAGCTGGCGGTTCACCTGATGGTTTGTGTTAACCGCCGCTCATTGACATTTACAATGCAGATGCATTGTCACCTTTTAATGAATTGTGTCCCGGCTACCTCACTCACCAGACGAAACGCGGAAGTATAACACTTCCACCTCAAGCCGTTCTCCTGCGAGGTCGTGGTTCTTACCCGGACGGCCTGCTCATTCCTGGAACCATGCGATATCCATACGAGTAGCCAGCCATACATTTTCGATCGATGCATATGTGAGACATGCGGAAATATACATATGCCCCGCGGCTTGCGTCGGTTGCCCCTATTATGTATATCAGTATATTGTGTTTTTTTGTTAAAAAGATTGAGATTAAAATAGCTTCGTCGCCTTTGTGACGAAATCTTTACATCGCTTATTCGTTCGAAGTGCGTTGTAAAAGTCGGACGGAATGGCACAAGTCTCCATTTTTTGTCTACTTATCCTGGCAGCCTGTTGCAGCGGGGCATCCATTCCTCCTCAGGCTAGATTGGAGGCCATTTATCCCAGAGGGCTCAGAGTGTCCATACCAGGTACGCATTAATATTATAAATAATAATTCAATACAAAGTTGTAATGAATTACATTCACGCAGATTTAACGAAGCACTGAACTAATCGTTGCATATGTTCTTTGAGTACAAATTAAAATAATCTTATTTTATTTTATTTTCAATTAATAATAAAAGAAAGTCCATAGAGCATTGTATCCGAATCAAGTAGAGTTTGTATCTTGTGCGCCCGATGTGTATACATCATTACTTCCTTGAATAAGATAAAGTTATTTTATTTTATTAAGTAATATCTGTTTAAGACCATATTACGTGATATAAAACGAAAGGTCATAGATAAAACGTTTATTCGTAAATGTATGTATAGATTCGAATTTATTGCTAAGTATCAACTTTACATTAATACAAGTTTTTTTTTAATTAGTAATTAGGCCGTATAGAATATATACATAGTGTTAGTAGTGCCGCAGTTGCCCAGCCCTTCGTCATCGGGATTGTGGGTTCGATCCCCACACGGGACAGCTATTTGTGTGACACAGATAGTTGTTTTGCATCCGGGTGTTTGTCCGCATGAAATTTATGACGTTTGTAAAACGTCCTTGAAACACAGGATATGTTATCCTAAAGTAGTTCGAAAGATTATCAAATAAAAAAACCGGCCAAGTGCGAATCCAATTCGCGCATCAAGGGGACCGTACTAATAATAATATCATTATAATTTAACAATATAATTTATTAAATGAATTGGTAAGTATCTATAGGTTGCCTAGCAAACGTTGCTCGCGTTTGTCACGTTGAGAGGTCCCTTATATATTTTTATTTTATTCGGTTTTAGCATTTCTGTAGCATTTTTAGCATATCATCTGTGGAAAATTTCAACTGTCTAACTATCACGGTTCGTGAGATATACCTGGTGACAGAACGACAGACAGACAGCGGAGTCTTAGTAATAGGGTACCGTTTTACCCTTTGGGTACGGAGCCCTATAAATAGTAATTACACTAAGTTCGATTGATCGATCGCTGTACGACAGTTTGTTTATTTAAGCTGATCATTTGAGGTTTACAACCTGCCATACCTAAGTGTAAATTGGATAAGGCAAGCTACTCTGACCATTCATTTCGAAATAACTCATTTCGTGATAATATGGTCACTCTTCTTCGGTTGTATTTTTTTATGTGTGTTCCCTGGCCTCAGTTATTTATTGACTGATTTTAAAAATTCTTCTCGCGTTGGATTTCGATCCCATGGTTTAGCTTTCATGTGGTCTCATATTAATTTCATTGGTATCGACGTCGGACTCCAAAAATACATCAGGGATCTCCCCAAAATTGAAAAAAAAACATAAAAAAAATGTAAAAAAATGTAGAAAACGTATTGCGCGTGAGATGTTTGAAGTCAGTTATGTTAATAAAAATATAATAATTATAATATAATGAAGCCTTTGTACTCTTTTCTGAACTCTTCTTCCACCCCGAGTTACTTATCCCATCATTTTCAATATTTATGTACTATCAGCAACAAAAACCTTCGCTCTTCGCATAATCTTCTTCTGGAATGTCCTTCTCACCGTTCTGACTTCATGCACTCTTTTTTCTTTATCCAGTCTATCCTTGTATAATATATCGAAATCAGGTCGGCTATAAAGTCGTATTTATTTATAAGGAAGGTATTTCATTTATTCGGTAAAAATCTGCTTATGCAGTTTTTCTCTGTGCACCTACCTAACTGTCTCTGTACCACCCTAAGGTTGACTGGGAGATAATGCCTATGGCATTAAGTCCGCCTTTGTACTTTGTGTGCATTAAGAATAAAAAAAAAAAAAAAGAATCCAAGGAGTTACTTTGAACGCAATAATTTCTGGTCTTTACCATTTGAAAAAATGTTTTTGCATTTGATAGCCCAATTCTTGAGTAAGGTTATACGGTATTTAACGTCGCACTATGGGCGGGGTAGAAACGTTTCTCGCGGATGAAATCGTATGGAAAAACTAGAGTGGCATAAAAACAATGGTAAATGTTATAGATAAAACGGGGCTGTAATGATGTGTAAGTTCTTTATATGTGATACGGTAGTGTTTATAACGTCAGTCACGTGATCATCCTCTTCAATGTTTTGTTACGATTGAGGCGCTGAAACAGTTGTCCGCATATCTTCGACGGAACCGACAGTCAGTTAATTCACCATCAAGCTGGGTGAATATAGTAATTGGTGTACCCCAAGGCATATCCCTTCGCCTATTTTATTATTTTTTTTATTTACTATTTTAATAAATCTTATCACGCATGAACTTCGCTGTGCATATCATCTTGATACCTGCAACTTTATGCTCATGCAACTACTGATAGCCTCGCAGAAGTAATTTACGAGGTGAATCGTGACTTAAAAGCTGTTAAAAATTGATCTGATAGGTTTGGCTCGATTGTCAATTTTTTGCCTCAAAATTTCGAGCGACCTTAATCTGGAGTTTCCGTATCTTAAGTAAAGTGGATTAAGATAATCCACTTCATCAGTAAAATTTGAAAAACCTCGGTTATTATATATATATTGATGGATATTGTAGAGTGTCATAAACCTTATGATTGTCGGCTACCTGTAACGCATTACCATGTACCTATACAAACTATATCTCTGGATGAGGATGGTTCGCCTCTAATTATGGCAGTAATTTAATTAATTAATGGTGCGTTACAATGCACGAAAACTATCACTTAAAAAACTGGTCAATCCGTTGCTTCATTTCGAGGTGAAATATGGATAAAAAAACAAATATGCTGTCACATTTATTTTTAAAATAAAGTAAATATAGTTACTAATATATACATATAGTATGTACATTCGCTATATGATTTGTATTCGTTGGAAACGAGACTCTTTCGATAACTTAATTATTCACATTAATTATCCATGACATATATATAATTCTACTGTTTACAGACGATGCCAACAGCCGTGATAGCTCAGTGTCCGGGCGCTCGCCTTTAATTCAATATACTCGAGCAACCCGAGTTCGATCGCCGGTGCCAGCACCAATTAAATGTCATTCAAAAGTGATGACTTATCACACGCTCTGCGGTGAAGAAAACATCACGAGGAAACCTTATTTTTAAGATATGTGAATTCCACCAATCCGCAGTGGGGCCGCGTGGTGGACTATACCCTATTACTCTCTATACAGAGGAGGCCTTTGCCCACCTGTGGGATATGTATAGGCTGATACTTTACTTTTACTTTTTACAGACGATGCCTACAACTTGTTCGGCTTCCGCGGCAATCTGAACGAAGAGTTGAACGGCTTAGAGACAAGCAAGTGGTCGAAAGACGTCCACGGACGAACCAACGGCAGATGGGTGTTCGCCGACAAAAAGGTTCAACTGAAACTGGGCGACACAATTTATTACTGGATATTTGTTATGAAAAACGGCGCTTTGTTCCGACAGGATCCCCAAGAGTGGACGGTGACGGGTATATAAGAGTTCTAACGTTTATATCTTGATTCTGATATTTTAACTTTTACTGAACTTCAATATTTACAACTATTATAACGACAAGTAGCACTAGTGGTTATAGGTATTGTTTTAAAATACGCTTTTATATGTTTTACTATCGTATATCATGCATTTAGGCATGTGTACATTCAAATGAATGATTACGTACCCACTTATCCCTATAATTTGGAATTTCACAACCATATTTATAAGTATTTAAGATTAAAGAGAAAATGGTTTATAACGACTGTCCAACTACCTACTATAAATTAGATTTTTTTACAAGTGTAAAGCCTAAAAACAGATTACCTAAGCATCCTATATTTTTTGCAGGATTCGCACCTGAGTTGATGTATTATAAGGTTTGATTACTGCATGGGATATTATTTTCTTACTTACTTATCACAATTATACGGAATCCTTTTTTATGTGAAAAAGTGGCAAACGAGTTGGCGGTTCACCGGATGTTAAGTTGTTAAAAAAATGTTATAACCGCCGCCCACGGCGGCGGTTATAACATTTGCAACAGCCGGGTTGCAAATGCGTTGCCACCTTTAAAAAAAATAAATCTTTCACAAATAGCCTTGTTCGATTCAGTGAACACTAGCCTCCGAATTCTCTTCTTAATCGTTTAGCACAAGTTTTCAGGCGCCTTGTGCAGACGGTGGTCCTTTAAAATGCTGCTCTCTAAATTGCAGAGTTTGTGAACGAAGATGGTACACTCGCGAATGGCCAAAGTACTTTGTCACCGAAGGCGACCTCGCAAAAAGTACCAGAACCCACCAGCGCTGCACCGCCATGCGAAGCGTCCAGCAGCGCGGTGATGGGTCGAACCAACATTTGCCGAGGCGATCTCATATTCAGTGAGGAGTTCGACAAGAACAGCATCCAGGAATTGGCGTACTGGGATCCGGAGGTCAAATTTCCACAGGAGCCGGTTAGTTGGAGTTTTTTTTTAATATAATTAGGCCCTATCTAATAAGCGGCCCAAATCATGAAATTCGACCTCTTAAAGGGGGCCCAAATTGATCACGAAGTGATCATAAATGGTCAGTGATTTTTAGTATTTTAGCCATTTGTCACAATTGGTCAATTAATCATGATAATAGGTCAATGTGATTTACGTATAAATTTGAAATTTTTTTGGAATTTATACGTAATTATTGTGCTCATCATCAATATAAATATTATGATGATGAGCACAATAATTCATCACATAATATTTTTCCAGTAACGGGGATCAAACCCTCTGGCGCTATCTGAACTACTCCCCACGCCACTCGGGTCGATTGGAGTTTAAAATTTCAATCTTTGTTTTTAAAGGTTCAGTAGTTTTAGAGTGACAGCGAGACAGACAGACAGAGTTACTTTCGCATTTATATTAGTATGGATACCATCTAAACTCCAATTATTTTAATGACGCAGGATTATCCCTTCAATGTTTACATGGCAGAAGGAACTCTCCGCCTTGAAAATGGACGCCTGGTTATTTCACCTCTGCTCTTGGAATCGAAATACCGCGAAGACTTCGTCCACGAACAATTGGATTTGACAAACACGTGAGTGTATTTTCACCAATATGTACTTAAGCTATTTGCTTTATAGTAAAATATAATATAAAATACTTGGTTCTTGGTATAAAAACTTACGTGTCAAATTGAATTTATTTTGTTTTACGTTTTTTTATGAGAGAAATTAGCGAGCGAGCTGTCGGTTCACTTGATGTTAAGTGACATAAGAGCCGCCCATGAACATTTGCAAGTTGCAACATCCGAAGGGTTGCAGATGTGTTGCCTCCTTTTAATAAAGTGGGCCCCGGTTACCTTACTGACCAGACGAATCTCAAAAGTTTAATACTTCTTCTTCGCGTCGGTCTTAATTTAATATTCCTGAGCTATAGAAAACAGATTGGTAAACAATACAACAACAGTACCTTTGCTTAGCGTTATAATTATGTCAAGTGCATATGAATGTCATTTCTGATTTATTGACTTAAATTATCCTTCAATCCAACTAACTTCATACAATGTATTTATCCAACATTTACAACATTAGGTAAATCTGTCTAAAATTACATATTATCTAATAAAAGTAATCGACGCGGCATGGTGCCAAGAACGCTAGCTGCGTTCCCTCGCTTAATAGTTATGTTTAACCTTTAAACGAGAAAAGAACCAGCTGTCTTGTCAACAGCCGCGGCATTAAGCCTAGGACAAACGTTTAAAAATTTTCGATGTACGGGGACAACTTGAATTATTACCGCAGATGCACTGGTCTAGTTGGCACGCGAGAGTGCACGCAGGTCGCCTCGGGCGCCCAAATCCTCCCGCCCGTGATAACCGGCAAAATAACAACCAGAAATAAGTTCAACTTCAAATACGGGAGAGTCGAGGTCCGTGCCAAGTTGCCGCGCGGGAGTTGGCTGACGCCAGGTAAGCTGAGAGCTACGTCAACTACTAAATTATGACTGATATAATCATAGACAAGACATATATATTGAAATATATATAATCTTACAATCCTAATACGTGAAGCAAAAACTGTGTGTTGCGAAAATTACACACACAGAGGAATATGAAATTTCCCACACTTATAGTTTATATAAATATAAAAATTTCGTGTCACGATGTATGGTCGCGATAAACTCCGAAACTACTGAACCAATTTTTATCAAATTTTGTAAGAATTTGTAATTTGGTCCAACTTGGGAGATAGGGTAATTTTTATCTCATTATTTGTTATTGCAAATTATTTGTTTATTAAACGACAAAGAACTATCTGTGAGTCCCATAAGATTCTAACAGATGGCGGTGTAAGATAAATTTATCGGCTGGATTGAATAAGTATCCGATAGATGGCGCTATACTAAAAGTAGGGACGTATGGTCCCGGTAGAATTGGTGCAGACGAAGTTGCGCGGGCCAGATAGTAGTTTATATAGAGAAGGAGTGCAGAATGCTAATATTTAAATAATTTTTCAAATTACGCATAAAAATACATTAAATCAAGAGAAAAATAATTACACTCAATACCATGTATAATTAATAATGGTCAAATTTCGACCACTGGGCGACCACTAGTGTAAGATGTTACTATAATCTACGTTGTTGCATGAATGGGCAGGTCCGTACGGGGAAACGCCACGACCTCACAGAAGACTTGAGTGAAGTGAAAATGTTAAAGTTTCAGTTAACAATACTTTAATTTAATGTGTACGTGAATATGAATGCCACGCGGTATTCAAAATTTGTGACGTTAAAATCGAACTCATAGCACGTTTAGCATGATCTGATCTTTAAAAAAAAAAGCAACTGTTGAGTTTCTTGCCGGTCTCTTTTTACAACAGAAACTGTTTTCTCAAACTTGTAACTATTTTTTTTATGGGAAAAAACAGCAAACGAGTAGGAGCTCACCTGATGGTAAGTAATCACCGCCGCCCATGGACATCTGCAACACCCGAGGGCTTACAAATGCGTTGCCGGCCTTTTAGGAATGAGTACGCTCTCTTCTTGAAGGTTCTCCCAGGTCGTAACTGTTCGGAAAGACCGCCGGCGGCAGCTGGTTCCACAGAGTGGTTGTGCGAGGCAGGAAATGCCTTGAAAATCGCGCTGTTGTGGAACGCTGGACATCGAGGTGGTGTGGATGAAATTTTTGGTTTTGGCGCGATGTCCGATGGTGAAATTCAGCCGCTGGGATCAATCCAAACAATTCCTCGGAACACTCCCCGTGATAGATGCGGTAGAAGATGCAGAGTGACCCAACATCTCTACGCATAGCCAAAGGATCAAGCTGATCGGAAAGACCTTGATCGTCGATAACCCTACGTTGGATGCGGTCAAATGGAAGAAGCTGGTAACAAGGGGCTCCCGCCCAGAGGTGAGAGCATTACGCCATGTGGGGCCGAATTCGCCCTTTATAAAGGTTTAGGCGTTGAGCCGACGTGAAGTACTGTCTCTCCTTGCTGAGCACACCGAACTTCTTTGAGGCCAATTTGGCCTTACTTTCCAATTCACCGCGGAATTGGACATTGCTCGAGATTTCGACGCCAAGTATTCCGATACTAGCTGTGACAGACAGGGGAGTGTTCTCAAAATGAGGAGTCACGACAAATGGGGACTTTTTAGCGGTTAACGCGCAAACTTGTGTCTTATCGGGGTTGAATTGGACTAAATTTAGTCGACCCCAGTTTGAGACTTTTGTTAACAAAGTCTCGACTTCAGACACAAGTTTGTTCCGGCTCTCGTAGACGTTTTCCCGAGAAATGTTAGCACGGCCTGTGTACGACACATCCACAGTGCTATCATCCGCATAGCAATGAACGCTGCTGATTTGCAACATATCATTGATATGCAGAAGAAAGAAAGTGGGAGATAGTACGCAGCCTTGTGGAACACCAGCATTGACTAATTTAGGATCAGAGCATGCACCGTCGACGACGACCTTGATGCTCCGATCTGCCAAAAAGCTGGTGATCCAGTTGCATAACTTCCCGGGAAGGCCATAGGAAGGCAGCTTCGAAAGAAGTGCTTTGTGCCACACCCGATCAAAGGGTAACTAACTTACGAACTTGTGTATTAATTATTTATTATATATTATAAAATTCGATGCGCAGACGTCTATTTGTATAAAGATATTTTGAATTTGATAATCACAATAAATCTTACTATACAGAAATTACGTTGGAGCCCCGGGAAAGTGTTTACGGGAAACTGCGCTTTGATTCCGGCCTGATAAGGGTCGCTTTCGCTAAAGGGAACGATGTTTTCGCCATGAAGCTGTACGGAGGTCCCGTGCTATTCGACAAGGACCCCTACCGTTCTCAGTTCTTGAGAGAGAAAGTCGGAGTTGAAATATGGAACAAAGAGTTTCACAATTACACTATGCTCTGGAAACCAGGTGACTTGCATACGAACAAATCGATATTCTGTTTGTTCTCGTATAAATAAGTTTTTCTGTTCTTCATACTCGTATTAGATTGAAATGAATTCATTCTGTTAAAATGCATGTTTGCGAATTCCGTTTTATGATTCAAAACTACATTTTGATTACTCAAAAATCTACATTAATCTGATGCTTTTAAAGCCCATATTTGCAATAACTTTTCATTATTCAAAACTACATTTTTATTACTCCAAATTCTATTTATAGATGAGTTGCCTGTACATCCGTATAAGACGCTTATACGGCCTTAGACGGGGTCGCTTTTCATTTAACACTGTGGTTCCACAGACGGTATGGAGTTTTTCGTTGACGGTGAATTGTACGGAACAATTGATCCTGGTGAAGGGTTTTACTCACAGTTGACGGAGCGCGGTGCAACGAATGCGAAGCATTGGGTGGGAACGACGCGAATGGCGCCCTTGGATGAAATGGTATGGAAATATACGTTTTAACGTATGGTATTTTTTTCCATTAGTGCCGATATTTTTTCGACCTAACAAATTTTTTTTGGTAGAGAAAAATGACTAATGAAATAATCAACAAGCAGGATTCCCTGGTCGCTTATAGTTTTCGAGAAAAAAATATTTAAATGTTGTTATTTTCACAAAGGAAAGTCCGCCATCACACTTATATCTGTCATATAATGTAAAGCGGAACAATTTTTAACCGCAGCGCAGTATGGACATGCGTCATCTTCATTAAAACATCATTGCTTAAGTCCGTCAATTATTTTTTCAGTTTTACGTTGCCCTTGGCCTTCGAGTGGGTGGTATCAACGACTTCGCCGATGAACCATATAAACCGTGGAGGAATATGAACCGCAAAGCAACCATCAACTTCTGGAATTCCAAAGAGGAATGGTTCCCCACTTGGCGCGAGGCCGATATGAAAGTTGACTATGTCAGAATATATGCCTTGTAATAGCTAAGTAATTTTGAATCTTTTCACAGTGCATAGTTATAATTATGCTAAAACAATGTTCTAAATTGCAACTATTCAATAAGGAAGTAAATTGCACAAAATTGGTTGATACAAGAACTTTCGCGTCTCCAATAAAATGATTATAATCCTGCCCTTGAGATATTTCATTTATAAAAAACACATTTAGTAATTTTGTACCATAAAATACCGATCTATTTCTCAATCATAATATTATGAAGAAGAAGAATGCTCCTGTAATTATTTAACGAGTGATTAAATGGATGGTGCAACAGTTTAAATGGTCACCCGATGTGAGAGACTGTCTCATTTGCAGATAGTTGGCCCTAAGCAGAGCGGTGTGGTCGAGGTTTTACCAATGAGATAACCCCTGCGACATTGGATTGTAGCGGGGGACATTTTTAGTTATGACGAACTTTTTCAGAAGTCGTTGAGGAAAACAGCGAAAGTCCAAACGAAACTTCCCCAGTATCTGTTACGACAGATGTTTGTGCAAAATATTAGCAGCCTAGATTCCGTGCTGAATTACGTCAGACTGGCAAACTCTACGCTTCTATCTCCAATGGTTCATTATGTTTGTTTAGCCTCAGATTCTAAAAGGGTGTAGTAAAGTAAGGTATACATGTCCCACTGTTGGGAGAAGGCCTCCTCATAAGGTGTATCAGGAAACAGTGCACCAGACGGCCCCACTGCGGATTGGCGGACTTTACATATGTTTGAAATTTTTTTGTCATTATTTTGAAAATACGTAGGTTTCGCTCAGATTGCTCGAGTATATTGCCAATGAGCTATACTTTTTTATAACAATATTTATTGAAATATTTTAGGGTACATTTTTTTATACAACGTTTTCTAGTCCCAAACTACGCAAAGCTTGCATTACGGGTACTAGATAACTGATAAACGTACTTAAACATACTCAAAATATATATATAAACACCCAGACACTGGAAAATCACTATGTTCACAGAATATTTAATACCCACACCCTCTGACGCAAGAGGCACGGTAGCTACCCACTGCGCCAATCGGGTCGTCGTCAAACTAGAAAGAGATAGAAATATGATAAGAATATGTGTTTGAACGCGTCATTGAGTCCTTTACAACAACGAAACGGTTACGTTTAGTAACAATGAAGATGCATCCAAAGCTGCTCTTCGCATATCTTGTATAGAATTATAAGTTAACAACTGTGAGCCCAATATACCATACAATGTCCGCGACGGACTTGCTGCGCCACAGACCCACAGATTAAACAATGATAACCGATGAGAATCTCGCAAAGCGTATGAAAAAACCACTCGGATACAGGTGCGAAACCTAAACGAGACAGGTCAAGTTTGACTCATTGCGCTGACGGCCGCCAGTGCGGTCCGACGTCACGATGACTTGTAAGTCGCTCGTAGTTTATTTCCTGGCGCTAGCGGTGTGGTGCGACGCGCAGGCCAGGGCCCAGAAGTACACCGTGCCGCCGGCCAAACTGGAGGCCATCTACCCCCAGGGCCTCAGAGTCTCCGTTCCAGGTAAGGGATATGGACTTTCATAATTCCCACAGCGAGTACAATTCGCGAACCCAAGTTGTGTGCATTTTCCTTGTCGTGTGACGCGACCTTTTTTTATTTGGTCAATTAAAATAATGAATTTATAAAATGTAGGATTGTAAGCGCTCCTCATTTGGATCGAAGATATTTCATTTATTATGTTTTGGTTTGCGTAACGTCGTAAGATTTTATCGAGCGACTATGTGATTGACTGCAGATTCTTTATTTGAGCTTAAGAACTATGAGAAAATATTATTCAGACATACACGTTCCTAAAAGGCCGTTTTTCGCAAATGTACCTGTCAGTAAAATTCGGTTTTAAAATCATACGTAAATGTGAATATTTGCCGCAACCCAAACTTCAGTAACGAATAAAAAGCTGTAAACATTTTGAAAAGTTACATTTCTGAACACTTATTTATGAAAATAACAAATAATCGTAAAGTAGTAGTTTTCTCAGGCACAAAGATCAAGACTTTGTTAAAGAAATATCATCGCAATAAATCACGCACGGTGCATCTATGACAATTAGATACACTTATCATCCAGTGACTCCAACCTAATGTCACTAATGGTATGCAGCGATAACATTCTATATAATATGGATTATGTGTCATAAATGCAATATACGACGCTAGGTTAAGAAGATAAACTTATCGTTCGTCGTAAAGTTCGAGCTTATGACATTTTGAATTTTTTATGAATTTTTTATTAGATATAAATGAAAACTAAAACTAAATATTTTAATATCAATTTGCCTCTTGAACTTAAGCAAAACAGTAATCTAAAGTTCCATAAATATCTGCTCGTGTTCACCACTTCACGACATGAATTAAATTAAAAATAATTATTTAAATATAATTTGTAGAATGGTCATCCTTAATATCTAGAGTAGCCTTGCAGGTAACCTTCGGATGGACAGAAGATAGATAATTATAAAAAATAGGATCTTGATTCAAAATAATCCTGAACTGATAATATCTGATGATATAACAGAACAACTTTAGGGCTGTACACTTGCTGAAAGAGCGGATGTGTTGGTAACATGTGAGCTCTTGACCCAGTTTCGAGTCAATAAAAAGGCCGTGTTCACAACAAAGAATGTCTTAAAGCCACCCTAGTGACAGGAGCAGAATCACAGTCTATTAAAAAAGTTAAAGTCCGGGATTTATTCGCCGAACTCACTGTCTTACTCATGTGCCCTGTGTAAGATGACAAGGCTAACTACCTCCCACTTATAGTTTGTCATCGGAATATCAAATATTAGCTATCTCCGTCCACCCCATCAGGTTAAAAGGCGCTTGCTTGTTTTTGTATTCAAATCGGCGATATATCTGTGACGTCATTTAAATGCTATTATTGACAAAACATTATTTCTTCCAAATTGACACCGACGTTTTCCTTCTACTTGTTTAAAGTTTATTAAAAATGTTGTTAAACGAGTTCTAAGATGACAAAATAATATAACTTCATACTATAAAACTCGGTGAATGGTACAAGCTCTTGATCTCTAATGCAAGCATGGTTAATTTAAAAAAAGCGTTAACAAAATCTTGTCAAGGTCTAAAGATTTGATAATTCAGTGTTAAATAATAATGTTTCTATAAAGTATCCTGTCTTATAAGGCGTTACGCAAATCGTAATTGGGCTAACACAATGACACCTTTCTATTATAAACATGTCATAAAAATGACTCTCAAGCAAGAGAAACGAACTCTTGACCAGCGGCTTAAGATAATTTCTAAGCTACTGCTCCAAACAAGTAGACATCACTATTGCGAAACTGAGTAAGACAATTTGCTCTCCAATTATAATTCGATATCAACGTATCCACAAGTCAATGACTCTGTAACGCGTCGTTTTTATAACATGGCAAGCTATTTATTACATGAAGTTGTTTTGCGTGCTGCCAATGAACTGCGGGCTTCTAAATTTCACGCTGGATTGTAACGACGACGGCTTTTTTCGCGCGGACCAAGCGAACGGGTTCCCTATCGAGGCAAAACCTGTTAAAATTGCTAGCTGGATGTAGATTAAGAACATTGCAATATTACCACGAGATGTAATGTTCTTCAGGAACATGTCATCATATCAAGGCGATGTAGAACAAAAATAAAAAAAGATAAAGCTTAAAGAGAATTGCGAACGAAGTTTTGATTAGTCGTTATTTTCGTTCAGCGGCCTTAGTTCGATGAATATCTGAATACAAGCAATGAAGGAATAAAACCGTTTAAAAACTTTTAAGTTAAACGGTTTTTTTTATGTTTTTTTTTGTGCACTGAAAACTTAGTCATCTAAATTAAATGTGTGATACCAAATTTCAGATCAATCTGACAAAGGGAAGGTACAAGCCCAAATGAAATTCCGTAAGAAAATTAAACCGTTTAAAAATGAAGGGTTTTATTTGCATGCTGTTAAGAAACCTTTTAATAGAAGCAAAGTCCGCTTCAATGTTGAAGGCTATCCTTGTCATACGAAATCATACAACCTATCGATGATCTACGTTTTTAAAGAAAGAAAGAAATGTACGTTATTTGTTAAAACATGGAAGAATATAGGTCTTTAATTTGTAACGTCCCTTATGTTCTACTATTTCTGATGTAAAATATAAGTATTTACATTTATATAAGAGCAAGAAGCTAGTAAAGGCCCCCTTGTACTTTCTTCTTTAAGACTAAAATATATATAGAAGAGAATTATGGGGTTAATTTGACAATCTTTGACAATGTTATAGATAGCGCCTTACCAAGTAATCGATTACTAAACATAATAGATTCACGACATCCTTCAACAGTAAAGGCTGCACATACATAGGCGGTTTTGATTTGTTTTAATGGTTTTATGGTTGGTTTTAATTTGATATTGTACGCTATATATACGAGGGGACGAGAGGGGTAGGCAAGGAAAGTGGAAATCCGCAACCTCTGCTCACCCCTTCAAGGGACAGGTTTATACGTTTAAGTTTCTCAACGTTTTCACGTGCGTGATTTGAAAAAGATCTTATGCCGGCTTTCAGACGAGGGGTTTTCTTTATTCGCCTTTCATGGCAAACTCAACGAAGAGATGGAGGGCTTGGAAGCGGGCCAGTGGTCGAGGGACATCACCAAGGCGAAAAATGGCGTATGGATATTCAGGGATAGGAACGCCAAGTTGAATCTTGGCGATAAAATTTATTTCTGGACTTACGTAATCAAGGACGGCTTGGGATATAGACAAGACAATGGAGAGTGGACTGTAACTGGTGAGCATATACAATATTATTTTCACAAAACACAATAATAATAGTTTTCAGATTCAGATTTCCGTGATCAATGTATATATATATATATATATATATATATATATATATATATATATACCTACTAGATATCGAAATCCAAGGGGTGCAGTAGCGTTACGGCTGATACCCAGTTAACTCAACCACCTTATGAAATTCTAGTCTGATAAGAAGCTGTTGATTCGTTCTAAAAATAATATAAAACATATTATTGTCAAAAGCATAAAGTATACTGTATGCTTCTTATATAATCAGTACTTTTTATATAATCTTTTTATATTAAACAGTAATAATTATTTAAAGTAGGGATGGCTGTTAACATAATTCTGTACTTAACTAGAATTAACGCTTATATACTGGTGTCGCATTTGTAATAAAAGAAATACCATCTCTACTGTTTGTTTAGCTAAGTTCACGAGTTTGAATTCCAGTGGTATATATCAAAGAGCTTTCAGTAATTCGAATTTCTTACCTGCAAATATCAGTATCACACGTTTAATACTTCTCGCGACGACTATCTATGTGTGACTATTATGTGACCGATCAAGTTAAAAGAAGAAATACTAGTAAGCATAATATAATGAAAGGATTCGAAGATAACCATTAACGTTACAGAGTTCGTCAATGAAGACGGAACACCGGCCACTGGTCAGCCGACGATCTCGCCAACGGCCGCGCCTAGTAGCGGGACCAACACGCCGTCCGTGCCACAGCCAACGCCGCCGCGCCGTCCCAGCACAGCAGCGCCCCCTTGTCAGGGCTCCCAGACAGCTGTGTTAGGCCAAACGAACATATGCAAGGGCTCACTGATATTCAGCGAGGAATTCGATAAGAACAGTTTGAAAGATCTCGTCAACTGGGATCCGGAAATCAAGTTTCCGCAAGAGCCGGTAGGTTATTTAAATCACAAATTTTAATTTTCCGTCCACTGACTTTTAATTCGATGAGATTGTCAGTTTATTTTTTAATTTGTATAAACATTTTAACTATATTTTAAAGTAAAGAATTATATTCTAGAACATACGCAACAAAATTTTTTAACCTTTAGCATTAAGAATATAGGAGTTCTAAATAATTTTCTGGTTTATAATAATTGTAGGACTATCCATTCAACGTGTACATGACAGACAGCCTTCGTATCGAAAATGGTTTGTTGTCCATCTCGCCTTCACTTCTAGAGTCAAAGTATCACGAAGGTTTCCTAAATGAACAGCTAGACTTGACCAATACGTAAGTTACTTTGAATAATTAATAGAATTACTATGTTAAAAGAAAATAATGCATGTTTTGAAATTGTATTTTGTGTTCATACGCAACTAGTGAGATTAACAATAAATCAGTCTGGCAGTAAGGGATTTTGTATGATATTTCTTAGAAACGTAAAGTCACTGCTCAACCCGTATTTGAGTACATTGGTGGCCAGTTCCTTACTACATTTAATATTCTTTATTAGCTTTAATAACTTCTGTGGAGGCAGTCTATTATCATTTTACCGATTTATTAAATCGTATAGCAATTATTTTATCAGGTGCACCGGTCAGACTGGTACGAGGGAGTGCACGATGGTCGCGTCGGGCGCCCAAATTCTACCACCGGTGCTCACCGGGAAAATTACGACGAAGAAAAAGTTCAATTTCAAGTTCGGCCGTGTGGAGATTCGCGCCAAGTTACCCGGTGGAAGTTGGTTGTTGCCAGGTAAGGCGTCTTTGGCGAAATATGTGCTAAAGCGACATTATAACCGGACTTATAAATATTACATTTTTAAGTCCGGTTATAATGATCTGCATCATAGGATTGTCTTATTTACATAACCTGCACATGGACTAACAGCTGGCTGTTTCAGAATCTGTTTGAGTTTGATTTACACATTATTATTAGGGACATGTTATAAACCATAGCTTTATCGATTTATACAACTACAACTCAACAATGACTCAATAATTGGATAATAATAATACTTACTTTTTCCGACAGAGCAACAGCCTTAACTACCAATAACCAAAAACTAACCCGCATACGTTGTGAGAGTTGAATTTATGCTAATAAATTATTGATAAATTATTAATTAGATTAAATATGTTGAGATTGTACACGTTGTAGATGTACCAGAATTATAACATTATGGTGACTATTACTACTACTATTAGCTTAAGGATCTGAAAACAACATAACTCAAACATTTCACAATTTCCATGTGTCCATGAGCTTCCTTTAAAACATTGGAGTAATTTTGCATGCCTCGCATAGAGACTTCATTATTGTAATTGATACAAAATTTGGAATATGATAGATCTTTTAAAGTATAACTGTATAAATATGTGTAAAATACAGTGAAGTAATCCAATTAATAAATTTGTCATCTTTCAATCCAATTACACTATAGTCGTCTTAAAGGCTATTGTGAACAAGTTTAAACTAACCTATACTATCAACTATTAGCGCATTAGTACAGGTTATATGGTGGGCAGCAAGTTGTAGCTACAATAAGAAAAGAGCAATCCAAAGAGACTTGTTTATGATTACAGAGATAACGTTGGAGCCACGCGACAGCGTCTACGGCAATAAACGCTACGAATCCGGACTAATAAGAATCGCTTTCGCTAAGGGTAACCCAATATTCGCGAAGAAACTTTACGGCGGTCCCATACTGACGGACACAGAGCCATACCGTACATTCCTGTTGAAAGAGAAAATCGGTATCGACAATTGGTTCAAGGACTTCCACAACTACAGCATGGTGTGGAAACCAGGTACAGTAAAGATCGTCTTAGGAGTATGATTGTCACTGTTGATAAACCTATTTAGATATATGTACTTAGAAAGTTATACTTGTTAATTGTCAAAAAGGTAGGTACATCCAGGCTATGAAAAAATATGAAATGTTCAAAAAATATTTAGAAATGTTTGAAGAAACTTTAAGAGATCGGTTTTGCTTTGGTTTAATATCTATCTTTGATATTTCTAAATGCAGCAGACATCAGTACTTTTGATATATGTTAATTATTATGTTCCGTTTTAGAGATGTTTTAATACATTTTGTACAGCCTTGAGAATCTTGTATGTAGTTCTGATGCCTCCGAACAGTGTAGTAGAATTATTAGCTGCCATTTTATCTAGCGTTTTCACTAGATGAAAATTATGGGAGTGAAACCAAAAATATCAATTTATATCTGATCTTTCAAGTATTTTCAACTTTAAACTTTACACAGTTACGACTACGTTTGAAATCATTTCTGTGATATATTTGTTAATTCTTGGTTTGGCCGCAGACGGTATGCAGTTCTTTGTGGACGGCGAGTTGTATGGAACCGTGGATCCTGGTGAAGGGTTTTACTCGACCGCGAGGCAGTACGTGGTACCTCACGCTATGCATTGGGTCAAAGGGACAGTTATGGCACCCTTGATGAAATGGTAATAAATAATCAACAAGTTACTCAAAACTACAACTGTTTTTGGCTCTGATATTTATCCGTTTTCTTTAATTACTATTTTAGTTATTTACGAATACAGTAAACTTTATTCTTTTTTATGTATAGATTTTTCACTTAATATAGCTTGCTGCATAAATTATTGTTTATAATTAGTAAATAAATATTCTCCGGCTCCTTTCATTCTAATTACATGCTTTACAATAAACCCACGCCAATTTCGAAGTCTCTATGTAGTTCAATGTTCGATTTGCCCTTATTCTGTTTACAGTTCTACGTGGCGCTAGGTCTTAGAGTCGGAGGCATTCATGACTTCGCTGACGGTCCCGAGAAGCCGTGGAAGAACAAGAACAACAAGGCGACGGTCAACTTCTGGAACGCTCAGGACAGCTGGTACCCATCGTGGTTCGACGCCGACATGAAAGTTGACTATGTCAGAATTTTCGCCTTGTAAGGCTTATAGAGGATTTGCGTGAATTATGATAGAAGGAACATGCCTCCTTGTCAGCTTTTGGATTTGGACGCCAGAATATAATATAAATAATTAGGTATGTTTATTTGTAACTATATGTTACCGTCAGCGAAGAAGACTGATGAATTTTGTTTAACTTTTTGGTTTATCGTCGTTTTTGTTTATATTGTGAGATTTAATCGAAGCGACTATTTGATTGATGAACACTATTGCGATTCTCCTGAATTTAGAATACGACAAAATATTGTTTTGTAAACCAGGTAAAATAAATTTATATTTGTTGCGACTATAAACATAACCCTATGGGTTGTGTTTAAATCTACTGTGATCATACAAAATCAATAAATTTTCACAATAATTCACTGTGACGAATGATGCTAAAATATCTGGCAAATGAATAACGTATATACGATTAAAGTATGAACGCTAAATGTTTATATTGTTTTATTTTCTTGTCCGTATTGATTGAAGATATCTTTTGTCAATTTTGGGTTTGCAAGAATGACACGGCGACGCGATTGTTAACCTATTGGCAGAAGCCAGGGGTCGTTGGTTAATTCGCACCAGTTACAATAGTAAAAACTAAAAACTTAGTAGTGCAAATCTGAGATTCCAAAAATCACTGTTTCGTTTATACGTGCATTAAATCATATTATTAAGGTCAATGGGGAGATGTAGATGAAAACAAAGTTTGAAAATGGATATTTAGAATTAAGACAAATCAACTAAATCTTGAGAACAATGTACACTTCTGGACGTAAGTTATTATGGGCCACAGTGGTCACTGGTCAAGGATATAAAGGACAAATTTTATTGTGTGTGAGTTTTACTGGTAAAGAATATGGAACGAAAAGCGACACAAGTATGGTTTTTGCACGGACGCTCAAAGTTCAGCAGTTTATTTGGTAAAGTTATAGCTGTCACATCGGAAAAGGATATTTAAATAGTTTAGTTAACATTTCACCACAGAACACTACATGCTTCGAAACCCGTTGCAGTTGTTAAATGTATTATCAAAAATATTATTGTTCGCATGACGCTTTGTGAGCTACCTCCAATTTATAGCATTTGAAGGCAACTTAAAATCTACTGTTTAGTGCATGAATATAGTGGTTGCGTAAACAAACAAAAATTTATCGTGACAGGACAACACAACAGTCTTCGCTGTTGCACGAATAGGCAGGCGTGGCATAAAGTGGTGAGAGGTAACCGGAGCCCGTTTTATTGCAAGGTGGCAACGCAACTGCAACCCCTACGGGTGTTGAAAACATCCATGGATGGTAGCTATCAGTTAACACAGTTTCACCTGATGTTCACATGATAAATTCGGTGCGACGAAACTCCACGAACCAGATTCATCGGATGTTTCTGCATTCCAAAAAGTTACCGCTTCGAGAGTTTGCCTCCGGTCTTTATTTGGTCGAAGATCCTATAGCTGCTCTCAATGGCGATCGATATCGGACAATGCTAACAAATTGTTAGTAGCACAGTGTGGATCTCACGAACATCCGGATTCAACATAATGTTGCCACCTTTTTTTTTGGTATCGGGGGGAAATCTTCAAAAGATACCCTGTCACCTTACGTGACAGGGTTATGTGGGGTTTTTACCAAAAAAAAACCCTCGGTGGCCAACTACTGTACGTTTGGAGGGACTCCAGGATCTCCCACGGAACGCACCGGTGTCCCTCGGTAATGTTTTCACCTACCATTCTACGTGGATAATTGCATTAACGGAACGGTCGGAGGGTTTTATTTCGTGTGGCCGTCAAGATTATGTGAAATAACACAGCTCGGCTACTTTCTGTAGGGATACATATAGATTCACCAGAATACACAACTTCAGCGGAGCCGCTGTGGCTATTCGCCGAAATTATGTTCCCAATATAATGTTATTTTATGTTATTTTACATAATTTTAAAGATCGAGCGCTCTTAATGTAAAACCTTTTGTTTTGTAAATGCAATGAGAATTATCAACAACAGCATGTGCCCATTGGTGCGTGGTCTTCGAAGTGAGGTGACCTTTGTAAGTAAAACAAAAATTAACAATTGACAGATAGCAGAAACGGATCGTAGTAATAATATCAAACCACCTCTTATGCTTTTCCTCATTTTAACGACGTTTTGGATTATCGATCGGACAGGGGTTATATCGCTTCCACGTACGAGATTGCAATGGCACTAAGATCAAAGAAGGAGTTAATCTTGAATTTTCCTTATAGCTTACATAGGTAATTAATTCGCAATAATTGCTAGCGTTGATAATGTTAGTTAAAATAACAAAAGTCTGTGGTCATGAAGATGCAATCAAAACGCCTGTCAACAAGTTTTCTTATTTGGGTTATAAAGTTGAGGAAATCTAACACCAAGACAAGGTAAAAGAGCTACACAGCGTGTTTTCAGTGACATGTATGGGTAAGTTCAAATCAGGGAATGAGGTGTGTTTCACATGAAGATCGAGTAAAGCGTATGAATCCTTTTGTCTTCGGTAAGTGCACGGTTTCCACACGTTCATTTATCTTCAAATGTGGAAGTGATATTAAAAAAGACTTCGCACAGTTAATAAATACGCCATGAGACAGTTGTTATGTCAATCAGATGAATTGATCAGTTGAACAGTTCTAGTTTCTACGTGTCCTTCAGAATTTGATTGGAAAGTTTTAATAATTTCGTTTTTAGAAAATGTTTAGGGAATAGGAAACTCTAGGGCAACAGATTATACCACACCTTTGCCTTGCGATTAGTTATAATAATGAGATTTTAAAAACGCAGAAATATAAGTAAATCAGGGCACAAACTGATCGTTAACCACCGGTCTCTACGATACTTGAGTTTAAGACGTACTTACTCAAGTATTTCGGAAAGACAGAATTAGTAAACAACAAACCTGTTTGTAACGAATCCATTAGTGAGGTACTCACAAATTGCATTTAATGGTCGATTCGTTTAGAGTTTAAAGAATAGCTGGAAGTTATAGTACTTATATCTGCGAGGGAGAACAGACAGAAATGCGGTGTTACAAGAACGTGGTAGTAGTGCTCAGTTTGTGCAGTTTATTTGCTTGGCCTAGTGCAAGTCATCATGCACTCCTCGCGGAGCGGCAGGCACAGAGTAATGTTTTTCGTATTAATAATAAACTAATATTAATATTTCAGGGACATATTATTATTCAACATTATTTAGTACCAAACTAAGCAAAGCTTTTATGTACTATGAGTAATTCTTCTTCTTTGATTATTGTACTATGGGTACTTGGTAACTGATAAACGTACTTAAACATACTTGTCCTTTGTAAATAAATATTAGAGATATATATATAAATAACCAGACAAGCAAAAACATGTGATAATTAATTTAGCGCTAAAGAACAACATTTTTTTTCTTAACATATGTATAATGGGCAGTATCCAAAATAAACAACCTCTAAAGGTTGGCTGGCACCTTTAGAGGTTGTAAAATGATAAAATTTTAAGAAATTACTAATTAATTTAAAAATTATAAGTAATTATGTATTATTTAAAAAATAATCTTCGACAAATCAAGAGGTTGGTGTCAAAAGAGTTTTTAATGGGCTAGAAGAATCGTGAATCTACAACTGTTAGTGACACCGTATCGATTATAGATAATTTGTAAATATTTAAATATTCGTGGAAAAACTTATATGCGGGACTTCCTACACTCCCAAATACTAATAATGCTACCGTGTACGTTGAGTTCCGTTTGTATTAATTGGCGTCACTATTCTCCATTCAGATATAGCTACCGATCGAGTGGAGGATCGGTCCTCTTGGGCTGCCTCGAAGCGGAATGATAAATATTGAGCCCAAGTCGAGGTCCGCTCTCCTGGGCTATTGAGCCTAGTTACCAGCTTGGTGCCCTCTCAAACCAGTGAAAACCCCCGAGAGCTTAGTCACCCATAATCCAGGTTCATGCTAGGCACTCTCAGAGCCCGCCTACCTCAAGCCCGGTGGATCTCTAAAGGTTCAAGAGTGGACGATCCATTTAAAAAATTAATGGCCGCCTAGGGGACGTAAAGTTTTCCAACACGTGACAGTGATATCAGTATTTTTCCCCTTGTTTTTTTCATTTTTCCTATCCTTATCATTATGCTGATCTTGAATAGTCCTTACATTTTTAATAATCAAGTAACTTAGTTATACTACATGGTAGGCACTAACAATGCAAAACTTGTGTGACATACCTGTGCTTGATCCATCTTTAACAACAGCTGATTGTTTTTCAATATTAATGTCGTATCGAGCCAACTGACAGAAAATATACAAAGGGTAAAGTTATCTATTAAATTAATATTATTTTCAGGATTGGTACGGCCTTTAACCAATGTCCGAACCCGCCAACCGGTCTTATTTCGACAGCCTAATGGTAATGTTTTATATCATTGTCGTTTGCGTTGGTTAATAATTGCTTACTTAATTGAACTTTGTTAAATTTTAGGAATGGGGTACTATCCAGTAAACCCTAATTACAACTATGTAATCAGAAACCCAGCGCAAAATGGTAAGTATATTTCGCGAATCGATTAAAGAAATTGGTTGACTGTTACTGATTACCGATGGTTAAGTTAATTATTTAACCTGTAATAATTTTGTTTATATCAACATAAGCTTAGCAATCAAATCAAAAAGGGAAGTCCCTTTTTGATTTGATTGCTAAGGCAACAATAAAATGATAATTTTACATTCAAAATGGAAACTAACTGTAACGTGAACTACCCTAACTTTTAAACGATTTGATATATTGATTGATTTTAAATTGAGATCATTTTCAGCAACGGTATATAATGTTTTTATTACTTTAATGATACGTTAGCGTACGGCGCCACTTATCGAAACTGAAGAACATTAGCTAAGCGAAGTTTTTTCAGTACAAAAATTAATGTTTCCAGGTGTTTATACGAATAGGCAAGGTTTACCAGCGGATAGAATATCGTTCGACACAACGAGTAACAACACTATCCAGCCAAATCTACTTTCCGTGACCGAGCCATGCGAAGTGTCGGTGTCTGAAACATCTATTCACGGTTTCATTTGCAAGGGGCAGCTCTTATTCGAGGACAATTTCAATTCCAACCTCGATGATGATAAGATATGGACGTCGGAGATTTTCATGCCGGATCAACCGGTTCGTAGCTTCTAGTGCAAATCAGAACAAATCTTCTTGATCACTCTTCTTTTATACCATTTTGTATATCCATTATTTATATACACGCAGCATACGATTATCGTAATTATGTTGCTTTTTGATATTCATTATGCTTTTAAAACGATACTCGAAATTGTTTATATGCTGGAAAGGATATAACAATGGATGCGCCAAGCATTGCTGCTACAAATGCTAAAAAACAACGTGGATAAAAGGACGTTAAGAGTTTCGTCGGTGTAGCAATCAGCCGCTTAGCTTAGTGGTTAAAGCGTGGGGCCGCGAATGCCGACGACGTGGGTGCGATTCCCACAGCGGACAGCGACAGTCTTTTCGTACTTTTTCTACATATTTTAATGCTTTTAATGTTTTTTTTTATTTAACTTTCATTAGAATTATTAATTATTACATGAAACTTAAATTTAAACGTGATTTAATAGATACGTTGTCGAATAAAGCCAACCGAGTTGAGTGGCTGGCATCCTTGGCTGGAACAAATATATCAAAATTTATTTGCTTTTTCAGAATTTTTTGGTGTCGAAAGTTTTCGACGGGTCATCTATTTAACTCACATGTAAACTGTCGAATTACCTTTCTATAAGAAGTTTAATTTTTAACACGTCAGTTTATTGCTACAGGACTATCCGTTCAATATTTACGAAAAGAAAGCCCTCGTGGAGGATGGCAAGCTTGTCATCCGCCCTATCACTTTGGAATCAGAATACGGAATTGATTTTGTAAGGCGGTCATTGGATTTGAGGGACAGGTAAAAATTTATACGTTCATTAAATTTTTATGACAGACTAAAATTAATAGTAAAGATGGATATGACTGTTTTGAATACATGAAATATGAATCTTTAATTACATTTGATAAGACCAACTCGAGTAAGTTTTACGAAAATGTCCATTTAAGTCTAGATGCTTTACTAGAGTGAAATGTAACTTCTTAAATGACAAACAAATCAACCAAACAGCTAACCATTTGATATGAACTCGATACAATGGCAATCAAAGACATATGATCTTTTGACATTGGTCAGTTGTGATCCCATCACGCATAACAAAACAAAAAATCATACTTTTTCTAAATATTTATTTACACGACAAAATATATATTGTCGTATGAACGAATGAATATTTCAACACAACCTACGAGCAAGCAACTCCCTTGAATGATAACCGCCGCTTCTCGTATTTCTCGAGAAACTTCTACAATATTGACTATTTTTTGAATCCACAGCGTTGGGTTTTCCAATGCTAATTTTCCTCTAATGCATCCGTAATTGCTATATGATTGACATTCTGTCCTATTTAAACAGATGTACTGCGACAACATCGATTAGCGAGTGTTACAGAGAAGCTTTTGGGCCTCAAATTCTACCACCAGCCATCACAGCCAAGATCACAACGAAGAGAACGTTCAGTTTTAAATATGGAAGGATTGAAGTTGGAGCGAAAATGCCAGTTGGCGATTGGCTAATACCCGGTAGTTTTGGAATTATAATTATATAGTAGCCATTCAAATTATGAAGAAATATATATTTTTATTTATCGCAAATTAGTAAAATAATTATAAATTCTCTAAAAATATAAGACGTGCAAAACATTATCTGATCAATCAATATTTTTCATATCGTTTTCATTTCTGCGGGCAGTACTATCCGTAAAAAAACTACTACATAATCTTTAAAACATTAGCCACTATACATGCTGGAAAAATGTAAATAGTTTAGAAATTAACCCATTGTGTGATTTCCTCGATCCAGAAATACATCTATCATTATTGAACTATTCTTTAAAGTTAAAAAAATAAAATAGCTCCCCAGAAGGCACAGAAACGTGTGTACGAATATCTTTATCTGTTTCGGCTATCGTGATATGTATCTTACAATTTTATTCACAGTTATTCAACTTGAGCCTCACGATAACGCGTATGGAGCGTTGAACTACGCTTCGGGATTGATTCGCATCGCCTGCGTCAAAGGCAACATTGAATACTCCAAAAAACTATACGGTGGTGCTATATTGAGTGAATCAGATCCGTTCAGGTAAATCTTGATAGATTGATTAAATTATCGACATAAAGGTCATCTATTATACTTTTTCTCCTGCCCTTAACCATCCAAAGTGGGACACAACGTGTAAATAAAAAAAAATTAAATCATAATCATTTAATCGTAGAAATAAGAAACATATTTCATCTACAGATAGACATTTTTTTAAATCAACCCCTGTTTTGTAATGAGGTTCCTCTAACGGAGAAGAAACAGGTGACTGAACCTCCGTAGCTGTAACCACTTTTTTGTAATTTTTATTTTTATCGTGCAAATCACGTTGCTAATGATACTGACTAGGTTTTTACGATCGGGAACAAACGGCTAGATCTTATTTTATGTGAGAAGGTGGCAAGCGAGCTGGCGGGACATTTGCAACACCTCTAGGGTTGCAGATGCGTTGATACAGTCGAAACGCAGAAGTATGACACTTCAATTTCGCGGACCTGCCCATTCTTGCAACTGCCGAAGGTATTGCGAGGCCTACGGTTATCTAAAAAATATATCTCTGAATCACATTCCGGCTCCCGGGCCTTAAGTCAACAACTGCGCCACCGACATTTGTTGCACACAAATTTTAAATTTGTTTTTGGAAAAATCGTTTCAATATCTTTATTTGGCCATAAATTCCTTGGCGTTGCATATTGAAGTTTATTAATATACTCAATTGGCTTTATAGAGTTTTCCTTACATTGTTGTATTTTGGTTTATTTATGGAATATTATTTAAAAAAAAAAAACATTTTTTTAGGAGTGCTAATTTATTTGAAAAGATTGGGAATGATCAATGGAGTAAAAACTTTCATAATTACACAGTTGTCTGGAGTCCAGGTAAGTAAAAAAGTTTTTGATTTTGCAATAATAAATAATTATTAAGCGATGAAAGAAATAACTCTTTACTTTTAATAACCAAATACAGACTGTATTCGGTTGGGTTTCTAGAGACAACCTGATCAAAAAGCTTATTAATAATTATTATGAGTATAATTTTAAATCGAAATAATTTTTATGACCACAAATTTAAAAGACACTTAAATCATATGTTTCAGATGGAGTGTCTGTATTTGTAGATGGAGAAAAATACGGAGAAGTGTTGCCAAATGAAGGGTTCTTTGAAGAAGCAAACAGATACTATATGTCGGCACCAACAAATTGGTTGAAAGGTAGCCTTATGGCACCGCTGGACGAGATGGTTAATATTAATAGACTTGTTTTACTTTGTTACTACAAACCACTTACAATAAGTTAGTAATATAATTAATCACTGTCTGATACTAAAGTATAAAAAAAGGTCTTAAGAGAATAATGCTGGAAAAAGTTTCCAGAATTATAAGACAAAATATATATATATATATACATATATATTTCGATGGTAGGGCCACGCAGCAGCCTCGGCTGTTGCACGAATGGGTAGGCCCGTCCGGGTAGGTACCACGACCTCACAGAAGACTAGCGTAAAGTGGAAGTATGACAAATACTTTCGCGTTTCGTCTGGTGAACAAGGTAGCCGGAGCCCAATTTTCAAAAGGTTGTCAACGCATCTGCAACCCTCGGGTGTAGCAGATGTCCATGGGCGGCGGTATTCATTTAACATCAGGTGAACCGTCTGCTCGTTTGACAACTTTTCGCATAAAAAAAAATATAAAGGCGGTGCTCATGTCTTCATATATTGGACAGAAATTAAAGCGATTTACACACGTGAGAATTTATATAAAGAGAAATCTTCGCTTCTAAGATTTGTATCAGCGATCGCAGACGATCCTCCACTGCTCTATTATATAGTCGTATTTTGAAAGAAGTCGGTCAAAAAGCGAATGTAATACTTGCGGAAGTAACTGCTTGCAGTAGATTCTTTTATACTTGTATAAAATAATCTACTTTTAATTTTTTATGATTTAATGCTGTAATAAAAATTATTTTCTTCACAGTTCTACGTATCATTAGGTCTCGATGTAGGTGGCATTCATGAATTTCCTGATTCTCCTAGCAAGCCCTGGAGCAATGCTTCCAACAAGGCAATGCTCGAGTTCTGGAACTCTCGAAATAAATGGTACCCAACATGGCGTAAAGATACAAGTGCTTTGAGCGTAGACTATGTCCGAATATACGCTATATAGAAAGTGAGTAATGTATTTGCATACGAATTATACTTTCAAGTTTCGTCTGGTAAGTGAGGTAACCGGGGTCTACTTTTTATAAAGGTTGTTAACGCATGTGCAAGTCTTGGCCCATTTTTGTAAATACGTTTTTATAAATACTACAAAGGCAGTCAAATAAATGAACCGTAATACTTAGATATGACCATGAACTATTTTGATATTGTTCATAAATCATAAACTTAACCCAAATAATACTTGGTAAGGTAAATTGACATTTACTTTATATCTGGTCTTGTTATTTGTGGTTGTAACGAAGAATATAATTTGAAAAAAATGACTACACTACAAAGGCTAAATCTACAGAAACTAGCACTAAAATATAAAATAAATTATAAACGACAACTTTTAACATAAAAAGTGGATCGTGTGAATGGTGTGGTGTTGTAATGCTATGAAAATATGAATAATGATTAATTATGTCATATACGTTTAAAATATGTCATTTTCAGTTGAGTAGTAATTTTAATAATGTTTCCGAGGCAAATGTTTTTAAAGAAACTATTAGGGTTTTTAGTGGTGGTAATAAATAAGCCTTATCCTAAATTATTCTTAATATTCCACCGCATCGAACTCAAAGTCTTATAGTTGTTATCTACCATACATTCGGTACAAATAAATATATTCAGCAACATTTAGTTTAGTTCAATACAAATATTGTAATACTCAGCTGCAAATAAAAATGAAGTATTGTTATGTAATTGTACGAATCATAAGTGGTTTTCACGATCATATCTAATATTTTGCTCCATTACCATTTTTCAAATTATTAAATCATGAATAAATTATAGGTTTTTATGTTTATTCGACTATGGGAAGAAGTTTTACTGGTTTATCACGCTATAAATCATTTTTCGATTAATATATATGCTAAATATAAATAAGGTATGTTGACTTGACGACCTGAATCGCGTGCTTGGTAGTGTACCTGCCTCCTGCGTCAGAGGGTGTGGGTTCGATCCCCACTACTGGAAAAATATTGTGTGATGAACATAGTGTTTTTCTAGTGTCTGGGTGTTCATATATGTATAATATGTATTTCTTTACAAAAGAAAAGTATTTTTAAGTATGTTTATCAGTTATCTAGTACCCATAGTACAAGCATTGCTTAGTTTGGGACTAGAAAACTTTGTGTGAAAAATTTGTCCTAATATAATTTGTCAGTACTTTGATTATAAATTCAGTTAACAGCTAACATAAAACCTTCTATCACTTAAGGGACGAACAAAGGAAAAAATGCCTACAACTTATACAGATTACACGGTTGCAAACAATCCTAACCAATATTTCATTGATACAATTATGACATAATTGTATTTAAATTTTACAAATTGATTCGGTAATTCTTCAAGCAGTTATAAAAGTCAATCATTAATAATAACTGGTTTGGCCTAATATTCATGTGATAGTAGATGAAGACTCAAGCGCTCCGTTAAAATTGTGTTTATGGAAATCGTTTAATATCTTATCCTTTAAACGAGCAAGTCTTGTATATATATATATATATATACAAGACATATATATTCCGATTTTATATATATATATATATATATATATATATACAATCGGAATCTCGGAAACGGCTCCAGCGCTAGTCATGAAATTTAGTAAGTGCGTAGATTCGGGGGCGAAAAATCGATCTAGCTAGGTTTCATTTTTAGAAAATGTCCTTTTATCCCTGTTTTCAGGGAATGAAAAATATCATTCGAATGTGACAGTAAATGCCGCAAAAAAAATGTTATCTATAATAGCTCGGTCGGTAATCGGGCGGCCCCAAAACAGCCGCGGTTCGTATCACGATCGTTTACACACTTATTTTTTTTACTTATTTTTCTATACCAGATCATTTTCTTTATTTTTTTATTTTTTTAATTGCCAAAATACATGATTTACCAGAAAAAACTCGGCCCTCCAGGTACTTGCGTATTACGCAATATGCTTTATATTAATTGAATGAATTTATGCTTATAACTATATCTGCACGCCTTTCTTTTTAACCGTGTTTATATAGTTTACTACATTTAGAAACGTATAAACATACATACATAACAAAGTCAAGTCTTCTATGTGGAGAATATGCTTTTAAATTTTCCTCAATTTTCATCTCTTGATGCAAACATGACCGATCGTTCCGAGTATACTTCGCATCGAAATAAAGTACATGCGATTAAATACTATTAAAAATCTGGATGACAAAAATCTAATTCTGTTATTTAAGAACTTAATATGAATTTCTTGTTATTATTTATTATTTACTAGTTAATATTATACTCAACAGACATAAGTAGTTTCGACTGTAGGTTACTAAATTGATACTTGTGATCCATCCCGTTATGGGTGAAAGCAAGCAGCTAGTTCTTATATATTTATTTATTTATTTATTATTCGTTCTTTTTTTAATGGCAAAACTACCATCGCTTTAGGAGCAAAGTTTTGTTACAGCTTTTGAAGCTCTGACATAGTGTATAATGAATCGAAACGTTCAATACTTAGGATACCCTTCACTCTTGCAAAATAATTTTTCATCTTTATTAAACTTTCAATCAGATCTGGTTATTTATACTCATGGAAATATTTTACGTAGATTTCAACGGTGTAGAGTTCCAAAGTAATAAAGGAGAGAAACAAGAGGCCGCAGTAAATGAATCATTTTTAAATAACAATTCTTTTTTTCCAGATAACTTCACACTTGACATAGTCACTCTGAAGTTGTGAAGACTCAGCTGGCAATGGAAATTTGCATATCTGTTATTATTAAAGTGCATGTTAAGAATGTTATTAGTTTCATTATGTAAATGTCGACCATTCATCATCATCATCATCATCATCATCAGCCGCAAGACGTCCACTGTTGAACATAGGCCTCCCCCTTAGACCGCCACAACGAACGACACTTAGCCATTTGCATCCACCGGTTCCCCGCGACTCTTATGATGTCGTCGGTCCACCTAGAGGGAGGCCTTCCAACGCTACGTCTTCCGGTTCGTGGTCGCCACTCGAGAACCTTTACTCCCCATCGGCCATCAGTTCTTCGAGCGATGTGGCCTGCCCACTGCCACTTCAACTTGCAGATCCGGAGAGCTATGTCGGTGACTCCGGTTCTTCGGCGAATTTCCTCATTCCGGATTCTGTCCCGCAAAGAAACTCCGAGCATAGCTCTCTCCATAGCTCGTTGTGTGACTCTGAGCTTCTCCAATAGGCCAACTTTTAGAGACCACGTCTCAGTGCATACGTCATCGCTGGCAACACACACTGGTTATAAACCCTTGTCTTTAGGCACTGTGGAATATTGGACGAAAAGATATCGCGTAGCTTCCCGAACGCTGCCCATCCGAGTTGGATTCTTCGAGTGACCTCTTTGTCGAAGTTGGACCTGCCTAACTGGACCGTTTGTCCAAGGTAGACATAATGATCGACAACTTCGAGTGTATCGTTCCCAACAATAACTGGTATGGGTTCGACATGGGCATTTGACATGATTTTCGTCTTGCCCATGTTCATTTTAAGACCCACCTGTTGGGAAACGTTACTGAGGTCCCTGAGCATAGTGTTAAGGTCCTCCAGCGACTCAGCCATTATGACTATATCGTCGGCAAAACGAAGGTGAGTGATGTATTCGCCGTTGATATTGATGCCGAATCCGTCCCAGTCCAAGAGCTTAAAAGCATCCTCCAATGCGGTCGTGAACAGTTTCGGAGAAATGACGTCTCCCTGTCTCACGCCTCTCTGCAATTGGATTGCTTTCGTGCTCTCATTCTGTAGACGGATGGACATAGTGGCGTTTCTATACAAACACTTCAGAACTTCGATATACCTATAGTCGATATGACATCGCTGGAGAGACTGCAATACCGCCCAGGTCTCGATTGAATCGAAGGCTTTTTCATAGTCCACAAACGCTAAGCACAATGGCCGATTATACTCCTCGCTCTTCTGTATAATCTGGCGGAGCGTATGGATGTGGTCTATGGTGCTAAAGCCTTTCCGGAACCCGGCTTGTTCGGGAGGCTGGAAGTCATCAAACCTGCGTTCAAGACGATTCGTAATGACTCTAGAAAACAGCTTATATACATGGCTCAGGAGCGAGATGGGTCTATAGTTCTTCAACAGGGTCATATCTCCCTTTTTGAAGAAAAGCACCACCACACTCCTATGCCATGCTTCTGGTGTGGTGCCTTGAAGTATGACGGAATTGAACAACTTCTGGAGGACTTGTAGTACCGGTTTTCCACCCGCTCTCAGAAGTTCAGTCGTAATTCCGTCATCACCCGGTGCCTTATTGTTCTTAAGCTGTTTCAGAGCCATTCTAATCTCGTACAGGCTGATGTCTGGGATATCCTCAGTGTAGTGTCGGGTCAACCTAGCTCTGGTGTCCTGAGCTGTTCTGACAATGGGTTTACATGTCGAGGTGTACAGCTGTCCGTAAAACCTTTCAAGCTCCCTCAAAATGTCCGGTTTCGATGAGATGACACTGCCGTCGTCGATCTTCAGCTTTGTCATCAGGCTTTGCCCAATACACGAATGCCTTGCAAACACTTTAGAGCCCTGGTTCCGCTCGATTGCGGCTTTAATACGCTGTGTATTATAGGACCGCAAGTCGTGTCGCATGGATTTTGAGATTCGTCTATTGAGTTTGCCATACACCGACATATCAACTGAAGATTGCAGTCTCACCTCTGTTCGATCTTTCATTAATTGAATGGTCTGTGGGGAGAGCTTTTGAGGTTTATTCGGGCGCGGGGCCTTAAAGAACTTAGAACCCACTGTGTGGACAGCTTCCACCAACCCATTGTGCATCTCGTCCGTTGATTCGCATTCTTCAAGGCACTGAAAGCGATTTTGTAGTTCGAGTTCAAAGCTTTCGGAATTTTGGATTTGGGCAGGGCAAGGTCGGAGCGTGGACTTCATCAGGCGTGACCTTTCAAGCTTCGCGTTGATATTCAATATGCCTCTAACAATACGGTGATCACTACCGGTTTTCACCCTGCCGATCACGGAGACATCATTGAATATTCGCTTCTTGGTCGTCATGATGAAGTCGATCTCATTTTTGGTTGAACCATCGGGGCTTATCCAAGTCCACTTTCTGGACGGACGCTTCTGGTAGAAGGAGTTCATCAAGTAGAGTCCCTCCTTCTCCAATGTCGACCATTATCCAACCTTAATGCGCTATTAAACTATACCAATTCAATACTTTTTTGTTCTTCAAATATATATAAATGAAATGTACTACTTGTATTAGTGACCACACATTTCTTGACGACTGGAGTGATAAAAGTCGATATATCAGTTACGTAAAGATAGTTTGATAGCCTATAACTATGCTAGAAAACAACGTCATCTACGGTAAGAGAGGGAGAAGGCAGCCTGATGATAAGTTACAATAGCTTTAATAAACTAGCTTTTCACCGCGGCTTCGCTCGCGTTGAAGTCCTTAAATAAATATCTTAATTCAAAAACTATATATATTTATATATATATACATATATATATTTTTTTTTAAAGATTTTTTTCCAATTATCAAATAGCCTATGTCCTTTCTCAGGCTCTAGACTATCTGTGTACCAAATTTTTTCAGTGTTCAGTAGTTTTGGCGTGAAAGCGAGACCGATAGACAGAGCTACTTTCGCATTTATAATATTAGTATGGATTTTCTAAATCAAAAAATGTAAAGGAATATACTTACATCGGGAATTTAAACATCTAATTAAACGCGATAAAATCCGTAAAATTGTTTCATTTAACAAAAATTTTAGGAACTTAACAATATACATTTGTGCCTCACTATGCTGGATTGGAAGACACGAGATCTATACAGCGTGTCGTTACCATCGCGACAATAAATGAACACACGTCTAACGCTACTTGCCAATAATCATAAAAAATATTAACGTTAAACAAAATCCATAATTAAAAAAAAATATTTTTCAAACAAACTAATTAAGTAAAAAAGAAACAAAATTTGTAACATCCTATATAACTCGCGCCACAGCGTCGTATTACAAGCCTCTCCTTCTAACAGTATGTTTTGTCTCTTTTAAATTCATTCAACCCATTCATATGCTTTGTGACTTTTACAAATCAACTTTACATTACGCTTTTATAGGTAAGGTGTTCTAAAATTCTTTGTTTTGGAAAATTTAATAACTCTGTAAATATTGATGTTTAAAGAATTTAAATGTTTACTACAACTTTAAAAAGTTATCCCCTATATGTGTGTTCATTTATTGTCGCAATGGTAACAACACGCTGTATATGTATATTTATATTTACCTATTTTCAAAATAAATATTTCATTTAGTATTTAGTATTTTCATGTAGTCCGCCAATCCGCAGTGGGGCTGCGTAATGGCTTTTGCCAGCGGGACATGTATAGGCTGTTACTTTACTTTACTTTACTTTATTTTACTTTTACAGTTTCCATTTCCCCTTCATCCCCGTATCTAAGTAAGAGGTTTGCTTCAAGGTCCGTAAAACTTTGATGGCGTTATCTTCCTATTAGATTGCATTTTTATATTTCCGATTTGAGCGATTCAATTCGCTCAAATCGGAATAGGGTTTTATTGAGTATCAAACTCATTAGCTTAATTGTTTGAGAAATATACTCGTATAATGGTATTGGTTTTTATGACAAATGTCGCTAGATAAATGTCTCACATAGTAGTTAGTATACTAAAACATTATAATAAGAATCTAGTCTTGATCTAAGTTTCATTACGGATACTCAAATAATATACTAATTCGTTTTAAGTTCGCTTGAATAATGAAGAGGACACACTAATATTGATAAATTATTACTTAATATCACATGAAGAGGACAAATAATATGCGCTAAACGATTAATTTTTACATTTACTGTTCGTTAATAATTGATATAATTGATACATAGAATCATTATAATTACTAACGTATCCTTCAAATTAAACTCTGACAGTTCCGTATATTTAATCATTAAAAAACATGGTATTTTTAATTCATTCCTAATAGCAAACATAACGCCGTTTTATCGTGAACTTGACATTGATATGATTTTAAGTAAACATCTTTAAATGTTACACACATACAAGAATGAACATACATAATTATTGTATGATCTATGTGGGTTGTGTACCTTCTTACATAAGCATATATACTTATATCGCTGTATAAGAATAACATTGCTATATTTAAACATCCCGTTTGTTCTATGACGTCATCAAAAAGGAAAACAAACCGTGCATAATAAATAATTTATAATTTATACGCAAACAGCGCGAACGATTATTAACGTGTGTTCAAATATTCTCCGTATACCGGTTCGTCATCCGCAGCCGTCTGTCAATTACCTTCTCGTGTACTGTGCCCGATGAAGGCCTTATTTATGCATCGCACGAGTTTTTTTTTTCTAAATACAATAATCAAGGCATGTCGGATACGACCGCTAACCAGTTTAGTCTGTGATCGTTGATTGTTCAACGAACATCTTCACTGGCACATTATCTGTACATATTAATGTGATATATAATATTACACATCATAATATAATCAACTGGATTAAATTAACTGCAGTAGTTTTCATGCCATTAGTGTCGTATGATGTTTCGTTTTTTACTCGTTTGCTTGTCAGCGTTTTTGGTAGACTGTGCCAGTGGCTATGAAGTGCCGCCGGCGAAATTAGAAGCGATATACCCAAAAGGCCTACGAGTGTCTGTTCCAGGTTTGTTGCTTCCTTTATTAAGTAACTAGCTTTCGCCCGCGGCTTCGCTCACGCTCACGAAGCCTTAAATAAATATCTTTCAAAACTTTACAATACTTTTCCAATTAAAAAATAGCCTATGTCCTTTCTCAGGCTCTAGACTATCTGTGTACCAAATTTCATTTAAATCGGTTCAGTAGTTTTTTTAGTGAAAGCGAGATAGACAGACAGAGTTACTTTCGCATTTATAATATTGGTATGGATTAACTGGTCCACACAACAGTCTTCGATGTTGGACGAACTGGCAGGTCCGTCCGGCGAAGTACCAAGACCTCACAGAAGACAGGCATGAGTTGTAGTGTCTGGTAAGAGGTAGCAGTGGTTATTAAAAGGTGGCAACGCATCTGCAACTTTACGGGTGTTGCAAATGTCAATAGGCGGCGGTTATCACTTGACTTCATGGGAACCGGCAGCTCGATTGCCACCTTTTCACATAAAAAAGAACAAATTGCTCTGTACTTTTAAGAATTCGTAGATAATAGTTTCTCCAAGTGTTAAGGTCAAATCGGTTATAATCGCAAAATTCTACATTCTAAGTTATGTTTCAACTTATATGCGTAAATCATTCTTCTTTGTCGTTTTCATGTTAAATAAACTTCCTTGATTGCGTTTTGATAAATAATGCCAAGGTAATAATCATAACATTTATGACTACAAGTTCACAACCGTGAACTTCTTCGATATGACCTTATAATAAATTGGCTTAAATCTTGCATACTTGAGGTATACTTTCATACCCAATATATTTTTTTCGTAAATTCATTTTAATAAGTACTGCAAAGGTTATCAAATAGAGCAATCATAACACTTACATATAACCATGAGACATTTGATATCACTACATAGTATAAAACAATGTCGTCCCGCTGTCTGTCTGTCTCTTATATGTGCTTAGATCTTTAAAACGACTCAACGGATTTTGATGTGGTTATCTTTAATAGATAGAGTGATTCATGAGGAAAGTTTGTATGCATAATTCATGCGTAATATTATAGTAGAGAAACACTGATAATTTTAGAGGTTTCTAATGCGATGTCGAAAACAATTCGGGATTGCACCCATGCGAAGCCGGTGCGGGTAGCTAGTTGTCGATAAAAAATAATAGATACGACTCAATGCAAATCGACATATCTTTACATCTGGTCCATTTATTTGGTTATAATCAAACAAATAATTTAAAAAATCCATAATAATTAAATTAAGTTTCATATCGAGCAGAGACTAGCTGTAAAAAGAGAAATGAATAATAAAACTTTAACTTTTCATTTCAAATCGATATCCAAATATCATAAAAAACTGTTAATTCACCATTTCGTGGACGTCTCATTTTTAGGCAGTACAGTAAACAGAAGCGAGATAATTACGGCATAAAAGAGATCAAGTTGTGTATATTGCCAGGTTAAACTTACAAAGTTAATATTTATGCAGGAAAAAAGAACGGCCAAGTAAACACCACCCCCTTTAGGGTTATGTCTCTCTGTTGTGTTCTCGCTGGCAACACTGAATAACGGATATGATGTGACCTTTTGAACATAGGTCACACACTTCAATGATGACAGATAACTGGCACACGATTGTAGATCTGTTCACAAAACTTTTGAAAAAAGACACTTAATTAGCGAGTACTATCCCCAAAATCGGAATGTACTTTTCTATGGCAATTTTGTAACGGCAAAGCTAAAAAACCGGACTCGCGCACTAAGGGTTCCGTACCATTATCTAAAAAAGCGATAAAAACATGCCTGTTGTATGGAAGCCCCACTTAAATAATTTTGTATTCTGTATTTTAGTATTTGTTGTTATAGCGGCAACAGAATACATCATCTGTGAAAATTTCAACTGTCTAACTACTACTATCACAGTTCATGAGATACAGCCTGGTGACAGACGGACATAAAAATAGCGGAGTCTAAGTAATAGGGTCCTGTTTTACCCATTTTGGGTACGGAACCCTAAAAAGGGTGAATTCCTAGGTTGATGAAATGGCGGGAAAAGAAATAAGTATATTCAGTACAGTCCCATAATGTAAGAAAGCGCGACAAATTAATTTCAAAACGTAAAATAGTGATTGACGAGTTAATGCGAAGCACCCACCACCAACGAAGATAATTTGGTAATCAATCCAATGCCTGAGTTGAGATCATAATTATAATAATATCTTATACATATCAATAAATGTTTAAATATTTGAATGCATTTGTTTAGTTCAGTTCGTACAAAGAAAACTCTCATGAAAATATAGACATCTTAGACATTTAATATCGAATAAAACGAACGGTTTTAATCAAGTATAGCGTTATTGTTTTTCCTCAGAAAGGAAAATTTAATATTGACATTACCTCTTCGAATAAAAGGAAGCCTCTCGGCGAAAACAGCGCGAATACGAATGAATTGCTACTCGTAGATTTCTTTTTGAATTTAACGTTGTAGGAACATTTTAACTGTGTTTCATCCATGAAAAACTTGAAAGGAAATAACTAGAAAGGAATCGGAAATATTTTTTTATTGTCATTTATTCATAATAACAAGTTACGAGGTTTCAGTTTTTCAAACAATATGTGTGTGTTGTTCTTCCTTATATTCCAAGTACATGAACGCTCTATTGATGACTATATGTTATGGATTCGGGAGTTGCGATGGTATTTTACACCAAGGGTATCTACAATCCAATTATTAATTTTGACTTGGTCTTTGATTTGACGTTGGCGTTATGTTATAAAATTATCTTTAGAATTGTTGCTAATTAACATCTTGTCAAATAATCGTTTCGAAAACAAATATTAAAATTAAGTCTTACTCACTTTATGGAGATTTTTGAACCGAAGTGTTTCTTTCTAATTTATTCTTGGTGTATGGCATAGGATAACAGACTGTGTCGATTTTAATTAGAGTATTGAAACTTAGGACTGTTAATCAGTTCTCATCACTCTTGCTAACTAGTATATTTCCCAGTGTTTTTATTGTGAAATTAAATAATTCTGCATGAAAACATTAAGATCTTTTATTGGATATAATATTTAATTTGTGGCGTTCTAAGGGTGAGAGCTGTGGACTTCTTCATCTCATTTGGACTTCAACGGTGGACATCTTCAGGCTGATGTAGTATATTGTGAATAGCACAACATTCATGTTCTAACAGGGACATTCACGGTGGTAGGCCCACGCAGCAGCCTCGGCTGTTGCACGAATGGGCAGGCTCGTCCGGGTAAGTACCACAAGCTCACAGAAGACCGGCGTAAAGTGGAAGTATAATACTTTCACGATTCGACTGGTGAGTGAGATGGCCGGAGCCCAATTTTCAAAAGGTTGTCAACGCATCTGGAACCCTCGGGTGTAGCAGATGTCCATGGGCGGCAGTATTCACTTAACATCAGGTGAACTTTTCACACAGAAAAAACATAGGCACTTCGTAAACAGACAGATTAAAACATTATTGATTTATTTAAGTGTGAGGATACAAAACCTGTACAGCATAGTTACAAATCTTTGATTTGTCAGGCTACAAATTGGACAGCGACCCGAATGGCGTGATTGTGTACCTGCCTCCTGCGCCAGAGGGTATGGGTTCGATCCCCTCTACTGGAAAAATATTGTGTGATGAACATAGTATTTTTCTAGTGTCTGTTTTTTTTTTTCAAATTCTAGACATAAATAATGTTATATAAAAAATATAAATATTTAAAATCACTCGTAATTAATTAAATACATTCATTTGAACTTATCTCAAAAAGTACGTGATTTATGGGGAACTCATTTATTTTACGCGTGATCATTCATAATTACCACGCACACAAGTTTGTTTCAAAAGTATACGCATTTATGAATGACAACCGCATTGTCAACAAGTTCTGTTTTTTACGGACTGGAAAGGCAATTTTTTTGAAAAAAAAAAAAGTTTGTTTTTATTTCAATAAACGATTATACTACTGATTCTGAACCTCCTGTGTGAATTTGGGCACCTTTATAAAAGTCACTCTGTATATGAATAGTATGTATTTATTAAAGAATATTTACTAACGAAAAGTTTGCTTTGTATGTTTATATATACATATGTTTATATATAGTACAAGTGTTGCTTAGTTTCGGACTAGAGAACGTTGTGTAAGAATGTGTCCTTAAATATTTATTTATTTATTTTAATATGTCTGACTACGGAATGGGCAACGTATTTTTCAAAACGTTGGTGTCACGCTATTTTAAACTGGATACCGTCTTTTTCAAATATTTCAAGTGTCAGGCTACAAACTGGGCAGAGTATTTTCAAAACGTTGGTGTCACGCTACTGGATAACGTCTTTTTCAAATATTTGACGTATCAGGCTACAAACTGGGTAGAGTATTGTCAAAACGTTGGTGTTACGCTATAAACTGGATAGCGTCGTTTTCAAATATTTGACGTGTCAGGCTACAAACTGGGTAGAGTATTTTCAAAACGTTATTGTCACGCTATAAACTGGATAGCGTCGTTTTCAAATATTTGACGTGTCAGGCTACAAACTAGGCAGAGTATTTTCAAAACGTTGGTGTCACGCTACTGGATATCGTCTTTTTCAAATATTTGACGTGTCAGGCTACAAACTGGGTAGAGTATTTTCAAAACGTTATTGTCACGCTATAAACTGGATAGCGTCGTTTTCAAATATTTGACGTGTCAGGCTACAAACTAGGCAGAGTATTTTCAAAACGTTGGTGTCACGCTACTGGATAACGTCTTTTTCAAATATTTGACGTATCAGGCTACAAACTGGGTAGAGTATTGTCAACACGTTGGTGTTACGCTATAAACTGGATAGCGTCGTTTTCAAATATTTGACGTGTCAGGCTACAAACTGGGCAGAGTATTTTCCAAACGTTGGTGTCACGCTACTAGATATCGTCTTTTTCAAATATTTGACGTGTCAGGCTACAAACTGGGTAGAGTATTGTCAAAACGTTGGTGTCAGGCTATAAACTGGATAGCGTCGTTTTCAAATATTTGACGAGTCAGGCTACAAACTGGGCAGAGTATTTTCCAAACGTTGGTGTCACGATACTGAATAAAGTCTTTTTCAAATCTCTAATGTGTCAGGTTGACTTTGTACTGCACACAGCGGTCCACGTCGGTGGTGCAGTAAAATGCTGTCCACATCGCTTCTGCCAGAAGAGCTTCATGGAATCCGCTAGCTGTGGTCCAACATTATTGAGGGCCAAACCCTCAATAATGTTCTCCTGGTCACGACTCTTCCTTAAATGGGTTTTCGTGAATTTTTATAAGTGCAAAATTCCATTACAGACGATGGCTACAGTCTATTCGCCTTCCACGGGAAACTCAACGAAGAGATGGAGGGCTTGGAAGCTGGGCAGTGGTCACGAGATATTACCAAGGCTAAAAACGGATGGTGGATCTTCAGGGACCGGGATGCAGTGCTGAAGATAGGCGATAAAATATATTTTTGGACGTACGTCATCAAGGATGGTCTTGGTTACAGGCAGGACAATGGAGAATGGACAGTCACAGGTTGCTATTACAAAATTAATCGAAAATATCTGTTTTTTATATAATATATATTAACAAATAAAATCTAATTGTGCCAGTAAAAAACTAACCATGGTAGGGCCATGGAATAACTTAAACAATATACTACCATGCCCGTGTAGACCGGTGTGAAGTGAGCTATTTTTTAATATTACAAAGCTTGTATTACCCTGTTTCTATAAGCTGCGTGGTCCCTATAACATTATTAATAGACATATTTTATTTATTTATTTATTTGCTTTTAACATGGTTTCACAAGGTTACAAATCATAATTATTGTACCACATCTTAGGCAAATTTTTATTTAGCTTGAAAAATATTACCGATATCAACCAAGTATTAAATCTTAATACTTTCTTAAATTGTCTGTACCCCTTTTATGATTATTGTATTACATTTTGTGTCAAAGTTGGAGTTTAACCGTCAATATATCTAGGGTTCGTGGATGAAGAAGGAATTCCCGTCAACATCAATGGAACACCGTTAGAGCCGACGACAGAAACGCCCACGAGCACGGAACCCAGTACGTCGGTCTTAGTGACGAAACCTTCCTTAGAGGGGTACCCATGTCAATTGTCGGAGTCGAAGGTCTCTGTTCCCGGCTTTGTTTGCCAGGGTCAGCTGCTGTTCGAAGACACCTTCAATGGACCCATCGAAAAAGGGCAAATATGGAAACCGGAAATCAAATTTCCCGGAGAACCGGTAAGTGTCCTATAAATGGTAAAAATGTTACTGGCTGGAAAAAAAATAATTTAAAAATAAATCGAGTTATGGAACAGAGAACGAAATGGAGTTATGGAAATTTTTCGTATTTCAGGACTATCCGTTCAACGTGTACATGTCTGACAAAAATATTTGTGTGAAAGACGGCCATCTTTTAATTAGTCCAATGACATTGGAGTCAATATATGGTGAGGACTTCGTTAGACAGTCACTGGACCTTTCGGCCAGGTAAGTTATTCAATTATACAATTTGGTATTACTTAAATTTTGACCGTATCATTTTTGTAGATATCAAATACCTCAGTTAATTATTGGTTAATGAATTGCGGACAAAGAAAGTGAAATTGATTTTTTTAAAAGGCAATTGTTTTATTTTTTTTTTTTATATAAAAAGAGAGCTACCTAAGTCAGTCATAACTCATTTGCGCAGTAATTAAGCCATTGGCTTTGGTACCGGGGATCGTGGCATTGCACACGGCACAAGTGTTCCATATCCACACATAATTATTCTGGATATGGGTGTTTCTTTTTATGAAGTTTTGACTTCAGTTGACAGTCGTTCGAAAAACCTACACCATTAAAAACACCGACCCCACTAAGGTGAGATAAGGGCAGGAGAAAGAAGAAGATTATAATGCATTACTTACATCACTAACGCATCCAAGTTATGATGTGCCATAATATGCCATCAGTAAGGTATCCGAGATATTTAAATATAAAAAAGTTTCCCTTTTCATATATACAAAAAGGTTAGTAGGATATGTTGGACTCTCTCCCTGTACAACCTTCTTCAGGATACGTATCCTACTAACATATACATTATAAATATTTATTGGTATTATTTGTTGTAGGCATATAAAATTAACTTTAATATTTAGAGGGTGATTACCTAATTATCCTCTAAATATTAAAGTTTAATTTATATACAACAAATATTTACTGCTAAATTATATTAAATAGCCGTGATAGCTCAGTGTCCGGGCGCTCGCCTGTTATTCAATATACTCGAGCAACCTGAGTTCGATCCCCGGTGCCGGCACCAATGAAATAGTTAACTTTAAGTACCAAATTATCACGTGCTCTGCGGTGAAGGAAAACATCGTGAGGAAACCTGGATATTTTCGAAATAAAAACAAAGCAAAATATTTCGAAGATATGTGAAGTCCGCCAATCCGCAGTGGGGTCGCTGTACAGAGGAGGCCTTTGCCCAGCAGTGGGACATGTATAGGCTGAAACTTTACTACTTTAAATACAATTATACAAGTATTAATTAATTATTAGTTGAATGAGAGCAGTCTCTAGAATCGTGATCTGATTACACCAGTTTGGTGTAATTCTGTTGCAATTCTAGTTGAGTGGCTCAATTTTGGTGCGCTAGTGTCATATCTTTGCATATAATATAATTGTTCGTAATGATCTAAATATGTACTTCCTTTTAATAATGAGATTGCGTAATTTTCAGATGCACGGGTGTGCTTGGTACCAGCGAGTGCAGCCGTGAAGCGTCGGGGCCGCTCATTCTGCCACCAATCATTACGGCGAAAGTTACCACGAAGAACCGATTCAGCTTCAAGTATGGCAGGATCGAGGTCAGGGCTCGGATGCCGTTGGGCAATTGGTTAATACCGGGTGAGTAATCAATCATATAGAATGTGGAAAGATGCTTATAATTCTTTTCTGTTCATGCCACAATAGCTGAACAGATTTGAGTGAAAGTTGGAATCAAGATGTACGCAATGATGATGAAGTGTACGGTTAAAACAATGATGAAAGAATCAATGGCCGCATTCAAACTCATCCTTAGCACATAACTAATATTGAACTCCTTTACGTATTTATCGAGTGGAGAGTAAAATTCTTTTTGGATTATAAATCAAAAAATCTATATATACATGTTATATAATCCGAAAAGGCATTTCACAAATGTTTCTCGTAAGTGGAAATAAAATTCGATTTTGAACTCTTGTTTAAAAGTTGAAGTAATAATATCTTTACTCTGCATAAGTAGATTTGAACACACGGATACAGGGCCTAGCAATGTTGTACTTTGCAATATTTCTCAAATAATTATTGATGTAGCTTTGATCGTAAATTTGAAGAGAGGCCATTGTGTATATAAAGATTCCTGCTTTACCGATTGCAGAAATTCATTTGGAGCCCCGTGACAAAGCTTACGGCTTCACAAATTACGCTTCGGGATTAATGCGCATCGCTTGCGTTAAAGGCAACTTGGAATTAGCCAACAAACTGTACGGTGGTCCGATAATGAGTGAATCAGAACCTTACAGGTGAGCGCCTCTATTAAATAGCCGTTATAAAATGGCGTTATCGTTTATTTTAATTATATTGTTATTTATTTATCACTAACGGTGGTAGGGCCTCGCAACTGCCTCGGCTGTCGCACGAATGGGCAGGCCCGTCCGGGTAAGTACCACGACCTCACAGAAGACCAGCGTAAAGTGGAAGTATGACAAATACTTTCGCGTTTGGTCTGGTGAGTGAGGTAGCCGGAGCCCAATTTTCAAAAGGTTGTCAACGCATCTGTAACCCTCGGGTGTAGCAGATGTCCATGGGCGGCGGTATTCACTTACCATCAGGTGAACCGTCTGCTCGTTTGGCAACTTTTTACATAAAAAAAAAACAAAAAAAAAACTATCCTTTGTGCGTAGCGTTTGAGGTCTAATGAAAAAAGAACAGTAAATCTGTGCTGTATTATTTTAGTGATCATGATTTAATGCGTTATGCATTAAGCTCTCCAAGAGAATGGGTTGGCATTTTCTTTTGCACAATAGCGCCTTCGCCATAATGTGGCAAAAAACTTTTGTTCCGTGTCACTGTCCTCCCAAGACAAATAATTATCCCAGTTGCTTGCAAACAACCAAGATATCGTTTCTAATATTTGAGTTCACGTTCAGTACAGTATGAGTTTTATTTTTATTTATTTATTTATTTAATCTTTATTGCAATTACCTTAAGCAAGGATTACAAAGGGCGAACTTAATGTCTTTTGGCATTCTCTCCCAGTCAACCCGGGGCGTGGTGAGAAATCTTTTCTATTACATTTAAAAAAAATATCTTCGGGTTTTATTTCAGTTTTTCGTATTGACTGTTATACTCTGCTTCGTATAAAATGGATTTGAGCTTTAGAGTTTTTCATGATTATTTTGATAAGCAGCTTTTGTTACTGTACGAATGGGCAGGCTCCTCCAGGCAACACTGGCCTACATAGAATTACGTTATTGTACTCCCTCCGGTGAATGAGCCTATTTTCCAAAAGCTAAGCAATGCAGTTGAGGCCACGCGGGAGTTGCAAATGATCATGGGCGGTTGTAATTACTTAATATCTTATGTGCCATCTATCCAATTGCCTCGATTTACTATGAACAGCTGCGCAGCAGTCATTTTAAGTTAAACTTCCATTTTTACCTTTAACTAAGCAGAAAATATCATTTGTTAAAATTATTACACATACGTTTTCTTTTATGTAAATGGTTTTTCAGGACCGCATACCTTAAAGAGAAAACATCTAATGACCTGTGGACGACTGAATTTCATAATTATACTTTGATTTGGACACCTAGTAAGTTAGCCATAATTTATCTACAGTCTTTATTTTTAGTTCACCTTTCACTAAGACAATGAGTAATAAAATACAGATGAAAGATTTAAATTCCGAATCTCCGTAAAGCTGGACTTGTTCAAGAAATGTTGTGCTGACCTTGATAATGATGATCCACTAAGTAAATTATTGGTTTCAGAGAGCATTTCTCTGTTAGTTGACGGAGATCAGTACGGTGAAGTGACTCCTGGAAGTGGATTTTACGAAGAAGCAAAGAGGAACGACGTGACAGCAGCATCTCAGTGGCTGAGAGGCAGCGAGATGGCTCCTTTTGATGAATTGGTCAGAAAATGTAAATTTTAGGCGTTAAATTAGTAAATGCAGATTTTCGTAATTCGTCGTATACATGCATATATAGGTCTTTGTCTATTACAGACGATTTGTAATGCACTGTCTCTGTTGTCATGGCTGTAAATCGTCTTCAAAACCTTTTTTTCTGGAAAGTAATACGTCTAGCTGACATTTTGTGCTTCCCTGGCCCTAAAATATGTATTGGTTACACATAGTGAGTGATTGAATTAAGAAAATTTCATAAAAATGTGTATAACCGGCTCTCCTGCAAAGTACAAACCAAGATAGTTATCCTGCTAAGTTCTACATTAATGATCGCGGTTTTTGGCCTTGTATGCAATATGTTTGTAAACCTCCACAGGTGTCAGGGAGACTGAGGTGAGTATCCTTTCCGTAGGTTGTAAAAGGAATTGTGTTAGTGGCTTTTTGCACGTAATAATTAGAAAAGCTCACAAAACCCTCAATTAATACCATACTATAATAACATCGAGCTAACAATATATTTTTTAAGCAAAAAATATATTTTTTTGAGTAATAATTGCATTCAAAAAAACCTTATCACAAAATATTTTAAATTGATATTAAATATTTAAAAACTGTATTCATTATTCAATAATTTCCATAATTTGTGATTTCCGCAAAAACAATTTAGTTAATAATTAAGACAAACCATCAACGGTCCAATAAAAATTTGCTTCTCCATTCTCCTTTCAGTTCTACATCTCATTGGGGCTTAGCGTTGGCGGTATCCACGAGTTTCCCGACAGCGTCGAAAAGCCCTGGAACAACCGTTCGCCAAAGGCCATGCTCAGCTTCTGGAAAGCTCACGACCAGTGGCTGAACACCTGGCACCCCGATTCTAGTGTCCTAAGAGTAGACTCCGTGCGAGTGTTCGCTCTGTAAACGGTGTTAACTACACCTGCCCATCGGTATACCACTGTTGTGTTGTCTTATATTGTAGATTTTATATTTTATTTTAACAAAAAAACTTGTATAGTTTATTTTTTTATTTTATGCGAAAGTTGTCAAACGGGCCCACGGTTCACCTGATGTTAAGTGAATACCGCCGCCCATGGACATCTGCCACACCCGAGGATTACAGATGTGTTGACAACCTTTTGAAAATTGGGCTTCAGCTACCTCACTAGCCAGACGAAACGCGAAAGTACTTGTCATACTTCCACTTTACGCTGGTCTTCTGTGAGGTCGTGGTACTCGACCCCGGACGGGCCTACCCTTTCGTGCAATAGCCGAGACTGCTGCGTTTAGGACTTAATACTGTCTTACTTGTTGTTATATAGAATATAATCTCAGCTGTTAAAATGTAAAAGTACTCAGTAACTATCCACGCCTGCCCTGAAGATACTGATACATTATCATCGGACGAAAAAGCTGACGTTGGCAAATTGTTTATTGCAAATTTTCGACCGACGTTTATCGAAATTTCAATAAAAGTTAATTGTTAAATATTATGGAATAAAACGATCGATCGTATAACAGTATAGCCGGCAGTATCATAAAACAGTAACTCATTCCAGTAAAATATCATACAGCATTAAATGAGGTAAGACCAAGCAGCAGTTTCTGTTATTGTAAGAATGGGCAGGCTCATCCGGGGATGTGCCATGGCGTCACAGGATACTGGTGCGAAGTGAAAGTATTGTACTTTTGCGTTTAGTTTCGGCAACACATTTGCAACGCTTCAGATGTTGTAGATGCGCGGTGGGCAGATAAAATCCGGTGAAACCGTCTGCTCGATTGTCAACTATTCAGAGAAAAAAAAAATCGGTAAAATAGATTAACTACTGCATAGAACTGTAGATTCGATACATCAGACATTAAATAAGCACACGCTAAGATGTGACGTAAGTGTCTTCAGTTTAGAATTTATTTTTTACCAAGCAGAATTCGTGAGTAGGCGTGTTAGAAAAAAGGGGATTGTAGGCCAATGAGCCTTTGGGGTCCCATACAATGCGTCCGATGAAAATGCGTCCGATGAAGCTTTAATAGTCTCGGGACTGAAAGCAAAAACATCAGTTAATACAAGATACAAGAGTCCCATACGCGTTCTGTGAGTTATACGACTTCATTGATCTTTGACTAGGAGCAGTCAGAACTGCTCCGCAATGCGGGAATACCTTGCCTACTTGGTGTGTCACTTTCACTCACTTGTCCATTTCATGAATAATTTTTGTATGTTCCTCCGGCTAATAACTATGCTAAGGTAGCCTTCGCCTGTCGTATAAAGCATTAACAGCTTTAGGAGCTCATATATGAGAGATTTAAGGTACGCGGACGATCAGAAATGTCTGTTTGATATGCCAGATCTGCAATGCAAAGACGGAAGTTCAGTATTTCAATCTTTAACTTTAAAAATAAAGTATTTAAAAAAAATCTACTCTTTTTTTCCCAGGTTCTTCAGGATGAAGAAAGGTTCAAGTCAAAATGTTGGAACTAAAGTTAATAATAAAGATTTTGTAGCAGATATTTTTGATTATTTTTCACCCTCCTTTCAAACTGCCTTCTTTTTTATATAGAATACAATGTAGAAAGAGTTAATTTGTGAACATTGTGTTCACGATATAATAATAAATACAGTGATCTTTAAAGTTCGCGGATGTTGCGCTATAAGACAATATTTTAATAAAACCTGAGGCGAAAGCCTACATATTTTATCGCTTTAAAAAAAAACAAATACAACTCAAGGAATTTCAAGGAAAGTATTTAAGGATGACAACGCAGAAACACTATTTGCGGTCACAGGTTCGAAACTGATATTAACAATTCATGACGGTGCAACAGCTTTGGAGACACCCTGATTATCTCTCACATTGTGGGGTGTGACAAACACTGTGATACGCGCACAGACCTATAGATCTAACCACGCTTTTACGATGGGAGACCTGAAAATCGGACTGAGTTGTGTTCTTTACCTATAAGGAGACAAATGTTTTACTTACATCATTTTGACGACCCGATTGGCGTAGTTGGTAGTAAACCTGCCTCTTGCGCCAGAGGGTTCGACCCCCTTTAATTATATTAATTTTTATTTTGAAATTCCCGACGTTCTTCCAGCGTTCATGATCACGGGACTGATATTATGTTTAAGTATGTTTATCAGTTATCTAGTACCCATAATAAAAGTGTTGCTTAATTTGGGACTGGAGAACGTTGTATGAAAATGTTTCTTAAAATATTTATTTATTTATAATAATATGTAATGATTTGTTCAAGCCCTCTTTATGTTAGTGTGTAGTTATCACCGACGGTGTTTGGATTAACCAAACTATAAATAGTTTGTTGAGGTTATCGTTTTATGAGCAATCTAGTAGTAGTTTAGTTACTCCGCAACAACTCGAACATTAAGAGGTTTTTGGAGAAAAGAATCCAATATTATGCAAATTCAAAAACCGTATGAATTTGTGAATTTGTGCTCTGTATGAAAAATTGTTTATATTAAATACTAATTAAAAATGTTAAGTTTAAAAGTGAAATTGTTTTATTAGCTTTCATTTATTAATCATTAAATAATTACGTCTCTATATATAAATCAATGTTTGGTATATTATAGATGACTGGACAGATTTTGATAAAAAATACATTCTGATAAATTTGATATTCTTGTGAAATATGAGCTTACTTTCCAACGTTAACTGTTTTTTTTTGGGTGCCACCCATCGCTAACAAATGGTAACAAACGAAACAATAAACATTTGTTAGCGATGGGTAGCCCCAAAGGAGCTTATGAAAAAAGTACTTTAGGCTTTACTATAAGAAATTTGTACTTACTTTTCAGTTTTTTCTTTTAAACATTTTACTTTTAGAAATTATTCATACTTTATTTTTCAGAATTCCCTTTTCAAAGAACTTTGTCCCCTGTTACGTCATTTTTAAAACCAGTTTACACAGAGGCTCCTGCTGTTTCGTAAATGGGCTTCAACCGGGGAAGTACCATGATGGCCGGAAAAAAGTAAAATTATTAATGCTTTGTACATCGTCAAGTGTTTAAAGCACCCAAGGTCATTCAAAACCGTCACCTTGTGAATCGCTTGCTCGTTTGTCAACTTTTTAGCAGAAATATTTTTTTTTTATTTTTTTTATGCGAAAAGTTGTCAAACGAGCAGACGGTTCACATGATGTTAAGTGAATACCGCCGCCCATGGACATCTGCCACACCCGAAGGTTACAGATGCGTTGACAACCTTTTGAAAATTGGGCTCCGGCTACCTCACTCACCAGACGAAACGCGAAAGTTTTTGTCATACTTCCACTTTACGCTGGTCTTCTGTGAGGTCGTGGTACTTACCCGGATGGGCCTGCCCATTCGTGCAACAGCCGAGGCTGCTGCGTGGCCCTACCACCGTAAAATATAATTCTAATAATATAAATATAAATTAAGTAATTATACTTCATCAAAAAGATCCGGAAGAACTAATTGGGTAATAAATATTTTAAAATAAATTATGAAAATTCACAAATATACAAAAAAATCGGAAGAAGAAACATAAAATGAAACATATACCAAAGATAATATTAGGTAATAGGTACTTTGCGGGTTCGAAATCCCAACCTATTGTACTGTAGTCACTTTGTGATTGTAAAATAGAAAAAAAAACATGAAGAAATAATTAAGTTGTCTGAAGCTCTTATCACATTTCAGTGTGCAATGCATACTGGATGTATTTTACATACCGGAATATTATAAAGTCGTAATACACGACTTTATGTTTCTTACTAAGCGTGACTTAATGTAGATTTTCTTTGAACGCGTTGGTGTCATAATTACTTTCCAATTACTCAGCTCATCGGGGAACCCCGTACGTTTACGGTTTTCTTATTAGTTCAGTTCATTTCTTAATGATCGTTTAAGCAATTTTTCTGATTAATAATGATTTGCAACCATTTCGCACGACTAATGGAAACTCATATTCTTTGCATTATCTGCAACAATAGAGACAAGTGCGAGTGGGATTCGCGCACGAACGGTTCTGTACCATTATCCATAAAAACGGCAAAAAAATCATGTCTGCTGTATGAGAGCCCCATTTAATTTTTTTAATTCTTTTTTAGTATTTGTTGTTATAGCGGAAACATAAATCGATCATCCGGGAAACCGCGTTCCAGGGCCAACCGACTGACCAACTGACCAAGCACTGTCAACAGCTATAGGGGTCACGGTTCGCACCGAACCCCGATAGTCCGTAGGTCACATTTCTTAGCTAACGCACGCATGAGCACATGCGCGGCCGTACCCACTGTGGAGAGCTTCAAACCTGTAGGGTTCTTGGCTAGCTCACCGGTTCTGCGTTCGATGAAGCTTTATTAGTCTCGGGACTGAAAGCATTAACATCAGCTAATAGAGGATAATACAGGACATCTGGGAAAATTGCTACCGTCTTACTATCACGGTTCATAAGATACAGTCGGACAGATAGACAGCGGAGTCTTAGTAACAGGGTCCCGTTTTACCGTTTGGGTACGAAACCCTAAAAAGGGGAGCCCCTTTATTGCAGGTATGCTAATCATAGTGATGATGTGATCTCAAACAAATTACTGTTTGGTGATGGTTTTTGATACTCAACGCTTTGTGACGTACGGAACGCCACACTATCTCATATTCCGTGGAAATAACTTGTAGGTTATCGGCTTTAAATACATTGTAAGTTGTCTCATTAAAATCAGGCACATGCTGTGTGATTATCGAATTATTATATTAATTGACTCAATTAGCGTAATGGATAGTGCACCCGCCACAGGGTGTGGGTTTGTTCCTCACTACTGGAAAAAAGTTGTGGGATGAAAATGAAAATAGTGTTTTTCTAGTGTCTGGTGCTGAATCTACATTAAAATTTATAGAAGAAAGTATGTTTATCGTTTACCTGGTAACCATAGTGCAAGCTTAGTTTGGGACTGCGTAATGTTGTGTGAAAACATGTACTGAAATTTATTTATCTAAGGTTAACGGGGGTTAACGCATGATCAAAATCCAAACACCCATCCCAAAATGCACGTATTTTCTCTCGCCCTGTGACAGGTGAATATTAAAGTACCATACCCATATCAGACCCATCATTGATAGTGAAAGCATTATTAGGTAAAAGATAGAATAATAAAATTGCCGATATGAAAAGGCTAGGTTTTTTGAGTTAATATTTAATACAAAAAAAAAATCATACTAATGTCATTGTAAAACAAGCCTGGATTCTTTGTAAAACATTTTTAGACTAACTCTGCATTTCGAATTAGCAATAGAAAGAAATTGTAACAACTGATATCGAGCACTCCGTCCTTTTATTGTTATTCATATTGAAATTTATTTGGGTTTCCGTCAAATCGGGTTTTTTAATTTCTTTTTAAATATTATTTATTTTTAAATCTTTTTTTCTTTAGGTACCTTATCATTATTTTTCGCTGCTAATTGTCCGTGCTGGGAGTGGGTAATAATTAGAGCCTTGCTTGAATGTGGTACTTAGCCGTTTCTCTGGCAACCTATGAGAAAGGAAATTGATAAATCTGATGATTAAAATTAAAACATGTAGAAAAAGTACGAAAAGATTGTCGCCGCTGTGGGAATCGAACCCACGTCTTCGGCATTCGCGGCCTGACGCTCTAGCCACTGAGCTAAACGGCTGATAGCCACAGCGACGAAAATCTGAACGCCTTCTTTCTACATTGTTATTTAGCATTTGAAGCAATGCTTGACGCATCTATTGTTATATGCTTTCCAGCATACAAACAACTTCGAATATCGTTTTACAACGATAAATCGAACGAGAGATGTCGTCATTGCTTTTTATAAATTTAAAGTTTTTTTTTTTTATAGTGCTAATCTCTGCACTTAAGATTGAACATTAAAACATGTAGAAAAAGTACGAAAAGATTGTCGCCGCTGTGGGAATCGAACCCACGTCTTCGGCATTCGCGGCCTGACGCTCTAGCCACTGAGCTAAACGGCTGATAGCCACAGCGACGAAATCTGATGATCCTAAAAAAACTTATTGAAACATTATATTGTGTCGGTATAATAGGCCTTTTGAAGTGTGAAACATTTGAAATTAATCTGACGTTTTGTTGTGGGTGAAAATAGCGTTCGAAGATTCTGTTACAAACATACATACAGACATACAGATGAACCTGAAGAAAAGCGTGTCAAAATTTTCTTAATAACCCTTAGAAATTGTGTTTTAATTTTTTTTTGATCTGACTACTTTACCATACGAAGAAAATTTTTACTACATTTTTAGTACATTAGAATTAATTGAAGAATTTTTGTGCGATAAAAATTTATGATATTGTATCTTAGCGCTTATCTTTTAATATGATGATTTAATAACTTCAGAAAGTAATGTTGCGAATGCTCAGTTATATCAAGTCCTATATGATCTATGGGCGATTCAATTGTACCTGTTACGTTATACCGGTTAGATCGCCGAACCAGTACAGTCATCGCACGTAAGAAACGCACACAGTGCGAAAATGGCTGTCACTGCTTCAAGACGTTGGTTTAGTCTTGTGTTAATATGCATGTCACAAATTGTCAGTTCTCAAGACGATTTTAAGGTTCCCGACGTGACGATCCAAGCCTTGAAACCCCGAGGATTCCGAGCATTTATTGAAGGTACGTGTAGCATCGATTCTTTTGTAAGTTTATTGGTTCAGTTATTCAATGGTGCTTAATAAGGAAAATATGTGACAAAAAAAAACTTGTGAAGAACAAATTATTACATACGATAAAATAATATCTCAATCCTTTAAAATTATTTTTATTAGTCTACCTCTACCTCTTCTAATATGACAGTCGATATAGTAAAATTCTTATTAAAAAAAAACTCCTTTCTACGTTTAAAATGATTTCTGTTCAAAATAAATGCCAGGTTCGCTGTAAAACAATCGTTTATTCACTATATCATTCTCATCGAGAAGAAGGACGTTAATTGTAGAAAAACTTAATTGGATTTGATGATCTGGAAATTGTTATAGAATAAACGCAACGACGTTAATATAGTTCATATTTAGGTTTAAGTTGTCATAAAACTTAGAATGTACTAATGAATGTTGCATTCATTCTTTCAGATGCGCCAAACATAAGCCTATTCGCTTTTCAAGGAAGAATAAACAAAGCAATTGGACAAGATGATATCGGTGAAATATCAGCCGAGGTGACGACAGCAAAGGACGGCAGGTGGATTTACGAGGATCCTAACCTACAGTTGAAAGTCGGCGATACTATCAATTACTACGTGTTTATTGTTCACAACCGCAAAGGATACGTGAAGGATAAACTAACATTTACCGTTGGAGGTAGAGTAGATGAGAAATGTATTTGTAATAATTTTTCCTGATATTTGGATTCCTTAGTAAGTGGCAATAGTAAGTGACTGGTGGACCAGCCTAGTAAACGTTGTCAGATTGGTTAATTTTTGTCGCATACTATGGGAAAAAATGGAAAGAAACCTTTTGTAAGAGTCCTTTCTAGAATTCTCTTAGGATTACCTACGATGTTAACACATGTCTGCACAATATTGACGCACACGCACGGTAATAAATTCCCACGACTAAACGTCTACCAAATCCTTCTTCACAACCAAATCCCGGAAAACGTTCAAAATGAACCAGTTGCTAAATTAAAAAAAATGTAAAGGAACGTTTGTGTGGTAAAGGCTTATATAACATTAGTAATTATTTAAATGTCAACACACTGGAAATGAATTGATCGCTCCAGGCTTTTTAAGTGGACTTATTGTAAACATGTTTCTTTGTCAAATAATGGTAAAAAAAATGTCGTCCTGAGTTCCTTCCGCGGTTTCTTCTCAGGTCAGGGGGCCGCTAGTAGTAATTCGATATTCAATAAGTAAGTGTAATACTTTTATATTGAATAAAGATATTTGGCATGCTTATATATGTAAGCTGGTGGGGTTTTTGAATTAGAAGAATAACCCCGTGTTAAGTCCACTGCTGCTCTAAAATGTGGCTATAATATACGTAATATTATAAACAATTTTATAACACAGTAAATGCAGCATAAGTTTATTGTACGAGTATTTAATATAAAAGCCTATTTCGTAACATGGCGGCGTCAGTCAACCCAACTACCTTGAACATAAACTCATATCTGTTTTCGGGAACATAATAAAAATTTAAATATTCCCGTAATAAATAAGTCAGTAGTAGAAAGAAAGAAGCATTTTTTTAAAGGACCCACGGAAAGCTATCCTAAGAGTACTTGTGTATATACCAGATAGCAGTAGTGTGCTAAAGCCTTTTTAGAGTACTGAAACCTGTCAAGGATTCCTTCTTAAATTCTTATATGTTAATGTTCTCAGAACTTGTGGAGGATAAGGGCTTACCCCAAAAAGGGACTACGGACTGCCGTCCTAGTATCACTTTGCTACGAGTCGGGACCGCGTGCGCCGGTCAGACAGTATTCGAAGAAAATTTCAACAGCTTGCGCGAGGATGTGTGGCAAATTGAGCAATACGTACCCGATCAGCCTGTTAGTATGTAAGCTTAAATATTAATTGACATATCTACCATCAAATACATATGTTGCTAACTTTTTAATTCTGTATATTTTAAATACGGGCCCGATGCAGAATTGTGTGGGTATGGCGTTTGGCCGCTTTCTATTGACTTTATCCTCCGCGACTAAGCAGACAACTGCCGAGTTCGAAAGAAGAGTTTCGGTATTGGTATGCGCCGTTCTCCCAACCCTCCGCGACCGAAACTTGTTGGCCAGTGGAGTCACAAACTAGGTACACTGCTGAAGGCCGGAATGCTTGGTGCTTGCAAGCATTGTTACTTATTGCCACTGGGTAGCAAACTCAGTATTGGCATTCTTTATTATCCAGTGCACCTTGCTTGGAATAGATGGGTGTTGCTCTCCGCTTTCTGAGGTTGCCATCGTTGCTGTGGTAACGGAGGTGTGCGTAGGTTGCTTACCCGTAAACCTGCTGATATGCAAGCCCACGATGTTCCACCCAGATGGTGCGGATTTATACGGTGCGAGTCCGACAAAAACCGTCCTTGTCTGCTATTTTTGTGAAGTCTCCGTAAGTATACTTAGCCACATATAAATATACTATATTTATATATGGCTAAGTATTCAAGCTATACTGGGATTGTCCACCCTGTTTTGTTTACGTGGGGGGAAATGCCTATGCATACCCGCCCTCGCGGGGGCAAAAGCGATTATGTCAGACTCGCATCGACTAAAACCTTCACGATGTTCTACCTAGGCGCATATCGGCAGGGGCACGGAAACGCTTTCGCACACTGTCGCAGCCCTGCTAGCGCTAGCCGCCTCAGCAGCCCCCTCTCGGGGAGTAACTCCCCTCTCCTCCAGGTAAGGCGCGCTGGAACATTCAGCGCGCATTCCTACTCGGCCCCCGTGTCACGGCCAGCGAACTCCCCTGAGTTCGCTGCCCAGGTCCATGGGAACCAGGAGAGCTAGTGCTAATAAGCAGCAAGCCTCCAAGCCCCTAGCTGGTCTGTGGCTCCGCCGCTCACCGCGTTTCTGCTGCGGAGGGTAGGGAGAACGGTGCATCGTAATACCGACACTCCTCTCCCCGCGCGGCCCCACCACCACCGCATAAACGGTGCAGCCCCGCCGAGTCGAGGAACATAGGGAGCGCGGCCAACGCAATACCGACACTCCTCTTCCCACGCGACTCCTCCTCGGTAGCAGAAGACAGGTAGAGTGACTCTACCACCCTCAACCTGTCCCCTGCACCCTCCAGCACGCATCCAGGGTGGGTTCAATGAGCCCACTCGGAGCGGCCCTCTCGGGCCGGCCTTGCACCACAGGCCAGCCCAGTGTGGGTTCCTCTTAGATTCGCCGTGGGTGACCAAGCCACGGCTACTAAGCACCTCCGCCACGTCAAGGCGGGAACCCGGTTGGAGGGGGGATTGTCCACCCTACCCGTATTTGGTTTTTTTTACTATTACTGAGCTTTGGACTTAATTTCTTTCCAGGAGTACCCCTTCGTTTCATATCAGAGGCCACCTATCGCCCAGACAGTGACTGTGGACAATGGAAATCTGAGGATCGAGCCTCAGTTGCAACAGGAGCAGCCTGGCTTCAGCAACGAGTCCATGTACTCCGGCTCGTTGAATTTATTTAGCGGGTATTTACATGAAGTATTCCCATTTCTCCTAGTGCTATTTCTAGACAATCCAAATATTATATCTATCTAATATATAAAGTTCTTGTGTCACAGTTTTAGTGTTTATACTCCTCCGAAATGGCTTGACCGATTTTGATGAAATTTTATATGTATATTCAGTGGGTATGAAAATAGGTTTATAACAAATATTTATATATATATATATATATACAAGGTGTCGTTACAACGGCAACAATAAATGAACACACGTCTAACGCTACTTGCCGGTAACCATAAAAAATATTAACGTTAAAAGAAATACATACATAAGTAAAAAATTTTTTTTTCAAACAAACTAATTAAGCAAAAAAGAAACATAATTTGTAACATCCCATACAAATACAAAGACTGATTCATACATTCAGAGACTTTTTCATTTGTTGCCACAGCGTCGCATTACAAGCCTCTTAGCAGTATGTTATGTCTCTATTAAATTCATTCAACCCATTTATATGCTTTGTGACCTTTACAAATGAACTTTACGTTGCACTTTTATACCTTACGGTGTTCTAAAATTGTTTGTTTTGGAAAATTTTATACCTCGGTAAATATTGATGTTTAAAGAATGTAAATTTTTTAATACAATTTTAAAAAGTTTTCCTCTATATGTGTGTTCATTTATTGTCGCGATTGTAAAGACAGGTATATCACTTAATAAGCGTGGTCCACTCCAACATTATATATATATGTATATCTATATTTATGTATAGTTAAGTTATTGTGTAGTTGTCTGCAGTTTTGTAGTTTCCTCACATTTCACTAGTTTTCATTAACGATTAATGCCTATAGGATCATAACGTTATATTATTAGCCAACAAAGGAACATCATAATAGTTACACTTGAATCTACTACTTGAATCTGTATTATAATACTCTGTCATATTCTTGATCACATTGTATATCGCATTTTATGAACGTCTAGAGATCAGTGCAATCATACATTCAATTATATAAATTATGCATTAAATCATACATAAAATTATATAAAATAAAATAGTTTTAATATGTTTTGTATGAAGCGTTATTCATTTTTAGAGAGCGTGGTTTAATACGAAACTAATATATTGATATTTCTGAGTTTTAATTTACTTTTAAATATCCGTCGCCTCTATGGCTATGTTGTTAGGTGTTCGGGCATCAGCCCTGTAGTCTCGGGCGCGTAGAATAGAGCTAAGGTATCCCCTGCCTGTCGTAAAAGGCGACTAAAAGAGGACACGGATTGGCAGCAGCACGAAGTGGTCTCGTGCTGCTGCAAGACGGCGACGGAAGATTTCCCCCCGATGCAAAAAAAAAAGGTGTTCGGGCATGGCAATTAAAAAAAGCTTTGTTTAAAGACCCTCTTTCATTTCAGATGTACTAGAACAGCAGAGTCTTGCACCATAAGCGCGTGGGGTGCTAGCATTCTACCGCCAGTGGTGAGCGGTCGCATCACCAGTAAAACATTCGCTTTTACGTACGGCACCGTTGAGTTGAGAGCCAAATTACCCGAAGGCGATTGGTTATATCCTGGTATGGAAATATCCTTTTCATCATTATTATTTTCGTCACTTTAGTTTCAACATTTTGTTATTATCTCAAACAAACCCGATTGTAAGCCTGTCACCGAAGCTAGGAAGAAAATGTGGAAGACTGATTTTAAACCAGAACAAAGTATTTACTATCTTTTTTGTAACTTCATACTAATAAGCCAGATAATTATCTGACTTATCTGTACCTCCAAGCGATATGAAACTTAACTGACACATATTTGAGACAAAGTGAGAGCTTATTTGTGGGTCAAGCTGGTGACTGAGTTTTAGAAAAACCCGAAAATCTTGAAAATATACAAAACTAAATACTGGGATTGTTTTCGGATATTATTTGTATATACGTGTTATCTTATAATTATTATTTTTTCATCTTCAGAAATACTATTAGAGTCTGTATTAAAGAAGTACGGAACGCTCAACTACGCTTCGGGAGTAATAAGGGTAGCAGGTGCGCTCGGCAACCGACAGCTTAGACTTGGACCTACTGATTATGGGAATAAGGTACGTTTTTGATCGGCGATCGACGTTATGCGATCGCACCGCTCGTTACTTACCGGCTAGTAGGGTAGAAAACGAGGTGTGATATTAGATAGGTCTTTCTTTGCGACACCATGGCTAATGAGCGGGCGGTTCATCTGATTTTAAGTAATTACCACTGCCCTAAATATCTGCAACAACTGAGGGACTGTTGATTGACAACCTTTACAAGAGGGTTTGGATATATACGGTTGACTCACTCACTGGTCGAAATGTGTAATACTGGTCTTCTGTGCGGCTGCCCGTATCTGCAACAGCAGACGCAGCGGCGTGGCTTTTGTGATACGTAGAAATAAAAAGCTCAATTTCGATTTACTCACGATTCCAAATGGAAAAGAAACAGATCGCGATTGGTAAACCACTCTAATGTGAACTATTTAATAGTGTACTATACTAGTAAATAAAGCTTTGATAAAGATGAGCAATGTCCATATTGCTCAGAGTTTAAAAATTGTTCCGCTTTACCATTATGCGACTTAGTAAGCGAATGTGACAGATGAGTAATGCAATAATTGTACCACTTTTGACAATTTAGTCAAAATGTGTGCGGTTGGGGATGATTGACGATTCTCATTTTTCTCCGTAAATTAATTATCAATGTAATTCGAAGTATTTCATTTTGTTGGTGTCTTCAATTTGTCAATGCATATAATGTATGTAAGAAATCCAATCAAAATATTTAATTTCATATTGTTAGAAAACTCGGTTAGTGAAAATAAAACTAACACAAAATGATATGATAATATAATTAACAGTGAATTATAATGTGCACCACACCACATTTTCAATTAACCTTTGTTAGAAAGACACACACCGAGAGAGAGAGAGAGAAAGAGTAACTGAGGGTCGAATATAGGCATAACGGTTTTTCTTTACGTGCCGATTACTTTCAACTAACACCACCAGCAAGCCTGTTAAATGCGTTCTAAAATACAAAATCAAGAATTATTTATTACTTCTGTGAGACCGTGTTAACTATCAGGTTAAGCCAGAGAGTCATGCCACAGAAAATTTGCAATTTCTAGCTTCTTACTTAAGTTTAATGAACATTTATTCCAGATTTTGTATGGCGGGCCAATTATGGATTTACGGTGTAAAGACGTGCTCATGGGAAGGAAGGAACTGTTCAATGGGCGAGTGTGGAGTGAAGATTTTCATATATATACAATGCGTTGGACGCCAGGTACATTTATAAACCGTGACAGACCGATACAGTAATTCATTATTTACAAACGTTACTAGTTCTATGGAATAATCACTGTCAATCAATGTCTTGGGGAGTTTGACAAAAATGATATCACGAACACAAAGTCGTTATATCATGTATTTGTGGATAACATTTACTATGGTGAGGTGACAACTTTCCTTGGATCGTGTTGTCCACCCCCTCCATGTTAGTCGATTGTCCATCTATCTTTGGAAGGGTGTTGCGGACTGCAACGGAGTGGACGGCTTCTTCGTGTTGTCGTGCATCAGCTACGTTGATCTCCCGAGTCCGCGGGTCGTCTGCCTGCGGACCTCTTCCGCCCAAGGTGTCAATGTCACATAAAAATATCACTTCCAAAGTATTTTGAAACAGCTACGTTGTTCTCCCGAGTCCGCGGGTCGTCTGCCTGCCTCTTCCGTCCAAGTTGTCAATGTCACATTAAAAATATCACTTCCAAAGTAATTTGAAACAGCTACGTTGTTCTACAGAGTCCGCGGGACGTCTGGCTGCGGAACTCTTCCGCCCAAGTTGTCAATGTCACATTAAAAATATCACTTCCAAATTATTTTTGGAACAGCTACGTTGTTCTCCCGAGTCCACGGGACGTCTGCCTGCGGACCTCTTCCGCCCAAGTTGTCAATGTCACATTAAAAATATCACTTCCAAAGTATTTTGAAACAGCTACGTTGTTCTACAGAGTCTGCGGGTCGTCTGGCTGCGGAACTCTTCTGCCCAAGTTGTCAATGTCACATTAAAAATATCACTTCCAAATTATTTTTGGAACAGCTACGTTGTTCTCCCGAGTCCGCGGGTCGTCTGCCTGCGGACCTCTTCCGCCCAAGTTGTCAATTTCACATTAAAAATATCACTTCCAAAGTATTTTGAAAGTTACTTAGGCCCCAACTTGTCAGATGATGACTGTGCTTTTTTACGAAACAAATATCGAAAATGATTATCTTATTGGTCACTGCACAGTTGTTGGTTTTCATGATGTGATCTTAGAATGCTAATCTATACGCACACGTCTATAGGCGAGACATTTATCAAATTTTCTTATATTTTACAGATAGACTGACGTTCATGGTGGATGGCGAGGAGTGGCTTAGAGTAGACCCAGCGGCGAGTGGACTGCAGGGACGCTTTGATAGTCGTTGTGAGATACCGCGTCCTCTTCTATCCTTGGGCAGCCAAATGGCGCCCTTTGACGACCACGTACGTGCATATTGGAATTTAATAACATATAGTCCGTAAAAGTCGCATAAGCTATGATTAATTCCGATGATTCAGGAGAATTTAAACTTTTAATTTTAAATTCTTCTGAAAACCTTAACAAACATTTACAACAAAAACGTATTTCGAAATGGTTGAATTGAGGTTCGAAATGGTTGAATTAAGGATGACTAATGATTTGTAAAATGTCTAACAATTACTTCGAGATAATCGCAACTAAAAGTTTAAAAGCACAAAATTGAATATAAAATTCTCCCCACCGACTTCGAAAGGGATGAATTTCGACAAGCACAATGCAAATTCTATATTGAAACAACGAGCTATATTGAGATAACAAGGGTCAGCTTCATCAGCTTAGTGCTTTTGAATATCGTGGTAATTGTTTACGTATAAATAAGGGAAAATGTTAGCTAAATATCAATTTGTAGATCATTTACTTTAAATTACTAATTACTTTTTAATTTTGATAATCTTAAGTTAATTAATATATAATAAACTAGATAACTTAAGCATGGTGTTGGTCTTTAAGTGTGGATATAAAATATTAAGATTAGAAAATTATTTTGAGGTATTGTGAATAGTAAATTTTGGTCAAATATTATCACCAAATCATTCTTGACAGTTAAAAATTACTTTTTCGTTATTTTTGATGTAATATGTATGCTATTTTCTTGTATTCATATGCAATTTTCATCTTGAACTTTTTTAATCATAAGCGAGACTACAGTTACTAAAAATAACGTTGTAGTTGTAAATAGCCGGGATTGGCTGTATTTTAAAGGCGAGAAATAATTCCTATTTACAAATAATTCACACAAGACAATCGAAAAGCTGGGAATAAAAAAAACATTAATATTAAAAAAAATCCATATAAATCGGTGTTTCCTAAAAAAATAAAGTACATACTGTAGTTCTGTAAAAAAAGGTTTTTTTAAAGGCTTTTTTTTATTCCTTACAATTATTATTTCCAGTTCCAATTGACTTTTGGCGTAGCAGCCGGTGGCATAACGGAGTTCAAAGACAATGTTGTCTCAGGCGATGGGACTCCCAAGCCATGGAGCAACCGCAACCGGAAGGCCAGCCTGAACTTCTGGAAGGATCTGTCAGTATGGCGGCCCACGTGGCGCGAACCCGCACTAGTCATAGATTATGTAAAAGTGAAAGCATTGTAATATAATATTTAAAGAAATCTACATATTAGATAAATAAAAGGTTACATCTAATCTGAACTTTTTTATATAACTTAATTCGTTTCGAATGATTACGGTCATGACAGCCAATAAAAGGTTAGCGCATTTATATTATGTAATAAACATTTCTATGCATAAAAGTTATGCCTCCTGCTCGTTTGCCCCTTTTCTCCATAAAAAAAAAAAAAAAAAAGTGTTCCCAGGGGCGTGTTTATCTACGGGGAGTGTATTTAGCAACCATTTCTATAAACATCACGTTTACTAACGAATTTGTCTGTAAATTGAATTAAACGGGTGCTTCTTTTAGAGAAAGAACACTAATCAGTTACTTTGTTAAGAATGTACAGACTTTGTTAAATATAAATATATAAAAATTTTCAGGTCCTTGCAAAGATTTTTCTTTCATTTGTATTATATCTTGACATACATATATTGCACTTATTGTGACCAAAACAGGACATTTTAGATTAATTTAATAGGGATTTTTGAATTTCAGAAATCAGTACATTTTGAGGTTAAAACAACTTATTTTATTCCTGATCTAAGTACTATAGGCTTGTTACAGTTGTTTTAACGTGGTACATCAGTGTACCGTAATATTTTTTACAGCCCGAATTTCTCCAGAGTTTATTTCGTGAACATGATTATTTAAAAATATTTGAAATATAGAGTTGTAAAAATAATAATAGAACGAGATGGAATGTTCAAAAATAGAAGTAGTCGCTGTGTTTTATTGTATATTTATATGTAATATTAACTAGCATAACATTTGTTCGTTTGTACGTAATGGCAGTCTCTCAAACTACAGATCTGACTTGGATTTTTTTCAGTCCTAAAAATCTTCATAGTCTTACAGTAATATACGCCTTTTTTTTAAACAACATGAGATTTTAAGTAACAGATTTCTATAGTTGTAAGTCAGGTGGATGAAATAGCAGAAACGCTAGCACTTTTAAACATCATATTGACATAGTCATAGATACTGTCTATAGTCTATACTGACATAGACATCCATAAACAACTAAGTATAAACAAGTCCAAACAATTTGTTAAAGCTACTCTAATGCTAAGGGCCTATTATAATGTCTAAGAATACATTTAGGACAAGGATGTTTGGAAATGACTCTTGCTTTGCACTTGCAAGACCCCTGGCTGCTGCTAATTTTATACCTAAATAAGTTTATATAATTGTATCGTAAAAAAAATAAAAAAAAAAAGAGATAACAAGACCGCAGAGTTTCTTGAATAAAGAGAATCATATTGAGTAAAGATATTTTGGCATTGACTTTGACTTTGAACAGTGCGTATATATTTTTATATATAGGCACTGTTCAAAGTTAAAACCTTATAATTGCGTTATACCATATCGATTACCTACTAAAAGTTCTTGTTCGATAAGGACACAAAAATAAAACACAATCTGTGTGTTTTGTAGACATTATAATAATATTAGGGTTTTAACAACATATAAATGTATGTAAGGGACGCTTCTGAGATGAGAGTATGACAAGACAAAAGTCAAATAGAAAAAAGGATGAAAAGTAATTGATCAAAGGTTTGATTTATAAATTATTGGCAACAAAAAGGTTATCTTTTTATGTGAAAAACGGCTCGGAAACGATAACACAAAAAGAACAGATAATTAATGTTTATTTTTAAATTTATTTGTTATCAAGCAAAATAGCGTTTAAAATAAAAAAAGTTAAAAATTGTTATTTAGCTTAATTTTCGTATTTATTTCTTTACCCGTGAGAAAATAGGGTGAGCAAACTAGTTACAAATGTAATTGATTGTTATTTCCACGTACCGCAAGGTCGAGATCTGTATAAATATCAGCAAACGAATTACAAAAGTTCAATAAATGTATCGTCATCTTTTTATCATCGCGAATCGAACGTCATCCCATTTATATTTCAAGGCGTCTCCGTGCGTGTTCTAAACACGAATTTAAATTTATTTCCCGTCTTCTTCTATTTTTAATTTTTTTTTTTTTGTGAGGTCGTAATTTATTTTTATTTTGGGTTTCCAATCGTGATTAATATTAATTGTGCTCTTTCTTCTCGATTCGTGTGTATTTTTGTTAAGGAAGTCGTGTATCACGTTTATGTCCCTAAATTTTATTAACAATAATTTTATACATATTTTTTTTAAATTTAAACCGATTCTTTTGATCTCCTTTTCAATGGAATGAATATATTTTACGCGTGATCATTTCATGGTATACAACTATAGATTATGTTTTATTTGGATTCGTCTTTGAAATTGTATATTTAAGCTCCTTGAATATTATTTGTTAATGTTTTCTTCTAAGACTGTATGACTTCTCGTTTAGTTGGTTCCACGATTTTGTTTACTCGTATTTTTTTGTTTTTACTATTCTAGTTTAAAATTATCACATTTCTTTTTAAAAATCATGTGCATTTGACTGCCCCTCGTCAGATTTTTCTCGTATAAAAACTTATGAGCTCACGGAACAAGAACAGAATCAATTCTAAGCTTGCTTTAACTCTAACTTTACCTTGCAAAAATAAGAGAACTCTATATTACATTGTAACTTGTTATGACAACTAGCTCCTGTATGACGATCGAAATTGTCTACCGGCCTGGTTGATCATAACAATGCCGTGTCAACTAACCAGGTACATGCATCAGAATATTATCACTTAAATGTTGAATGTGTGGACTGCTGGTGTCCCTTTTAAATAAATAAAACGTGTTCTTGTGTGTTTATGGTAGATCGGTTCCAACATCGCTCATTAAAGATTATCAGAACGGATACTGTGAAAATTTTTAATGCAAAGCCATGTTACTTTTCATTTCGGTTTACTTATTTATTTTCTCATGTGTAAACTGATAACAGATTCTTATAATATTAATAAACTGTCTGGATGAAACGAAATTTACACAAATAAAGATATAAACAATGTTTCGTGTAAAAATGAAGACTAATGTTTGTGAATAGTGTTTCAAAAAAACTTATGCGATTGAAAAGGAGATATGACAATTTGCATATGCCCATCGGTGACACATGACTAAATAAATAGGAAATCATTGAAAAAAAATATTCCGTCCGAAAAAAGGAAAGCCTTGGCATAATAAAATAACATAACATAACATAAAATAACATTAAAACATGTAGAAAAAGTACGAAAAGATTGTCGCCGCTGCAGGAACCGAACCCACGTCTTCGGCATTCGCGGCCTGTCGCTCTAGTCACTGAGCTAAACGGCTGATAGCCACAGCGATGAAAAACTTTCTACATTGTTATTTAGCATTTTAATGTTCAATCTTAAGTGCAGAGATTAGCACTATAAAAACTTCGAAACTTACATAACAATAACATATTATTGTTATTATTTATTTCCATATCATGTTCAGTAATTATTTTTCGTATAATAATGTATACGTAAACAAATATTTTCGCTACGTCTGCTCAACGGTAAACAATGTATACGGCTTAGCGCTTTGTTTGCGCTGGCTTAGCTAGTTCGGTAACTACAACGGACGTTCCACACGCCATACACACATTAAGAAAAAAACCCGTTTGCACGAATTTGCATAGTGGCATGCGATTGTTTGAAAGAAAAGTCCAGATTCTATTAGGCCTTTTTATTATCGTTCCGTAACCCGTCTCGTAAATGGTAAAACGGGACCCTATTACTAAGACTGCGCTGTCTGTCTGTCTGTCCGTCTGTCACCGTCTGTGCATCATGAACCGTGATAGTTAGACAGTTGTAATTATCACAGATGATGTATTTCTGTTGCCGCTATAACAAAAAATACTAAAAAACAGGTAAAACATTTTTTAAAAGTAGCTAAAACATAACATACATGATATTTTGCCGTTTTTATAGATAATGGTACGGAACCCTCCGTGCGCGAGTACGACTCGCACTTGGTCGTTATTTTTTATTTAAGAACACTTCTACAAAGAACATTCAACGACGAACATTTGTAACGAGAGATGTCGTCATGGCTCTAAAAGTTTTAGGGTTTCCCCGTACGCTATCGAGGGCCATTTTTTAATGGTTGTAACGCATCTCGTAGTGGGCTAGCTCTCGGGCTTGGCTTAGTTGGTTAAGCGTCTGGGCGCGACCGGCGACGCAGGTTCGAATCCCGCAGCGTTAAAAGTTTTTGTTGATTTATCCGCAAAAATGTACAATTTAAAAGTATCATATTAAGTGAAAAGACTAGCACTAAAAATAGACATTTTTTTTAAAAACATTGCCCCTACTTTAGGATAACATTATCCTGTGTTGTAAGGACGTTTTACAAACATAAATTTCGCACGGACAAACACCCAGATGCGAAACAACTATCTGTGGGTCACACAAACAGTTGTCCCGTGTGGGAATCGAACCCACGGCTCCCGACGAAGAAGCCGAAACCTTGGCGACTGCGCCACGGAGTCATCAAATACTAACACTTTAGGATGAAATAGTTTAAAAGAGTATTAAAATTCTATTAAATGCTACAACACAGGAAAAACATCGAGTAATTGTAGTGTGAAAGTGGTGGCGAAACTTTCAGGAAGCATATGCTCCGGTTTCATACTTTTTATCTGGTTCTTTAATTTAGAAAGCATACCATTGTAAAATAATCTCATCACTACATAGTACCTACAAACAAAGTTGTCCCGCTGTCTGTCTATCCCTATGTATGCTTCGATCTTTAAAACTACGCAGCGGATCTTGATGCGGTTTTACTAGATAGAGTGATTCCAGAGGAAGGTTTATATGAATAATACTATTAGGTATATATGAATAATTGCACGTGGCAATTCGTGGTAGCCGAGTTAGCCAATAATAATTCCAGCGATGAATTTCAAACAGAGGCCGGAAAAAGTTTGCGCTCTAATTCTCGCGCCGCGAAGAGAATTTTATAAATTTGTTTATGCTAACGGTCCTTGGGAGCCCGTCTCTTGTGTATACACGTTATTAATAATACATTTCGATTATTCCTCGTCCAGTTCATGGCGT